CTTGGAAACCATTTTGAGGATGGAGGATTTGACGATAAAGAAGGGACTACAAATATGGTGCAATGTCATGTCAGATGTCATGGGAATTGGCATTATTTATTTCTTTGATAAGTTTTCTGTTTTGGGTGGGTCACATGGTTATCTCTTGGGTTACACAGACGTGGTGTTGTGCTGACCAGACCTTCTCACACCTGTGGGTCCTGCGTGTTATATAAGTCCAGTGTCCGTGCACGTTTCCATACCACATTCACACTATCACACTAATCCATTTATCAGACAGCCTGACACAGCAGCCTCTTCCAGGAGGGGCCGCGGATTACAAGATTAGCTCGTCTCAGTCTCCAAAGGGTTTACACTTTTTTATACCATTGTTTCCACGTTCTGTCTGTGGGCTTATGCATTTAGGTACTTCCAGTAAGGAACAATCACTATCATAGACACACAAACTTTTATAAAGCACTGTTGAAAACAGGATAGCTTGACACACATAGTGTTATTTTAATTCAATTGAGAAAGACCCATGAGGTGTGAAAGTCTAGCACATTTACAATAAACTGAATCAAACCATTTCTACTCCATTCCCGCTGCATACGACCTCATAACCCGGTTACTACAGCCCCTCCCACCATCACCAACACTCTCACACTCCAGACTCATACCAGGCCATATGGGTGCAGTGTCTTGCCTGAGGAGACAATAACATCTTTTGCGCACTCGTTTGTGGTATCTGGTATCACAGAGGTCTCTCTTCACAGCACTGACCAGGCCCTGCACTGCTTAGCTTCTGAGCTGATGTGAGCAGAATTTCCCTAACAGGAATAGCCACAAAGCATCACACTTTCATTTCATTTTTCGAGCTTTTACTATAGACATACACACTCACATTTACTACTGTGTGTATGAGTTAAAGAGTGTGCGTGTGCGTGTGTGTGTGTGTGTGTTATTGTGCTAGTGGGTGTGTGTGTGTGCGTGTGTGTGGCTTTGTTTTATTGCATAACGTCCTTTTGTGTGTGTGTGCTACTTCTAAAGCCGGGTTATCCAACTGTTTTTCAGACCACAACAGGCTGTCTTTATCTTAGAAAGTGTTATCTTTTGTATACTTGTAAGAAAGAATAAAACCCTGGAGTCACTATTTGACACATTAGGCTGAGAGCTGATTGGTTGAGTGAGGGTGGTCCTTTCTTTTTCACTGTTCTGTTTGACAAAGATCATCTAAAGATGTGACAAAGGCCAAATTTACAAGCATGTGAAATGTAGTTTTTGTGACCAGAGATTGTATTGCATAGTTCACCTTTTTGTGGTTTAAAAGTTAGTTACCTGAGCTTTAGTTTAAGTAAGAATTTGTTTGGTGTAGTTAGTTATTGTTGGTATGGTAATGTAAGTTTTCTCTATACATTTTGGAAATATATCCACTGTTCTGCCTCCAGAACCAGGACTGAGGCAGAACAGTGGGTACAATTACACTGGTTAAACACTGTTTGATTATAATTGTTTGATTATAATTTTCTTGCAATTAATTTGTTACAAGCTAAAAACAGTCTAATATGTGTATTTTTATTGTAGTGCAGTTGTCAGAGCAGAGTTTATGAACTTGATGAACCTGTGATAAAGGAGAAAGACGCTTCAGAGCAGAGGTTAGGGAACCTTTTAGCCGAGAGAACCAAACTAATCTCATATTACAATAATACAAATGTATTTCTGTGGGAACCATACACTTCACTGGTAATGTGTGCAAACACAGTGTAATATTGGTCGCAAAGTGTATTAATTGCTTTCATCCCCACCACTAGGACTGAAGACTTGCACAGCTATAGTCTTTAATTTTAGGCCGGAGGGGGTCCGGTTCGGGGACGATGTTGTCCTGTTGGCTCCAACGAACCAGGACCTGCAACATGCACTGGGGCGGTTTGCAGCCGAGTGTGAAGCGGCTGGGATGGGAATCAGCACCTCCAAATCTGAGGCCATGGTGCTCGACCGGAAAAAGGTGCCTTGCCCTCTCCAGGTGGGTGGAGAGGTCCTTTCCTCAAGTGGAGGAGTTCAAGTATCTCGGGGTCTCGTTCACGAGTGAGGGAAGAATGGAGCGTGAGATTGACAGACGGATCAGTGCAGCGTGCGCAGTGATGCGGTCGCTGTATCGGACCGTTGTGGTAAAGAGGGAGCTGAGCCGAAAGGCAAAGCTCTTGATTTACCGGTCAATCTTTGTTCCCTCCCTCACCTAAGGTCATGAGCTTTGGGTAATGACCAGTGGGGGCGGGTCCTGGCTCAAAAGTGGCCAAAATTATGTGCGCTGACATGCTTGCAATACCACTCCGGGTCGATGGGGGTGGACCCAGAAGAAGAATTAGCCAATGCTAACATATAGCATTGGCAGACCTCTCAAAAACGTCTTTACAGGATGGACAAAAAGATGCCTCTTGGCCCAAAGCTCCGTTCCACATGTGTGTCAATGCTGAGGGGAGTGAATTTTTTTGGACCACTCTAGTTTACTCGCTGTGAATTTTTGAAGTCTCTCGTTCAAATGAATGGAGCTCTCGCCGGCTGACGCATGCGCAGACGCGTTTTTTCACAATTTTCTTGTGGGCGGGACCACTCGTGGCCATTTTGGATAGCTCCAGTAGAGCACATTTTTTGGCCTATTAGTTAGAACGGCGGAGATAGGCGTGACTCTGTCCATTAATATATACAGTCTATGGTAATGACCGAAAGAACGAGATTGCGGATACAAGCGGTCGAAATGAGATTCCTCCGCAGAGTGGCTGGATGCCTCCTGGACGCCTCCCTAGGGAGGTGTTCCGGGCACGTGCACCGGGAGGAGACCCCGGACACGCTGGAGGGACTATGTCTCTCAGCTGGCCTGCTGGCCCCGCGACCCGGCAACGGATGAAGCGGAAGAAAATTGATGGATAATATAACTATATTGCACAAAAGAAACCATCTTTCAAATTTTCACTTGCACATTTCCTGTTGTTTGCATATTTCCAATATTTGCACACCCTGAGTAATCCTATCTTTGCCAAATGTGACATGTGTATTTCTCCATGTCAGAAAAGTGTGGTCTTAACTCATCTTATTAGTTTAATAAATAAGAAGTAATACAATACACAAAACATTCTTATTAATGCCTACCATATAGAGTACAGACCAAAAGTTTGGACACACCTTCTCATTCAAAGAGTTTTTTATGTTCTTAATTTAGAAAATTGTAGATTTACACTGAAGGCATCAAAACGATGAATTACCTCATGTGGAATTATGTACGTTAAAAAAAAAGAAACAATTTAAAATATGTATTATATTCTGGATTCCTCAAAGTAGCACCTTTTGCTCTGATTACTGCTTTGCACACTCTTGGCATTCTCTTGATGAGCTTCAAGAGATAGTGACCTGAAATGGTCTTCCAACAGTCTTGAAGGAGTTCCCAGAGATGCTTAGCACTTGTTGGCCCCTTCACCTTCACTCTGTGGTCCAGCTCACCCAAAAACCATCTGTATTGGGTTCAGGTCCGGTGACTGTGGAGGTCAGGTCATCTGGCCCAGCACCCCACCACTCTCCTTATTGGTCAAATAGCCCTTACACTGCCTGGGTGTGAATCTACAGTCAATTGTCATGAAAAGAAAGGAAACTCATTGAATGAAAAAGTGTGTCCAAACTTTTGGTCTGTACTGTATGTCCACACGTAGTGGTAACCGTAAATCCACCCAATCTTTAAGAATGTATTCATGACAGAGAGAAAATGCTCAAACAGGAAGTACTCACTCCTGGGGCTGAGCCATTGTCGTCTGGAGCCTTTCCCTCTGGTCATTCTCCCCAAAGCTAAGCGCACTTCAACAGAGACATAAGCGCATAGGCCTGAAGGGTTGAAACGTCATTTGTCTGGCCCGGTCACCTGTCCCAACACTGCGGCCGCGGGACAATACGTGCACGGAGTCAGTGCCTGGGTAAAAGTGCGGCTGAATGGCGGGGCGCGCTGGGTGTCAGCTCTGCAGTCACACCAGCCGTCAACTCAACACGCCTTTTGTGAGGTGAGCTCTGAGCCGCCCGGTCAGCGTGGAAAGCACTTTAGCGGACCATAATACCAATGCGTCTGCGCGCGCTCTGCACACTCACAGGAAAAGACTCTCACGTTGTCATTTTGGGAGCCTGGATTAAGGCAAAGGCTGAATATTGTTACTTGGAAACAGCTTTTTGAATGCAGTGGTTTCTCCTGTGCTCAAGTCAACAAAAAGTGTTCATTTAGTGTCCGGATATAGTCAAAAATGTCATAGTGTCAATAAAATGCTATGTTAATTTGGATACATGGTAGTTTTGTACAACCAGGTTTACATTGTGTTCATATCTATATATATTTATATATACAGAGTGACATGTTCATAGACATAGAGATCTTTATGGTGTGGCTTTAAGCATGCCCACCAAGCCAAATGACCTTTGGACGTCCCAAACATTAATGGAGATGACACTTTCTGACCAACTCTGGTTCCCGACCCTGTGTCGTAGATGCACAGTGGTTCTACTTCTGCAGGACCAGAGGAATATGTCAGTGTTACAACATGTGTTCTGACCAATCAGAGTGGGACGAGAGCGAGTCAGGTTTGGTACTAAAGTGTGGATTACAAGGGACAATATTATCTCTAGAAAATACCAGAAATATTGTATAAAACACATATCTTGTATCTCCAGTGGAAGCAGTTCTACTCCCAGCTCATTAGTGGGAACTACCGGTGTGGCGAGTGTTACAGGTCATTCAAGTCTAAGGAGGGTATCATGGCGTTTGAATGTCCTTCCGTTGTCAATAAACATACACTTTGTTGTCCGGCTTAGACTACTGTGCATTTGGTCAAGCACGCACTCTGGCATGGAGCCACCATATCTGTCAGTAGATAAGCACCACTCAGTCATTTGACGGACTACTTTGGGTCAAATGCCAAAAGCACATGTTCCTGGTGCAAGTTAAGCTGATACCAGAGAGTGTGAGGGGTGCAGCTGGTGCGAGGCCTCACCTGTGATGAGTTGCTTGACTGCGGTGTACCAGAGCTGCGTGTGCTGGCTGGAGGCGTTGTGCAGGTGAAGAGCGTCCTCCTTCAGCCGCGGCCCGTGTTGTCGAGCCCAGAGCAAAGCCAGGCCCAAGACAGCGCCCCCCGATGGCTGCCCCACGCTCCTGCGCCGCTTCACCTTTACCGCAAACACATCCCGCAGCAGCAGCCGACCGGAGGGGCCCGCGCATGCCTCCCCTGGACAAACCACCATATATGTCCTCAGTACAGGTGGAACTCGGAGAATTAAATGGTCGTTTCTGTATTTCAACTTTCAATTCCATTTCAGTTCAATTTGTTTTCGGGTATAGCCTTGAATCACAGCTGCTGCTTGGAGGACTTTACGAAGTTGATTCAGATAAGAAAATAAAACGGTTTGAACACAGGAAATGTCATATTAACAAACACAAAGTCTGGAAGTGTTAATGAATGTCCTAATCGTCCCGGTTCATCACTGTCCTTAGACCCTCCTTTATCAGCAGGGATTGACTCACAAAAGGACCCATGTGGGAAAAATATGAGAAACCTCGAGGAGTCCCACATTGAGAGAAGGATTTGTTCCCAAGGACAGAAAGGCTTTAGATCCAGGACTCAGGCTGTAGAACGAGGACTGAGGAGGTTCCCAGGCGAGGAGGGGGGTGCATCCCAAAATTCCAGGGGGGAACAGTCCACAAGAGCAGCAGAATTCACATTTTCACAAAGAAATGTATTGATGATTATGGCTTACAGTCCATTTTCAATATATTAACTATTTGAGAATCTTAATATGGATTTTTACAGCTGTGCGCCCATTATCAACATTATAACAAAGAAAGAATTGGTTTATCTCACTTCTGTCATACATACAATTATCCAACCACTTGAACTCACAACCGCTGAAGTGCAGAGATCGCAGAGATTGTTGTAGGTCTGAGCACTGCTGCAGCAGTCAAAAGCCGTGCATACACTGTACAATACAGCTGCAGAGGACAGCTTGCTAAGGGTAGGAGCAGGACTGAGGACTACAGGAAGACCACAATAGTTCTCTTAAGGGCACATAAGTCACAAATGTTTTCTCCTGACCCTAAATAAAGGTAACTGACATGTTATAATATGATGCTGTTGGAGAATACACACAGCGGATGAGAAGCAAACTGTAAAAAAGCACACAAAAATCATGGAAACAGTGAGGCCTCAAAAGGTGAACCCTGTTACAGCGAGGGATCACAAAATGGCAAATGTTTATTTTTAACAGGATTTTAAGAAACACCTCCTTTTCAAAGTATTCCATCCATATTCTTGAAGGCGTTGTGTAATACGCTATCAGCATGTCAAACTTTGAGAACATTGTGACCTGCCACAGAAACCCATGGCGGGATCTGGGTGCAGTGGACTGACCTGTGGGCGTCTCTGGGGTGATAGGGGTCCAGCTCAGACAGCTTTTTGTCAGGAGGACGTCGTGGCTCTTCTTCCCCAGTCTGAAGATGCCACGCAGAATCACTGCCTCACTGTAACACACACCATCGACTGTAACAACAGCTTTAATGTATTTATGTAATTGGAATGTGTGAGTAGCTATGTGTACCACAACCCAAAGACAGGGTAAAAGTACCCGTTGCTTCAGTTTATTTGCCATTTGCAGTAAACCACATTGTAATACATTAAATAAAATTTCCCCAATGTGCAATTTTCACTGTGAAAACAATCAAGGGTCCGGCCCATAAGCCCACTTTCCTCATTGAAGTGTGACTGGAACACTAAAGTAGGCTGGTCCCAAAAAAAAAAAACACTCCCTTCAGCATTGACAGCCTCTGGAACCAAAAGACGACTTTTGGGCCAGGCTGTAAAGCCATTATCAAAAGGAGAAAACACATAATTAGAATTCAATGGATATTTCTGTTTCCGGGTATGCTACCACCGGCAAGGGAGGAGGGAGATTGCAAGCATATCAGCGCACATGCTTGCCGGGACCCACCCACACTGGGAACTCCCACAGGTCTCCCATCACAATACTAACCAGACCCTGCCCTAGCTTCAGAGATTTGGCTTTCACCTGCAGGCTCTTGCACCTCCGAGTCCTTTGTGCTGTCTTTTGACCACGTGGCTGTGTTGTGCGCACTCCTCTCTCACCTGTCGCTCCACTGGCGGGTCTGAGCGCTCTGGTCCCGGGCTGCGCTGCTCCTCTCCCCCCGCGGCTCCAGCCCCGGCTCCTGGTCCGTGCTGTCCTCCTCCAACATTCTGCACGTTCCAAAACGTTCCCTTTCTTGCTTTGTGTTTAAACTGTGCTACACAAACACACTCGCCTTGTCTCCACGGCGTGCGCACACATACACACACGCACGCACACGCAGCACGTCTGCTAAGCTGCTTGCAGAGAACTTCCGGAGTCACGTCGTTATGGCAACCTTACAGCGCGAGCAGATTCGGGAGCAGAGGGGGGCACGCGGGGGGTGACACAGCGCGCGCTCCTGTCCCAGTAGAGCGTCCATCTGCTGCATGTGCTGATCGTGCGGGACAGGGCCACCTACTGCACCAAAACATTACATTATAATATCTACTGCAGCGTTTTTCAACCAGTGGTGCATGGCATGTTAGTGTGTTCCTCTGGCAATGATCCAATATCACCTCATTGGTCAAAATATTGTGGGAAAAAAAGGAGTGCCATATGAAAAAGGAGCTGCTACACCACCTCTGCTGCTGTTTATATTACTATTGTTGGCTAGTTTTAGAAAGTTGCATTTATTTATTTATTTTTTTAATGGACGGATGTGTTTCTGCTACTATGCGACTTCTGAATTTTTAGATCTACTGCACCAAAGCATTACAACTGCCATCAAACTCAGGTTTTCAATTAGAAAGTTATACTTAATTTTAAATAAAATGAATATCAAAAAACGACTGAATCTGTAAAAAAACAAAAAAGTGAACTACCATGTAATTGGAAGTTACATTTTTATGACTTAACTTTTTTACTTTTTACTTCTGCTTCTCACTTTTAAAGGTGATGTCAGCAACCTCAACCGTATTTAATTTCTGACCAAGGGACACTATACTGTATCATTTACAGTAAGTAATTTACAACAGTAATATATTTAAGACTCGGACTCCCAGAAACAATTGTTTCCCAGAGCAGTCATGTTGACGGCTCCCATTCATTCCAATGGATTTCAGAAAAAATCCCCAAAAAATGTTTCCACCAGTTTTACTTAGAAAGTTTTTACCTTTAGTTACTTCTACCAAGTACCAAAACTGGTTACGACCATACAGACAAGCATTCAGCTTATTCATTTTAAGAACAAATTCTCTTCCAGTCTTGTGAAAAACTGAAACGCACACAAAGCACTATTATAATACTTTTACTTTTCAAAAGTTAAAAAAAATAACTTTTTGTTTGGAATAAAACGTTCATATTGTTGCATCTTTGACCTTGTACTGACCCAGTGGCTGTGTGAGTGGTTAGCATGGTGCCTTTACTTTCCATCCACCAATTGTTTGAAGTATTTTCTCGCTGCACCAGAAATCCTACAAAACAATAGATCATGGATCCCTGTACACGACCCTGATCAAAAGATATGGCACCATGCTGACCACACAGTCAGAGACATAGACACTTTATATATGCATATAAAATATGCAATTGTACTATGCAAATATATAAACTTTTGTCACATAAACATTTGCATAGTGCTCCTTTTACGAGCAAAGGACTTGAATATTTACCACCTCTCTTTTTCAGGTAAGTTCCTCAGATGTGAGAGAGGAAATGGCCTTACTACAGCCGGTTAGAGGCCTCCAGACACAAGCTTTAGCAGAGATTATATTCAGATTCAGATTCAGATTCATTTTATTAGCCATGTGCAGTATAAAAACTACATTGGAATACATTTGCAGAGAAAGGTACTCTGTGTGCACCGACAGAATAAAGAGCACGATACAATGTAGTATAAAATACACATACACTGAAAATAAAAGAATAAAAAAAAAAACAGCGGACACTGTGGCACCGATCAACAAAACGATACAAGGGGTAAAAGCAGGAATTAAAGTGCTCTGTTTAGGCACCTAACAGCTTGTGGAAAGAAGCTGTTAGCATAGCGAGATGTCTTGCATCTCAGCGACCGATATCTTCTGCCCGAGGGAAGAAGCTGGAACATGGCTTTCAGGGTGGCCAGAAGAGTCATTGATGATTTTAAGAGCTCTGTTTAAAAGTCTGGATTTATAAAGAACCTCCAGAACAGGAAGCTCACAGCCCACGGTCCTCTTTGCAGAGCGGAGCACCTTGTTTAAAGCTCTCTTTTCTTTATCTGTGATGTTTCCAAACCACACAGACACAGAACCAACAAGTAAACTCTCAGTGGTGCAGCAATAAAAGTTAAGCAGAATCTTAGAGTTAGTGGTCAATTCTCTAAGTTTCCGCAAAAAGAAGAGCCGCTGACGTGCTTTCTTAACAACCCGGTTAGTATTTTTGTCCCATTTCAGGTCGTTAGACAGAGTTAAACCCAGGAACTTGCACTCCTCTACGATCTGCACCTGGGAGTTGTCAATAACTACAGGAGTGTGAGAACTGCTACGACTGAAGTCAAAGACAAGTTCACATGTTTTTGCAGTGTTCAGCTGGAGATTGTTTACTTTACTCCACTGAAAAACATGTTTGATCTCTGCTCTATAAGAGGATTCATCATTGTCACTGATGAGACCGATGATGGTGGTGTCATCAGCATATTTGATGATCAGGTTTGAGTCTGAGGAGGACACACAATCATGAGTGTACAAAGTAAAAAGCAAAGGACTCAAAATACATCCCTGAGGAGAACCAGTGCTCACAGAAACAACATCAGAAAAACAGTCATTGATTTTCACTCGCTGAGATCTGTCAGTTAAAAAGCTAAAAATCCATTTACACATGGCAACATTCAGACCAAGGGACATAAGTTTTTCAACCAATATGCTTGGGACAAGACAATTAAAAGCAGAGCTATAATCAATGAAAAGCATTCTCGCGACAGATTTACTAGTGTCCAAATGAGTGAAGACAGAGTTCAGAGCAAAGGAGATGGCATCCTCCACACTCCTGTTCTGTCTGTAAGCAAACTGGAGCGGGTCAACGCTCACAGGGATCTGGCTCTTAATGAAGTCCAGCACAAGCCGCTCAAAAGTTTTCATAAGAACAGACGTGAGAGCCACAGGGCGGTAGTCATTGAGACATGTCACTGGAGACTTCTTAGGAACTGGAATAATGGTGGACCTTTTAAAGCTCACCGGCACCGTACAGCTCCTGAGTGACAAGTTAAAGATGTCTGTTAAAACAGGGGCAAGTTGCTCGGAGCACAGTTTCAGGACGCGGGGAGGAATGCAGTCCGGGCCTGCGGCTTTCCGAGCTGTGGTCCTGGACAAGACCCGCCGTATACTTCATCCTCAGTCACTGTGAAGGCACCCTGACATTCGGGGAAGACAAAAGGCAGGGGATCAGCAGATTCAAAGCGGCAGTAAGTTCCTCAGATGTGAAAGAGGAAATGGCCTTACTACAGCCGGTTAGAGGCCTCCAGACACAAGCTTTAGCAGAGATTATATTTACTAAGCAACGTGTAGGCCGCTGTGGGGGGCGCATATATCGCCCCCATTTCCATTCCTACTCCGCCCTATTCCTTTCGGCCCTACTCTAATCTGCCCTACGCTACTCTGTGTTTCCATTACACTTTATATCTGATACCATATCCAAGCAACCTACCCTCAACAAACCAGTATCCACGTCCAATCACTGTCAGTTGTATCATTTTAGTATCAGCTCGGCCTGGATAGACCCAGGGCCAAGAGGGACTAAAAAGTACCTGGTACCAGTTAAGCAAGACCAGTTGAAACGCTCACAAACAGGGTAGAGTAGAGTAGAGTAGAGTAGAGTAGAGTAGAGTAGAGTAGAGTAGAGTAGAGTAGAGGCTAATCACTGTGCACTAATTGTTCCTTTAATTAGAGAGAATGAGTCACTAAAGGCTTCACAGAGTCCAGCCTTTTTGTGCTCGAAAGGGTCCAAATCTTTTAATTCAGTTTTTTCAGCAAAAATAGGCAAGAGGAGTGAATAGGAAAATGAAAATCAAAGTTCAGTTCAAAAGTCCATTTATTCCTGTAATAGAAATTGCTTATTGTGTTAGTGTCATATAAGTCCATGTGGGCTGGGCCCATGTGCGCAAGACACCTAAATAAAATTCCTTCATTCATTCATACAATGTGAAACTAATACATGACTGGCTCAGTGCAAGCAAAGGGAGATATATCTGTTTTTATTTATTAAAATATTAATATTTGGTTTACATCTTGTCAAAACCTGAAATGAAACCTCTTGGAAAACGACTTTTGCGAGCTATTGTATTTTGCTCTTCTCTCCTGAAGCTCCGCTCTCTCAGTGGCCTGCTCTCCTCCCTCTCCGCTCTGCTCTGCATATGGAGCATGACCAGATGGCTGCAGTAATCTACATTAGCTTGTAATCCGCTCCCCCAGCCCACCTGCACTGACCTGAGCCCAACACCGGCAACAAAAAAGGTCAGCCATACCTCCAAACAAGACCGACCGGCGACACACTCGTTACAGTATATATCTGCTATTGTTCAAACCACCCATGGATCATATTTTTTCCTCCCTATATTCTGCAATATTGTTCTATCTAGAGCATAGAAGGAATCACATTATTCAATTTCAATTAAATTTATTTTTGTGTAGCCCTAAATCACAACAACAGTTATCTCAAAGAAAAAAAAACATTGAATTTGCCAACGCAGATCAGAGGATCAAACCGTTCAAACACAAGAAACGCAATGTTAAAAAAACACAGAGCTATAGGTCCAAAAGGGGCGGATCACCAATGTCCAAAACTGTTGGTAAAATCCATTATCATGGACAATGAGTTTAAGTTTCTCATAGACGTGGAGCAATATTGACCATTTTCAACATGTTTTATGAGGATAACTTTGTTGACTCATGAGCTGCAGTCCCTCCCCGCCTGAGAGCTGCCTCAGTCCTCGTTCTACAGCCTGAGTCCTGCATCTATAGCCTGTCTGTCTGTGGCAGCGGACACTTGACATTCAACAGCATTTATGGACTTCTGCCCCGTATGGACCAATGGCTCTATGCGCTTTTATCGTTTCATTTCTTGAGTTTGAACTGTTTGATTCTCTGCTCTTTGTTAATCCTGTGAGTGATGTCCATTCAAGTGGTGGTACAAGTATAACCTGGAGTCTGCTCAAGTTTGTGTTGTTTATATAGTTATTCAAAAAGGTACAGTATCTGTGAATAAAAACACTATGGTACATATGTAAAGTTCAGTGGTACTTATGTGTGGTTCTATGGTACATGTGTGTAGTTGATGAAGGGTGAGTATAGCCATCACTAAAAAAGACCAGGACACAGGTTTTTATTAAAAGGCTTTTATAAACATCTATGTTATAAAATATGACACAAAAGATCTCTACACTGTTTTATCAAAAGCAAAAGAACAGCACAAAAATACACTTTGACAATACTTGCATAGTTCGGGTGTATTATTGCTTGTGACATCAGTCGGCATGCGGCGATGAGTCCGCTGCTCCTGGTTCTGACGGGGGAGGCATGCTTCTCCTGTTACTATGGTGTGTATGTCAGTTTGGATGTAGAGGGATGGGACATATGAAAGGGTTTATTCATATTTTTCATGCTTATTAACGACTTATTGCTCCTTTGTTGTGTTCGCTACAAGTGTCTGGCTATTTAGACCAAAGACGGATTGTTTAAGAGAAAAAACTTGGCCAACAAAGAATACTGTGGATTTACAGAGACCTCCCCCTATTATAAAGATATGCCGTGTATCAGGAGTGGACTGACCGAGTGCTGTTGTTACCATAGTGTTTGCTGGATACAGAAGTAGTCTATTTGAAGATAAGCTAGGGGGAGTCAATTTCCTTATATGGGCATTTGTTTCGACAGGGTGAGCTTTGTGCTGTAACAGGGCAGACTTGTTGCTAACATGGTTGCTGAGGCAAGCTGGAGTTTCCCCAGCAATGAGAAATCCCTCTGGCTCATATCAAGATTTTCAAATATAATTTTGATATTGTCTTTGTAAATCAAGACGTGAGAGAGTTTGGCTGAAAATTCCTGCCCATGGTGCACATGTCAGCGCGTCTGAAAGAGATAGGCCGAACTTCTTTTGCAATTAAAGCTATATTTTTGTTACCGTAAAAGTCTTGTAAAAAGTGATTGTTTTGAGAGCAAGGAACTAGTGAAGTAGATTTTACTCCCTACAGTAGTTCCATTCTTGTGTTTTGAAAGTTAGACACCCCAGCTTTATATGGACTATGATTGGAGTTGGATTACTGATATCGTTTGTGGCACAATAGACGTATAAGATAACCAAAAAAGATGCTTAGTGGGCTGTTAGTTTTCAGTTTTTCTCCGGACAAATGGTGAAATACAGGTGGTCCATCCTTTTCTTTAGTTGTTGATTTTGGTGGCGTTTTTAACGTCTCATACCCGTGAGGTCCCATCCCTGTTCTGAATGTGGTGATTGTCCCGGGACGCCGCGCTCATCACGAGTCCTGGAAAATGGCGTTCATCTGGACGTTCATGATGCGCTCGTGCTGGTGTCCGTCAAAGGCCATGATGCCGTCTACGTTGGCTCCTCCCCCCGGCCCATACAGAGCCCCGCCCATGGCGCTGCCGTAGTGCCCGGGGTAGGGGTAGTCTCCCGGCTCGTGCTTGAAAGACGGGGGGAAGCTGCCGTTGACGCTGAGGGGGGGACTGAGGGGCCCATCGAAGCCCGCCTCCAGGAAGGGCTCCAGGGCGTAGGGCTGCGACTTTATCTGCGGAGGGACAGGCATCGTCAGTATGGAATTAAACAACTGCTTTATTATTGCTTTCTCACATCACCATTCACTCAAATCCTTATTTCTACTGCCCAAAATTGCAACAGCAAATAAAAAAAAAGCAAAACAGGACAGAGGGAGAGTCTGTGGTCAACCACTCCTGAACCAATTAAAGCCCATTAGATGCACTTAAATGTAATGTAAAATAATTAATGTATATACTCGCAATAGCAGCTTGTACAGTCTCTCATATATGCAAATACATTTATCCATCCATCCATTTTCTTCCCCATTTCTGGGTCGGGGGGGTGGCAGTCAGAGCTGCACCCAGTACACATAGCACCAGCCCCTCACTGATCCTCCTGCAGGTGGTGAGTCCACAGGAGCTTTGATCTTTCAGTAGGGGCTTCAGGCAAAGTGGGGTTAAGTGTCTTGCCCATGGACACAAACACAGCAGTCATCAGTGGGAGTCGCAAAGTACTGTAGGTCTTGTGGTGGGCTCGAACCCACGACCTTCGGGCTCTAAGACCAATTCTCCACCAACTGAGCCACTGTTGCCCCAAATAAATGTATCTATGTTGTAAAAATTATGCTATATTTGCGCTATCGAAATTTCCCCACTGTGGGACGAATAAAGGAATTCTTATCTTATCTATTGCCCTACTGGTTAGATGCGAAACTGCATTTAATTGCATTGTTCTGACTTTGTAATGACAATAAAGTTGAATCTAATCTAATCTAATCTAATTTTAAGGACAATTATAATGATCTATTGACGTGTATGGATATTTGTCATCTGTCCCTTATGGTGTATTATACACAATGTGTATTATTGCATTTCCTGTGTTTGAACTGTTTGAATCTCTGATCTGTGTGAGAGAATTTGTAAAGTCCTCCACTTTTGTGATATAGGGCTAAACAAAACAAAATTGAATTGAATTAAAATGACTAATGAAATGATGTTCACAGGAATTGAGCATTTGAATAATGTTCCATATTTCAGCGGTGATTTAAAAAAAAAAAGTAATTTTTTGTGCAGATCAGCTTGGTCTGCTAGTGTGATGTCAGGAGAGATGGTGCTGCTCTGACCTGGTGGAAGATGTGAGGGGGCTCCATGGTGCCGTAGGGCGGGCTGGGTAGGCCGGGGGTCAGGCCAGGGCTCTGGTAGGAATAGCCCCCAGTGTAGGCCGGTCCTGGGGCCAGGTGAGGCAGCTCTCCGCTCTGCTCCGGGAGGAACGTCCTGGGGTTCAGCTGCAGACAGCCAGCCACCAGATTAGTTGTGGGCTGAGACAGACCTGTGGACAGAGGAGAGAATTGTACACTCCTGTCTCAGTATACAGTACATGCAGACCACTCTTGTCTCAGTATACATGCAGACCACTCTTGTCTCAGTATACATGCAGACCACTCTTGTCTCATGTCTCACCATCACATGTCTGTGTTTGCAGCCAGTCATTTTCAAATTTGGAAAAGGGAAAACAAATTGTACTCCTTCCTCTGGTAGCAGCATGGGGAGCTCACCATGTATTTTCTACTTAAGCTACTATATCACATTTTAAAACAGTATTAAACAGTATTTTGATTGGCCAGAGATAATGCACAACATTTTGCCGTGGCTTTCAGACCATCCCTTGTCCTTGTCCCCCTGACACAGCCGGGGGTAGGGTAGGCATGTGTGTGTGTGTGTGTGTGTGTGTGTGTGTGTGTGTGTACCTTTGCAGAGCGCGTGCACAAAGCTCATGAGGTCAGGGGCCTTTCCGGAGCGCAGGATCTCGCTCAGGGCCCAGATGTAGTTCTTGGCCAGGCGCAGCGTCTCGATCTTGGAAAGCTTCTGGGTCTTGGAGTAGCAGGGCACCACCTTCCTCAGGCTCTCCAGCGCATCGTTCAGCCCGTGCATCCGGTTCCTCTCCCGCGCGTTGGCCTTCATCCGCCGGACCTTAAACCTGCACAGGCGTCGACATTTTCAGTTTGCGAGTCGGCTAAATTTATTTATTTATGTATGTACAGTGTATGTATTTATGTATTTATTCATTCATTCCTTCATTCATTCATCTGTTTATTTATTTATTTATGGATGAGTTGTCCTGTGGGAAGGGATCCCTCTGTCAATGTGGTCCTCAAATTTATTTCCCACTGTTTTTTGTTTTTTTTGGAGTAGTACCTTGCAGAGGCAGGAGGATCTGAAGACAGTGACGATCCGGGATATTTAGGGACACTTATTAACCTTTCTGGACAGTTTTTATACTTCATATGCTCAAACTGTTTGGTTCTCTGATCTGCTGTTGGTGATTTGACAACTTTGTAAAATCCTCAGAGAACTGGGTTGAGTTGAGATTCATGACTGTACAAAAATAAACCGAATTGAATTGAGTTTCAGGAGCTCGTGTTACAAACTACAACATGTTAGCTAATTCTCATTGTCTGTTCTGAGTTGGGCATTTATGCTGCCTTCAACGTCTCTGGTAAAGAGGATCCTTTCCATTTGTGAGTTGGTAGATACAAGAGTGTTCTGTTTAAGTGCTTTTGTTGTCATAAGTAAAACTAAACTTTAATAATGAATAATGAATAATGTGAAGCGTCATTGACTGTCCAAAAAAGCGCTAAATAAAACCGATGCAATATTATCATTATTATTATTATTCATAATAAACACAGTGAAAATGCATAGACTGTGTAATAGTATTAGTCTAAGTGCTGATGTCACCACAGAGTTTGCTGAGTGTAGGAAGCCAATTCAAACATAAGCTAGCTGGAGCCAATTTCCTTATATGGGCATTTGGGCAGATGTGTTGCTAAGGCATACTGAGCGAATCCTTATATGACTCTGGATTTACAAAGACATATCAAAATATAAACCTCAGGACCACAAATATTTAATCCCAAAAGGGTGAGTTACGTAGATAAAGGTGTTTTTTTCAACATGTCTTTTAAGTTGTATTGGCTTGTGTCTGAAATACTGAAACACAACTCTACAACATGAACGAGTAAACACCATTGACGCTCTTTGAGAATTATGTACACTTTGCCTTGAGCTCTGAGGTCAGCTGCTGCTCCTACTTCTCTGCTCAAAGCCAGGCTCCAGACCAGAAGTGACTGTAGTGACACGCACCTCTGCATGCGGGCTTTGGTCAGCTTCTTCTTCTTGGGCCCTCTGCGTTTGGGCCGCTCCTCACCCTCCTCTCCGTCCTCGTCTCCTTCGTCCTCTGGCTCTTCCTCCTCCCCGTCCTCTCCCCCGTCCTCCCCGTCCTCCCCCTCCTCCTCCTCATCTCGGGGCTCATCCATGTGCTCTAGGTCCTGGTCCTGGTCCTGGTCCTGGTCTGGACTCTGCTCCTCTGTGTCACACTCGTCCTGCAGAGAGCGCGTCATCTTCTCCTGCTGCACACACGCAAACACACACACACACAGGTTTTATAAGGTTTGGATCAAAGTTTGCAGAAGTTTACAAGTCTTTTATATATCCCAAGTCCATGGGGATATGTAAAAGGAGAGCATAAAAATTTCGAACCGACGAATTAATTCAAGCCTTTATTTAAATAGAAATGGTTTGATGTTCAAACGCTGAGAAATTACATAATTTCTCTATTTAGGGCTGTTCAACATGTGCAGACCGTCTGTCTGATCTAAACAAAGAGAAGCTGATAACAGAGCGGGAACAACAGATGAGGTGCCAGAAGAACCACTATATCTAACCACATGTTAGGTGTATTGGTTGATATCGAGCCCAACGTAGAAGAAAAATGCTTGGAATCCAAACTTATTCTGTACTTTTCCCTTTTGCTCCCAGTAATCTGTATGTTTTATATAGACACGCTCACACCAGACACCCACCAGATGTGGGTGCTTAGGACAGAACAACTGTGGCACCTGCTGTTCCCAGAGGTCTCCCATCACAGTACTAACCAGGTCTTGTCCTGCTTAGCTTCAGGAGTCTGGCAGGATCAGACTGATGGACTTTCTTACTTTTGGTCTCATTAAGTAAAACATCAGATGTAAAAGTTGAGCTGAATAAAAAACTTTTATAAGAGATAATCATGAGGCCTTTTTTTCCCCTTTAATCATTACATACCTGACTGTTTTCATCAGCTTTGGCCTGGACACATATCCGTATTCCAAAAACATAAACAGATAGACTAGTAGTAGACTTTCAGTGATCTAGACAATTGTTTAGGATCTCTGGAGAGCCACGGATCTTTTTGTGTTGTAGCTACGACCACATGATGTTTCCCGTTTAAAGGAGAGAACCAATAGTTGGCAACCATTATGGCTCTACAAACAAATCTTGACTCGTCGCCAGTCTGTAAAGGAGTGTCAGTGTGACGTAACAAAGGGACGCGATGACTGATCAATCATCCCAGATTATCTAATCCATAATTCTCTGTGGAGTCGGATGAGTGGCTAATATCATGACGTGTGTATCGCATGTCATGATATTAGCCACAGACCCTCATGCTGTCAACAAGTACTGATGTATATATACAACTGTACATTTCTTGCACTAGATTTTATTGCCTGCTTCTGTATTATGCTAAAGTTAGAGATTTTACTCACGTTTCCTTATTATGCTAAAGTTAGAGATTTTTTACTTATTTATTTTAGTATAGAGTTTCTGTTCACTTATCTAATCAAGTGTGGTTGAAATGTTTAATTCTCTGATCTGTGTTGACGAATTTGACGGTTTTGTAAAGAGCCTCCGAGATAACTACTGTTGTGATTTAGGGCTTCACAAAAATAAATTGAATTCAACTGAATTCTTCTGCTGTGTGCTCCTCATTCCTACTGTTCTGTAAATGGTGATGCAACACTGAAATTTCCCCACTGTGGGACAAATGACTTATTGCTGTGCTCCTCCCTTTACTCTAACAACAGCTTTCAAAGACGAAATCCAGCACAAGACACGAACACGTCTGAATGAAACTGATGCAGAGAGGACGTGTGTGAAGCAAAGGCGGTCATGAGCCAATGTCCTGGAGGCCGAGCGTCTGGGGCAAACGGCTAATCAGGCTGATGTCATAATGCTCTCACACAGCGGAAGCAAGTCAGACCGGGTCTGAGTCAGACTGGGACAGAACCATAGAATGGGGGTGTCCAAACTTTTTTTTTAGGGTCACTTTAGTCTACCAGACTTGTCTAGGGGCCGACAACCTGGATTGAAAAATGTTTTTGATAGCATTAAAATCATAAATAATTGTAATTTTGTGCCACAATCAAAAACAAATAACCAGTATATACAAAAAAACAAGCTTTACAACAAGATATATCATATGTATATTGGTAGAGCTGAAGTTGGCTGTATGACACTGTGAACTGGTGTCTATGATATCGTGTGTTAGTGAGGCAAAGGGCCAGAAAACTTGACACAGAGGGCCGCACTCGGCTCGGGGGCCTGAGTTTGGACATGCCTGCTGTACATAGATGGATCACAAGCTGTTTATAGATGGACAATGCTAACCCGCTAGCTACATAAAGCCCAATAAGGAAGTTGCTCTGATTTATATTGAAAAGTGATCCTGATTTTGTTATGTATGTATTGTTTTTGCAAATCCAATATGAGCTATTCATGCATTGATTAATCAGATTTCTCTCATCTTCATTCGTGAGAGAAACTCCTTCCTTATCAACTGTCTTAGCAACAGATCTGCCCTTGTTATAAGCAAATAGGCTTCTCCCACAAACGCAGCAGTTTTGTCAGTCCACTCCTAATATACAGTCTGGACAGAACCAGACCATGACAGAGACTGGATGAGGATGTACTTAACACACACTGTCCCTGTTTTCAGAGACACCAATCTAACTGAAGTCACATGCACCCAGGTGAAAACAGTCTGGGTGACATTTAGGAAGGTCTGAGGACAATAGTGATGATCCAAGACACTCTGTATTCAATGACATTTATGGACTTTATCAACATTTATGGACATTGGTCAACTGCCCCTTATGGACCAATGGCTCTATGTGTTTTTTGTCATTTCATTTCTTGTGTTTGAACTGTTTGATTCCATGATCTGTGTTAGCGAAAGGTTTTGTAAAGTCCTCTGAGATAACTGCTGTTGAGATTTAGGGCTGTACAAGAGTAAATTGAATTGCATTGAAGTTACTGTGCATTATATTAACACAATTTCTACTGAGAAATGGCTGTATCCTATATACTTTCATTAAAATTGGGCATCTGGCTGTTACTCGTCATGCAACTACATTTTGCACCCCTGGTAATGGCTTCTGGGCTATTTTTATAAAACTAATTTACACTTGTGTTTACAGCTGATCAGAGAAACGGTACAAATGACATCTTTAGTACAGGAGCATGTGTTTGTGTCGCTGTCCAGGGCTGGACTTTGGACTCGCACCAAAGTACATCCGTGACATGTTAGTATGAACCTACTCCTGGCCTCCTGCTGGTGCCCAGGGTCAGGACAAAATGTGGAGAGGCAGCATTGCACATTTTTGGGCTTCCACTATGTTCAAATCCAGGTTAAAAACAGTTCTGTTTAGCTGTGCATACTACTGATGCATTGTATCTGCACTTTTAGTGTGCTGTGATTATTTATGTTTTTGTGACGTTAAGTGTCTTGCCTAAGGACACAACGACAGCAGTCATCAGTGGGAGTTGTGAAGTAGGTCTTACGGTGGGCTCAAACCCACGACCTTCAGGCTCAAAGGCCGATGCTCTACCAACTGAGCTACTGTCACCCCTTGAACCATGTTTCAAAAATGTCTACTCATCAAAAACAAACCTAGAACCATTCCTAGCTCCATCCATGCCTATATCGGAAATTCTGGCACCTTCTGCCCAAACCAGTCCTTTCCTTCTAGGGGCCACATGCGGCCCCTAGACTGCAGTTTGCCCACAATCCTTCCCAGCTATCAACCTCATACTGTCCTCTGTCGCGCTGGTGCTCTACTCTATTTAAATTAATGTAGGTCAAAACAAATGGATGTTTGTAGCTTTATTTATAGCAGTTATTCCTCGTGAAAACGACCAAATGGATTCTGTTCTAAACAATTTTCTGTCCACTTAAACGCTAATGAGCTACACAGTGATTTGTGACCATTTCAATCCAAAAAGAAGACATAATGTTGAAGAAAAGGCAATAGTACAAGGCTGTGGACATATTACTTTCTGAGTATTAAAACTGCGTATCCCATGAACCATTTCATTTGAAAAAAATAACCCTTAATAAGCAACATCCTTGGAGTAGCAGTTGTACAGTATGTTTTACGGCTCTAAAACCCTAGCACACACTTTATTCACTTTTCCAACCACCTGAACTCATGACTCATGATTGCTGAGATTTCAAACCTGTTGGTTATAGGTCTGAGAGCTGCTGCATTTGTAAAAAGCCATGTGTACACTTTAAAAAACAGCTGCAGAGGCCACTGCGCCAAATGAAGGCATCTTTTTGATCAATCCATAAATGGCTCATGTCTGGATTAACAAAGACAGTATCAAAAAAGTAACACCAGGATCACATAAAAACCCCAAAATGGTTAATGTGACACACACTGTTACTGAGTAAGAGGAGTTTACTTTTCAATACAAGTCAGAACTTTGTCCATGAGTACTTCCTTCATTGAGCTACGGGTTGGCGTTTCCAGCTGTATACAGTCTATGACCGCACAGTGTTAGCTGTGATGCGAAAAAGCAGACTGTCTTTGGAAAACCGCATGAATACAAACAACTACTAAACAGGACAGTTTTTGTGTTGAAAAAGAAAACTCAGAAGACATTTGTGTAAAAATATTGTAATGTTTGTTTCTTAAATGGCATAAACACTTCTGGTGTTTGGGCATTTCAGCACCACAAGCCCTGGACAGCGACGCATTCACATCTGCATGTTATAAGGACATATCATGGAAAAATATCTCTTTTTTTTTTACTTTTTAACCAAATACATTGTTCTTTGAAAAAACAGACCTGGAGCTGTTTTTACCTCCATCCACGCTTCGACCAGTCGGGCTCTTTTCAGATCAAATTCCCCTGTCTACATACTGAGGCCATCCCTACCATCACTCAGCAGTCAGGTTTGATTGGAGTTTTAATATTTAAAAAAAAATTAAGGATCTCTTAATCTTAGAGCATTTTATTAGCATTTTTTCCCACGGTTTGTCCCAACAGAAAGTAAGTAAAACATTGCGGAAATAGATCAGACCATGACAAGCTGTTTATTTGACGCACAGGGTTCTTTCTTTTGTCTCAGAATGAGCCCTGTGAGTCACTATTTTGACGCTTTGCTCCGAGAGCTGAAGGGGGTTCTCTCTTTTTCACTTTTCTGTCTGAGAAAGCTGTTCTAAAGATGTGACCAAAAATACATGTATGTGAAAACTAGTGACAGGAATAATCTGGTTTAGAGCCAGACAAAAGTTAGATGGATGTTATCACAGATATGTAGTTCTATTTTTTGTGGTTTTGAAAGTTATATTAATAATAAAAACTATTTATGACCAGTTTGTAATGTAATGCTGGTGTAATTTTTAATAAATTGAGTTCCGCCAAGGCTTAGAGTCTATGTAGCCCCGTTTACGATTTCTGCTGTTAAAAAATACAATTAATTTAGAGCGCAGTGAATGGCCTCCTGCTGGGACTCTGAGGAACACAGGGACTGGTCTCCTGCAGGGCCTCTGAAGAGCACAGGGACTGGTCTCCTGCTGGGATTCTGAGGAGAACAGGGACTGGCCTACCGCTGGGACTCTGAGGAGCACAGGGACTGGCTGGTGAGACAAGGTTTTACTCTGAGGATGTTCTGAAATCACTCCAAATTGTAGTGAAGGCTTCTAATTTGAGAAAGCTGAGAAATATTTACAATTATTGACCCAAAAATAAGTTAAAAGTAGGCTTCTAAATTTGAGTAAAAATACAAATTACACAAAACATTCTGCGTGTATGTTTTTTTGTTAAATGTTCTAATTGACTTTACGAGTCACAGTCGTATTGATTAAGATGAGATTCCAAAAGTGCTGATGGGGGTGAGGGGTGAGGGGTGAGGAGCCTACCTGACTGCTGTGGCGTGGTGCCTTCAGGGTCCGGTCATGTCCTTATGGCCACAATGGGAAAATCAAACGTATCCAGAGTGGGACCTGTGCTTTGAGATGTGAGCAAGTCTGCGTGCGCTTTTTATCCATGCGCACGCACACACAGACAGCAGGCCACACCCCCTCCTCTGTCCATCTGAACACGCCCCCTTTGCCCCCTCCCTCCTCTTCCTCCTCCCTTCCTCCTCCCTCCTCCCATTACGGAGCCATATGCCTGCAGAGCCCAGGCCATCTGTCACCGCAGTCTCAGACCTACTTATGCCTTTTACTCCATTTCTCGCGCTTCTTTTTGCGCTTAGAGGAGAAGAGCTGCTCGGTTTTGGCAAAATATCTGTTTGCCATATTTCTGACCAATCATGCAAGTTTTTTAAGTTAACCATGTTTAAAAACCTCTCCACTTAAAAAGCATACGTACTGTAATTTCATGCAAATAATGCAACACAAAGAGCTACATTTTGGTTAAAAAACAGTCCCGCATGCACACACACGCACACACACACACACACACACACACACGCACGCACACACACACACACGCACACAGACACACACACACAGAGACACACACACCCACAAGCACATAAAATAGGTAAAACCATGAAAAACCCATAGGACGGTGCCATAGGACCCAGCTGAAGAAGCTCCATGAAGGAGATGTCTGCACCTGAGCAGAGAACCGCCTCCTGCCATGGGCCCGAGCAGAGATGAAGGTGAGGCTTTCATCCTCTACCTCTTTCATCCTCTACCAGGTCAAAAGTAAATAGTTGTGAACAATTAAGACCACATATGCGGCTGAGTAAGGGTGGCCCACTCTTCTTCACTTTTCTGTCTGAAAGAGATGATATAAACATGTGACAGAGGCCAAAATATATATGTAAAAGTGATAGAACCATTCTTTTTGGAGAGCAAGGAGATAGTTTATTACATTCCCTTTATTTCTCTGCTGTGAAAGTTACAGTAGGTAGGAATTGAACAGATAATGGACCCCAGTAGACAGAGACCTGAGGAGAAAGGCTCAAGGTACTGACTTTACTTATCAAAAGAATAAAACATTGTGATTATCTCTTTTTCTTTGTGCGAGCAGACAAACAAACAAACAGCATCAAGAAAACCTCTGTGGGTTTAACCTGACCGACGCTCCTCTGAGGAGTGACGATAGCAGGTGTCAGATGAAGATGATGTCATGTCCCAGACGGGACTGTCTGCTTTCATTACTAAGTATACAACGGTAGTTTTTAAATTGATCAGCCATGATATAGCCTGGTCGTACCACACCATAATACAAATTACATTTCATACTAAGGTCTGGATTTGCTCCATTGAGCTCCGTGAACAGGTGGGAGGGGTTCACTCCTTTTGCAGATTGAAACAATTGGATCTGAGTTTACCGTGACGTATGTAAAGCGCCCGAGTGAGTCGTTAGCATTTAGCATTTAGCCTAGCCATCTCCTTTGCCGCTAACGGAGCCCGTGGGGAGTAGCGCCACAATCTTGACCAGCGATTACATTTGCTAAACATTCCTCCTGCTCCTGCTTCAATTTCTTGATAGAACCAGACCGGATTACTTTACTATCGCATTCTTCGCCATTGCCAAACTACAACCTGCCCGTTCTGTGCAAACTCTTGACGTCACTGGCATCGACTTACAACACCCGCCTTCCGCGCTCTCTGAGTAGCCGGATGAAATACGACCGATTGTATTCGCTAACACAGGGACCAGACCCAGACGTTACATGCAGTGAAATGATGATTGAGCGGAGTGTACGGATGGCTATGGCCAGGCTAACCATGATATATTTTTACTAATGAAAATGTATTATGTTAATTTTTCATTTTGTTTGAATCGATCCAATGCATGAAAAGTCTTTATGTTGAAGAGTAGAGCCCTGATGGTAAACACCCACCCAGCCTCAAGTCTTGTTGCATCGAGGGGGATGAGCAGAGCAGCTTTGAGCTGACCACAGCACCTTCTTCCACATGTTGGATAATAAGTCACTTTCGACACTGCTTCTGTGTCCAAGTAAATTCTCTAGGGGATCAAGAGGTTTGTCTGAGTAAGTAATTCATGTTTATTTATATAGCATATTTTATAGACCAAGGTTACCGAAAGCGCTTTACAATGAGTTAACCCTTTGATGCACAACATGGGTCAAAAGTGACCCGACTGAGTTTTTATGTTCTTTATCTTTGCAATGGATTAATTTAATCTTTTAGTATTCCAGGTATTCCTCAATTAGCTTGTTTTTGATCTTTAAACATCCTCATTTTATTATTTGTTTTCTTACTTTTTGAATAAAAATGATTTTTGTATCACTACCCCTCTAATGCACAACATGGGTCAAAAACGACCCACATCCATTTTCAATGTAAATTCATGTATGGCTGAGTGTTGCTTTGCTACACCTTTGTAATATATATATTTTTTCATTTAGTACTCCATGTATACAGTAAATAACATGTTTTTATTCATCACAAATAATATTTTTTATGTTTCCTTTCTTACTCTATGAACAAGCTCAACATTTGTAATCCTACATGAACTTCATACACATGCATTCACTGTGGCATTCAGTAAGAAGCTTTGAATTTGAGCATGTTTGCTAAGGAATATTTTGACAGCGGACAAGTCAATTGCAGAAGACAGTTCATCTATGGTGACTGTCACCATAGATGAACTGCTGGTGCCATTTCAGGGCAGGTGCAAGTTGAAGCAGTACGTATATGCCCAGCAAGCCTGTGAAGTACGGGATAAAAATCTTCTGGATGTGCGATGCAAGACTCCATTATGCAATAGATGGAATTGTCTATACAGGAAGACAGCCAGGAGAGGAGGGGCAGAAGAACCTTGGGAAGAACATTGTTCTAAAATTGTGAAGCGGAATCAGACAGACAGGTGATTATAGAAACTGGAAATTAAAGCTTTACATAATGTAAATGTTATAGCACACTGCTTTCCACACCCTCTCGGTCGCAACATCACAATGGACAACTTCTTCACCAGTGTCCCTCTGGCTGAGAAGCTCCTCGAGAAGAACCTGACTATTGTGGGCCTTCGCCAGAACAAGCCAGACATACCATCATAAAGCCATCCAAGTCAAGGGTGATTCATTGGCAACATGACCATGTGCAGAAGAAGGCAAAGGCTGTTATCCTCCTGAGCACAATGCATGATAACAGAGCAATGGATGAAGACAGCCAGAAGAAGAAATCAGAGGTGATACAGTACTACAACAGATGGAGAACAACCACTCTCAATCAACTTCACTGTCGAACACAATGGTTACATGGTTGAGGTCACCAATGCATGCCGGCTATTCATCTAGGAGCTGGGCAAAGAGCTTGTCGCATGGAAGACATACCCACACTCCAAAAGCATATCATAGAGGCAATGGGAAGATGTGGGATCGAAAAACAAAACACAGCCACTACCTAGTCACAAGAGGACATGAGACAGGAGTGCCCAGCGAAAGAGGAGGAGGTGTGTAATCTACCCATCTGCCAAAGACAGAAAAGCCAGCAGCTGGTGTTCCCAGTGCAAGAGGCCTGTGTGCTATGAGCACAATTGTGTAGTGGTCACTTTTTCTATATCTGAGGAATCTTGAGAACTGAATTGACAAGTTGTGCTCTACCGGTGTGATCAGTTATATTTTATTTTATTTTGTTCAATGCACGAGTTTTTTTTTTTTTTTTTTTGTCGGATGTATTTGTATGTGTTCCAAAATGACAAATAAACATGTTTCAAAGGTAAAATGTATGATTGTTTGGCCCAAATCCCATCTAAAATAGATATTTGAAGCAAAATTGTATTATTACATGCCTTCATTTTTGTTTTAAATCGCAATTGAATGAATGGGTCATATTTGACCCATGTGTGTATTCTTGATATAGTTATACAAAAATGAATTTTGTTCAAAAAGTAAGGCAGGAAAAACATGAATACTGATGTTTGGTAATCAAAGACAAGACATTTAAAGAATACTTGGATTATTGAATTATAAAATGCATTGATTTAAAAAGAAACAGCAAAGAAACGCTCAGCCTGCATGAGATAACCTGGGAAATGAATGCGGGTCATTTTAGACCCATGTTGTGCATTAATAGGGGTGTGCGTATGTTGTGCATCAGATTCAGATTCAGATTCAGTTTATTTGCCATTTGCAGTAAAAAAAAAACACATTGGAATACATTAGCAAAAGTCTCCAGTGTGCACAGACAAATATAGACATAAAACAACATTAAAAGACAAAAATAAAACAAATAAAACAGTAAACAAATGTCACTGTGAAATCGATCGACTAAAACAGTTCAAAACAAGTGCAAATCATTAAAGTGCTCTGTTCACACTGATAACAGCCTGTGGATAAAAACTGTTAGCGTAACGAGATGTCCTGCATCTCAGAGAGCGATATCTTCTGCCAGAGGGAAGAAGCTGGAACATGGCTTTCCCAGGGTGGCCATAAGAGTCATTAACAATCCTAAGAGCTTTGTTTAAAAGTCTGGATTTATAAAGAACCTCCAGAACAGGAAGCTCACAGCCCACGGTCCTCTTTGCAGAGCGGAGCACCTTGTTTAAAGATCTCTTTTCTTTATCTGTGATGTTTCCAAACCACACAGACACAGAACCAACAAGTAAACTCTCAATGGTGCAGCGATAAAAGTTAAGCAGAATCTTAGAGTTAGTGGTAAATTCTCTAAGTTTACGCAGAAAGTAGAGACGCTGACGAGCTTTCTTAACGACTCGGTCAGTGTTTTTAACCCATTTCAGGTCGTTAGACAGAGTTAAACCCAGAAACTTGCACTCCTCTACGATCTGCACCTGGGAGTTGTCGATTACGACAGGCAAATGAGAACTATTGCGACTGAAGTCGTAGACCAGTTCACATGTTTTGGATGCGTTCAACTGGAGGTTGTTAGTTTTACTCCACTGAACCACATTTTGTATCTCTGCTCTATAAGAGGATTCATCATTGTTACTGATGAGACCGATGATGGTGGTGTCATCAGCATATTTAATGATCAAGTTTGAGTCAGAGGAGGACACACAATCGTGAGTGTACAAAGTAAAAAGCAAAGGACTCAAAATACATCCCTGAGGAGAACCAGTGCTCACAGAAACAACATCAGAAAAACAGTCATTGATTTTCACTCTCTGAGATCTGTCAGTTAAAAAGCTAAAAAATCCATTTACACATGGCAACACTTAAACCGAGAGACATGAGCTTTTCAATCACTTTACCTGGGACAAGGCAGTTAAAAGCAGAGCTATAATCGATGAAAAGCATTCTCGCGACAGATTTCCTAGTGTCCAAGTGACTGTAGACAGAGTTCAGAGCAAAGGAGATGGCATCCTCCACAATCCTGTTCTGTCTGTAGCAAACTGGAGCGGGTCAACGCTCACAGGGATCTGGCTCTTAATGAAGTCCAGCACAAGCCGCTCAAAAGTTTTCATAAGAACAGACGTGAGGGCCACAGGACGATAGTCATTAAGGCATGTCACAGGAGTTTTCTTAGGAACTGGAATGATGGTCGACTCTTTAAAGCAGTTCGGTACAGTACAGTTCCTTAGTGACAGGTTGAAAATGTCTGTTAGCACAGGGGCAAGTTGCTCAGAGCACAGTTTCAGGACACGAGGAGGGATGCCGTCCGGCCCTGGGGCTTTCCGGACTGTGGTCCTGGACAAGACACGCCTGACTTCCTCCTGAGTCACGGTGAAGGTACCTTGATTGAAACAATCAGGGAATACAGTAGGACAGGCATCAGCGGATTCAAAGCGACAGTAGAACGTGTTCAGCTCGTTTGGCAGAGCTTGGCCGACAGATGCAATTTTCCCAGCGCTAGGTTTCCACGATGTGATGGCTTTAATACCGTTCCACATGCGCCGAGGGTCATCTTCCTCAAAATAACCTGTCCCCGTAACTGCGCTTTGCAGATTTAATAGAACGTTTCAATAAGTAACAGGATAGCTTCTAAGCAACTGTATCATTTGATTGAAACGCCAACGCACGCTCATGAAGTTTCAGTTTCACTTCCGCGTTCATCCAAGGGTTTTGACTAAAATGTTCTTTAATGACCTTCTGTGGGACACAGCAGTCAATACAGAAGCGTATGTATCCAGACACAGCGTCACAGAATTCATTGACGTCCTCTGACTGAAACACAGACCAGTCCGTAGCATCAAAACAACCTTGTAGCTTCATGCTAGCCTCCTCAGACCAACACTGCACAGTGCGAGAGGTTGGTTTATGTTCCCTGCTCCTCTGAGTATACGAAGGAAGAAGGAGAACAGAGGAGTGGTCGGACTTTCCAAAGGGAGGTCTGAGACTGGACCTGTAAGCTCCCTTCACGTTACTGTAGCAGTGATTCAGAACATGTGCTCCTCTTGTAGCTTGAGTCACATGTTGGTAAAAGTTCGGGAGTACAGTCTTTAAATTACATTTATTGAAATCCCCTGCAACAATGAGGACTGCGTTAGGATGAGCAGACTCATGTTTGTGAAGGATCTGGCTCAGATCCTGTAGGGCTACTTTGTAATCCGCACGTGGGTGAATGTAAACAGCACATAAAAATATCACTGAAAACTCACGGGGAAGATAAAAAGGGCGGCAGCTCAAGACCAGGCATTCCAGATTGGCAGTACATGTTTGGTTCACGATTCGAGTGTCCGTGCACCAGCGCTGATTAATTAAAAAGCACACACCTCCGCCTCTGGTCTTGCCCGATCAAAGGGTTAAGATATTTTTCCATTCACTCCACACACGGTGATGACGGAAGGAAGTCCCGAACACACTGGTGCATCAAAGCCCCCAACACCATCCACTCACTCATTACTATCAGACCTATTGTATATGTTTTTAATGGCGGGGAAACGGAGCACTCGCAGACACAGGGAGAACATGCAAAATCCACACAGAAAGGCATGGAGGTGGAATCAGGACCTTCTTGCTGTGAGGCACAAGTGCTAACCACTGTACCACTGAGCCACCCTAAGTCTTAGTGTGTTATTACTGTAGCCGACGGAAACATGTTAATATTAGATGTATAGATGGGCTCTCGGCCCAGATCCTGTTTACAGAACAGTCCTGTTCATATCTGGCAACAAAACTCTCCTTCAGTCAAAGTCTTGGTTACTGTCTCTTCTGAATCTAGGCACAGTGCTTAGGAAGTCTCCCACTTCCTAAAACCCCACTGTCAGAGCTGTTGGTCAAAGTCTAGGAGCGAGAGAACTTCTGAGAACATTGCTCAGGTTCTCCCTCAGGTTTTATTTCCAAAGGAGGATCTAAGGACATCAGGGCATTTTCTATTTGCTCAAATACTTGTGAACATTGGTCAATTAAAATATGTTTGATTCTTATTGATTGTATGATTACATTTCTGTAGTATAACTTTCTCATTAATTAAAGTCTTAAGTAGCCATCAAAGCTCCACAAAATAAGTCATGAGTAGACAATAAACAACATCAAAGTGAGTAAATCTTTAGAGTATCGTTTATTCCTGCCCATGATCTATATTTTCAACTTCAGTACTTTCTTTTTTGTTTCCAAATATCAAAAATGGAAATTTCCTCTGTGGAGGAAGCCACTCTTACTCGGAGTAGAGCCACTGCTTCTCCACTTATGAGAGGAACCAGTTAAGGTGGCGTCCAGATGCTTCCTGGATGCCTCCCACCTGGAGGAGAAGACCTCCAGGTGGGGGACACGCTGGGGGGACTATGTCTCTCAGCTGCCCGGGAAACCCTCGGGATTCCCCCAGATGAGCAGGAGGAAGTGTGTGTGGAGAGTGAAGTCTGGACATCTCTGCTCAGACTGCTGCCCCCACGATTGGCACCGGATAAAACAAAAGAAATTGCAGCTTAAATCAATTTGAAACTTAAGCAGCTGCAAACACAGACATGTGATTGTAACAAATTAAATTTCACCTGAAAAACTGTCAAAATGAATTAATGGGAAATCCTTATAATATAATTTTTGGTGAATTCAGGACTGCTTTTAGACAGAAGGGACAGAATTACCTGTTTGTGCCAGAAGTTCTTGATATTAGCAAGGATGGATCTAAAATCAACTCCAGGTCTGTGATCAATAACAATGTGGTAAGATGGTTCATACTTGGAAAAGTCAGTTCTGCAGAATGTGTCTCCTTTACTAAAGCAGCTTTGTGACAATCACCTCCTGAAAATGAGGGCTGTGTACAGATGTGGATCAGTGGAGAATGCCGCGGTCCCAGCAGACCTCACACAAGCGTCTGAGACTGGACTCTCGTCCCCGGGACACGCTGGAGTGGTTGCCGGGCTGTCCTGGCTGGTTGCCTGGAAACGGAGTAAAATGGTGTAATATTTAACATGAGGACAAACAGCAGCTGGACACGAGACGAACAAGCAGCTACTCAGCTGTCACATGTCGCAAGTGCTACGTGAGCAGAGACAGGAGAGGACTGTGGAAATATTTAATATATATAACATATGCTCTAGTTGGCTTAAGAGACATAATATGCTAAATCGACTTTTTATGTTTCAATCTGCAGCAACTCAAACTGAAAAAAGGGGGTTATTGGAATTTTATTTTTGGTTTTGAAAGTAGTCTGTCACCACATGGTTAGCAAACAAGACTCTTGCAGACTATTTTTGACAAGAATGACATTTATTGAATGCTGTACATTGAATGTGGCCCTTAGACCCCGACAGAGCACTGCAAGACAAAAGACAGAAAGGAAAATGAAAATAGAAATTATGAGATGAAACTGCCTGGTGGTGGTGGCTATGGGCAAAATAGCTGGTCTGGCGGACAAAGTGGTGATGGGGAGGAGGAGGGTTGCTGCACGAGTGCTTGCTTGAATGACACAATATGAAATCTCAGTGCAGTGCTGAAATGCTGCCATCTGAGCGTGATTGACAGACCAGTTAGTTTTGTGCACAAGTAGTTCTTCTGTCTTCCAGTCTGAACCTCCGCTTTAGCTTCATATAAACATTGGGCCTCATTCACCAATATTTTCCCAAGAATCTTTCTAAATTTCTTCTCATGTCGTTCTTAAGAAGATTTCTATGAAGAGCTTTCGTGGATTCATCAACGTGCTCTTAAGCTGCTAAATTGTTTGCAGCTGCTTTCTTATTGATGAATGCCATCTCCTCATAAATCTAGCGCACGTGCCAGGTGAGTCATTAGCATAGGTAACCGCACATTAATGCCAATGAAAGGGACTGCACAGCAACATGCCGAAAGCAAAGAGTTACGACGGAGCAAAAGGGTCACCCTTCTTTTTTTCTTTTGCCAGACTGAGATTAAAGCCATAATATTTAGACTTTAAAGTCATTTGACATAAAAGCCAAAATATTATGAAAATATAGTTGAACTAGCTAAATTATTAGAATAATTTCAAAACATTATGAGATTAAGCTTAAAACATTTCGGACCCTGGGAGGAGAGACCAGCGTGGCCCCGAGGAGAGATCAGCGCGGAACCTCCTGCAGCAGCCATATATATGCCATTGTTTTGTGGCCCGTGGCATTGATTTCCAATTTATTATATAAAGCGTTTGCACATTTGATTTGAAAAATTAATTTTAAAAAGTGGCTAAATTACCACAAATAATGATATTAGTAAATACATACATCAGTATGGCAGGTATATCACTGTAATGTTGTGTTTTATTGAACTTTACAAAAGTAGACAACACCAGTGTGCGAACACGTCTGCACTGAATATGCTTAAGAGTGCTCCTGAGTTTTCTGAGGATTTGTCCTTACCCAAGAGAAATCCTGGGAAAGAGAAAAATTAACGAATTTGTTCTTAAGAACAGTTTGTGAATGAGGGCCAATGTTCCTCATCAGTCCTCAAAAACCTGGGGATGTTTTTAGATCACCTGAAATTGTCTTGCAGACCAAATTTAGCCTGAGTTTGACATACCTGCTATAGATAGTGCTAATGTAGCTGGTGAGATGGTAAACATTTATCATTCACCCCATAATGTGGAGAAACAGTTATAAAGCTAAAGAAGTTTACTTTTCAATAGGAGTCAGAGTGAGTTGAAGCAAAACTTCCCTATCAGGCTCCATTGAGTTATTAACTAGACTGAGCATTGTCCATTTATATACAGTCTATGACTCCAACTGAAATACCCTTTGAGAACATGAACACAACCCATACAACTAATAGTTATGTTTTAGACAGGGACTGCCGCTGGCCTTGGTGCTGAATGCTATACATTCCCATAACACTTTGGCTCCTGTGTTTCTGTTTTGGTATTATAGTTCCTGTGTTTGAACTTTTTAATTCACTGGAGTCTGATCACAACGTTCCAAACAGCCTGTAGTTTCACATTGTGATAGAGCTGATCTGTTGTTTGAAAATTGACAACTTTGCTGTCCTCAGAGATGACTGCAGTTGTGATTAAGGGATATATAAAATACATTTAATTGATTTAACCTTAATTCACTTTCCACTGTTGCTTCTTTAATCATATGTAACTATTATTATAACTATTATCATAATGATCATTAATTTATTATTAAGCTTTATTTTTGGAAACAAAGGTCCATAGATACAGTATCTATGGACCTTTGAGACAGAACATGAAAATGACAGGACATGAACAGAAAAAATAATAAAACAGATAAACTTGGTAAATTCTCTGATGCCAATGAGTCCACATTTCTTTTTCTTTCTGCTGTTAAATAATTGTCTTTTAGTCATGCTGTGAACGTGGCTAATAATAACTTCATTCCTTCACTTTTATAGTTTTGGCCTCTCACCAGCTGTTTGAAACCCCTGTAATAAGTCATAATAACCAGTGCCTCTGTATAATTCTGTAAAAAAAAATTATGTATTTTCAGTAACTTAAAACATAAATCAAAGGGCTTTTTTAATCATCTTGGTATTCCCCTTCCATTGCAACTGTTCTTATCGTAACATTTCCCTTTCAATTTTTTCCTAATCATTTTCATCTCAAATATATATTTTCTGACAGTAAATCAAACAACGTCACACAACACTGAAAACATGTGAGTCAGTTTTACAATCACGAGTCAAAGTCCAAATGAAAGTCATAAAAGTGGATCTGTTTTACAGGATGACAGAGACTTAGAGAGCTACATCACAAGAGCAAGAACAGTATTATGTTTCTAATATTAGTATTTTTTATCATACAAATGGAGCTGGAGGAGGTAGACCAGTGTTGGGCAAACCCTTCCCTTTCTATCAGACTCCTGAGCCCCCATTAGTTTATATAGATATGGCATAAAAACTATAAATCCCTCTGTGTTGTGTGTAGAGCTCTGGAGCCGCAGTCACAATACTTGCCCTGCCCCAATATTTAATTTTTAATATAATAAATTGATGTGTAAAAAAGCCCGAGAAAAACATCGGAAATTAGCCCTCACAAGGAAAAGGGGTATCTGCCGTCCATCAATGATTTGAAATATTGCGTCCATTGCAATATTGAACTCAAAATGTCCAATATTTCAGCAATATACAATACCAATTAAATGTATTGGTGCATCACTAGAGAGCGGATGGGGCCAAATTATTCCATCCGAACCCAGTGATGTCCGACAGAGCAGGTTTTAAGATACAGTATTTAGGTTCGAGACCCGACCCAAGCCCGACAGTTTCCAACATACTAATGATATAATATGATATGCACTAAACAGAAAAAAAAATTACAACTGTAGGCAAAACAGAATGAGTGATCAATTCTATCTATTTGCGTATACTACTCCTAAACCACAACAGCAGTCACAAGGACGACAACAGTACAAAGTATCAAACCGTTGGAAAACAGGGAAGGCAATAATAACAAACAAATAGATGCGGGATGACCAATGTCCATAAATATTAATGTATGTCCTTAAAGAAACAAAATCAGAATCACAAACCACAAAATCAGCAATGCACTCAGCTCCCACATGGTGGCAGCATTACGCGCCAAACAACAGATCTGACAAATAAATTGGCATGCGATATAACAACATACAAATAATAATCCATTTTAAATCAAAAGCTTATATCATAATTGAGCTAAATGCCCTGATGTGCGGTGAACATCTACTCTGACGTGACCGAACCCGACACGACAAACAATTGGAAGAAAGTCATCACAAAACAGTACAGTAGAAGAGTAAGAGAGTGTCTATCCTCCTCAATGAGCTGCAGTCTCTCCCTGACACAGCTCTGCTCACTTCCTCAAAAGGGCTCCTGGTCTCCGTGTGGCCCCTGACTGGGACTGGCCCCAGTGAGTGTGTGGCCAGTGCAGTGTGGAGCTGTAGAAAGCTGTTGTGGTCTTTGGTGAGAGACAGTGTGTCCAGGTCACAGAGGCTATTCTTCAGCTGCTGCTTCACTTGGTCTTGGATCTCTCTGACTCGTCTCAGTCCTCTCTCCTCCTCAGACTGGATGTGCTGCTCCACTTCCGCTTCAATCTGGTTGTTACAGGGACAAATTAAGACCCAGAATGGAGAACTGCAAAAATAACGGATTTTTTTTTTTTTAATCCAGTGTAAAGAACTAAAGCGAAATGGAAATGACAATGACAGAACATGAAGTGAAGGAATACACAGGGTTTACACAAGACTAACAACACACAAGTGATACACATGTGGGCAGGTAATGTAACATGTGGCCGCTGTACTAAAAAAAGCTCTTGTTATGATTCTCAAATCATTAATGACAAAACTAGGAATAAAATAAGAATTTCTATCATGGCCTTTGTGAAATAGGTGTTGGTCTTGCCTATTCAGTTATTATGTTCCTAGCTGTATTCGTCTGCATATCTGGCAAGCTGAATCAGGGAAAGGGCAGTACCACTTTTGGCCAGATTTTTACACACTGCTCCTTTAAGTAAGTAAGTAATCTATATTTGTATGGCGCCTTTCACAGACCAAAGTCACAAAGCGCTTTACAATTGTGGGCATTTGTCTCTCACTCCACACAGAGAGCGGGGTTGCCATACAGGAGGCGCATGCTAGGCCTATTGTACGTGTTTTTAGTGGTAGGGGAAACCGGAGCACACGGAGGAAACCGAAGCACACGGAGGAAACCGGAGCACACGGAGGAAACCTACGCAGACACGGGGAGAACATGCAAACTCAACTCAGAATGGCCCTATTGGGACTGGGATTCGAACCCAGGACCTTCTTGCTGAGAGAGTGCTATCCACTCAGCCATCATTAAGTATAATGATTTCTACATTATAAGGAATAAAATCTATAACTCTAAGTGTAAAATACTGTATATTCCAGTGCAAGAAATGACTGACGGTCTCATGGTTGATGGTCTGTTGTCACTACTGCACGTTCACCAGCAGAAGGCGCGCTCTCGCCGTGTCTGAAACTATTACATAATGATTTTATTTTGTACACGTTAGCCACGCCCTCTCCACACCAGGAAGCGGAAGCACACGGCAGCAGTATTACAGAGTTTTGGGGAAAAGTTTTGCAGAAGTTTGTGACAGTTCGGACTTGACGCAGCAGCGGACCGACATGAGGTGAGTGGGCCGAGAAAGCGACCCCCAGCCCGGGCCTCTGCCGCTGGCACCACCCGCTGTGCTCTGCGCCTCTCCCCCGGGAACGCGAACAGGGACAGGGATAACAGGAACAACCAGTCCCCGGGCATGTGTGGCTCCATACAGGACTAAACATATGTAGTCTGAATGTCATGTGTTGTAATCTGAATCATTTCCTGTTTAATGTTGAAATGGTCTGGCTTGTTATGGCTGTTGTCATTGGTATCTCTGTGGTCCTAGTCCTGGTTAAAGCTGGGGTACTTTTATTTTTCATTAATACTATTTGTTCGTGCGTACCAAAAAAGAGTAAGGTTAAAGTTTGTGAAATCAGACCACTTCATGCGGTCTTCTTCTTATTAGAAACATGTTAGCGCTTGCATAATGTGAAAACTGGTGATACAAGATGAAGTTTTGATAGTGAGGAACTATTGACATGTATTTTATTTATCTTAGTTAGTTCTTGTCTGAACTTTCCCTTTATCAGCAGCTGTGACGAAAGTGCATTGTGGCTTAGTCCTGGTCCAGTCCTGGTCCAGTCATGGTCCAGTCCTGCTTCAATTCCAACTCGGACTGGTTAAGTCGTGAGGACGTATACCTTTTTTAGTCCTGGTCTCATCATTGGACTGAGGGAATTGATTTAATAAGTAAATTTGTTTTTGTAATGATAAACAAACACTGATCTATGGAGAGATGTGTGTGATATTGACAGAAACATACAAGGCTAATTTAAAATGGCACAGGCTTCTCTGTTAAGACTTCTCTTGTAAGACTGTTTTTCTTCCTGACTCCACTTAAAAGCCGTTTCAATTGTCCAGAAGGTCAAACATGCAAAAGCATGACATTCTCTTTCAGCCATATCCCTGGTCAGTGTTATTTATACCTCTTCCCTTCTTTCATTTCAGCTGTTTGTTCTTTTTGTGAACTATTATTGCACAAAATAGTTTGGGACGTTGTCCTAAGCTCCTCTGTGTGGAGTTAGCATGTTCCTCTCCAGCAGAGTTACAGCAGTACATTAGGGCTGTAACATACCATCATTTATTCATCAGTTTAGATCCTAAAGCCAAGGGGGAATATGGAAAAACAAAGCTCATTTGATGCCATCTGGAGAGCATCCTCACAGACTGTTACATTGGGTTTAAGAATGTGATCAATTTTAGGGCTGCACGTTATATCAGAAAAGTATGGTCTGGCAATAATGAAAAGTGCGATATTCATATAACAATGATGTGCGATAACTTTGAGTTTTTAATATCTGTGAAAATGAGAGTAGAGAAAAGCATGAGATGTCAGAAGCAGAGAGGGAAGCACAAAACGATCCCTGCAGGTGAAGAGTTTTCACTCTGGCGATTTTACAAAACTCATTTTCATTTACACAAATTAAATTATTTATTTGTGAGTTATTTAGTTAAAAAGAAAATACACTAGCTGCCCTGTCTCTGGGGCCAGGACTCCTCTGAAAAAGAGACATTGAAATCTAAGTGGGACTTTCCTGGTTAAATAAGGGTAAATAAATGTCACCTGTTGTAACTGAAACACCAATGTATTTACCTGCGAAACCTTAATATGTTTAAGATAAATATCATTTATATACGGACGAGAAAATGGGAAGAGAAATTCATCAGGCTCTACCCTGCTTAGCTTCAAGTCTGACAACATGTGGTGCCACATTTTTATTTGGATCATGTCTTTAGTCAATCCTTATAGCACAAAGAGGGATTTACAATCTAATGCTTTTATTTGCGAAAGAAACTCCAGCTTGCCTTAGCAACCACGAGCTACACGTCTCCCAGTGTAATGCCCATTAAGGAAATTGAGTCCAGATAGTTTATGTTCAAATTGGCTTCTATGGTCACGTCAGCAGTCGGTCAGTCCACTCCAAATATGGGGTCTATGGTTGGGAGCAAATGCCTTACAGACATGGAGAGAACATGCAAGGGGAGGGCCCATGGTTTTGTCAGCGCTGTGGTGTGTAAGATCACCGCTGTGCCACCGTCGGCCAGTCTTTATCTGAGGCCTTGGTAATGTGGCGAGCTCGAGATAAGGCTGTTTCTATTAATAACAGCACACAGGAAGTGGTGTGCCCTATCCCAAACGCACACTTCCTGCTCACGCCAGTGCGGCTCTCAGCTCTCACATGTAAACATACTGCTTTTGTTGCTCAATTAGCCTGGACATATAGATTATTATCTTTATTACACATCTGGACTAAATCTGCTAGAATTTTCAAAGCACTTCAAATCAAAGGAATCAATTACCCACACAGTGTACACAGACCCTGAGGGTGAGACGGTTAAGTGTCTTGCTCAAGGACAAACCTCAGCTTAAACCAATGACACACTGTGGGTTAGACCTCTCAACCAATTATGTTTATGTCGGCAGCAGGATTTGATCCACCAACCTTCAGCTCAATGTCATCGTTCCCTTTTAGAATCTGTAAAAGAATTTAGTATATTGTTCAAAAGTAAAAATGTGAAACTAATATATAATAAACTAGTGACCACTATATGAAAAAACTATCGTCATGGCGATAATACCAAGTGAAATATCCATATCTTAATGCTGTGCGATGAATTTGAGTTATTAATGTGTAAATTGTGTGTTTCTTTCTCATACATTATATTTGTTTTTAGTTTGACCAATCACACACAACCTTAAATGCGCACCATGAAAGTCCTGCTTTGTCATTGGCCGGAGCAAGCGCAGAGACTCGCAGAGACTCGCAGAGACTCGCAGAGACTCGCAGAGACTCGCAGAGACTCGCAGAGACTCGCAGAGACTCGCAGATCCAGGTGAAGATGAGAGCAGAGAAACGCATGTTTATAAAAACACTGTTCTAAAACATGGGCCATTGTCTTCAGGAGAGAACCGAAGCGGAGGGAAACACAAAGACAAAGATTGACTCTGGAAAACAAAAACAGGACAGTTCACTCTGCTAAAAACAATCTATCCTTGCAATAATAAGGTCTCAATCTGGAGATTTTGCAAAACTCTTTCTCGTATAATTCATTTACACGAAAATAAATGAACTTTCTTTAGCATATGTGAACGTATTTACTAAAAATATGTTCCCTCCCGTCTCTGAGGCTAGAACGCTGAAAATTTGATTGTTAGTCACTATTTGACTCTTTAGGCTGAGAGCTGGTGGTCCTCTCTTTGTCACTTATTTGACTGAGAAAGCTGATCTAAAGGCCAGTGAGTAGGCCGTTACAGACGTCTAACCTACTGGAGACAGATGCATAGATACAAATCTCCAAGTCTGATCTAGAGTCTCCCATTTCAGACAGTAAACAGCTGCTGATGTCACTGATTTGATGTGACTATAGCCTTTAAGGTTATTATTACTCATGGAGGTCTGAGTTTTAAGGAGAGTGACTGGAGGTCACAACTAATGCTCTTGTTCTGTTTTTGAACAAAGACACTGATTTCAGTTTTGTCTGCATTGAGCTGAAGAAAGTTGTTTTTTTAAACACGCTCATTTTTTATACTGCAGAATGATAGGAACAGTTTGGTAGAGTACAGTGACGCCACTGCCTTTTGTCAAATGAGAGGATTGACTCGGTGCTTGAACTGACATAAATGTATTTTGTCCAGGAGCCCAGCTGACCCTGTGCAGTGATGCAGGGGCCTGTGGACAGCAGCTCAGGAGTCCCGGAGGCCTACCCCCAAGCAGGTGAGAGAAGACACACGAGTCTGTGACACACCAGACTTGTTCAAGGCAATGTGGATAAATTATTTGTCTTTCAAAAAAATTATTAATTAATTCATTATTTTATTCATTTGACAGGGTCCTCAAAATTGTACCAAATAACATGATACATCCTCCAGTAAGGCAAACAGTAAAGCAGATACTATACAATAAAATAATTCATTACTCACTGTTGTGATTATATTGTGTAAGAGAAGAGAATCTTTATTCGTCCCACCTTCTAATACGTATTACAATTTTCAGGAAATAAAGCTAATAAAATAGTAACAAAATATCATTGGAGGTGATGCAAAGACAAATTTAGGTTCAAAGCAGAGAAGTGAGGGAGCTGATTCTTCTTTGACTCTAGGAACCACAAAAAGATTTGTTTTTTTGTGACACAAACTGTTGGAATATTATAAGGGAATCAAATCATGTTTTAAATACATTTGAAAAAGATCTGGAGCTAGTCATGCTGATGTCGGGATGACAGAGTGAGCTGTGATAATGTCTGGTACATCAGACAGTGGTGGGTTCTAAAGGGACAGCGGAGAATCAACCTGCACAGGCTGTTCCACATGACATTCAGAGGCTGGAGGATCAACGTAGTAGTGTTTTGATTATATCACTGTAATCAAGAATGGCAAGAATCAACTGTGAAACGATCCTTTTCCTAACTTAAAATCTAAGAAATGTTGTTCCTAAGTAATTTATTATAAAAGTGATATGAACTTTTGTTTGTGATTATCTGAATATGTTTGTTAAATGACAGTGAAGAGTTTAGCCATAAATCGAGATATCTGGATTAATCAACAACAACTGAGAGTGGCGGCGTGTCTGAAAACCTAAGATTATTTTAATCCGTAGAACTTGCTTCTGGAACAAAATTACCATGTGAGAAATTTGTCTTGGAGCAGCAGGGTCCATAGCACCACATATACAAAAAACATAGGACAAAGCATACACAAAAGTAAAACAGGTTGACATCTGTACAATCACTTGATGCTATTTAAACAGTTTTTAAACCAGTTGCATTTACACAGTCCTGCACCCATATTTTAGGACACATGATCATGGATGTGTTATATAACATGATAGGGTGTTGCTGCTTAGACCCGTCTTCACATGGACAAGGGGCCACTGGAGGCACCGCAGCATAAAAGCTTTAAGGAGATTTCCCCATTCATCTCACTGTAAACTAAAACAGCTTGACCTCAACTGATTTTTTTTCTCTTTTTTTGCCTTGCTTCAGCTCTGCCCTGATCAGATTCATTTATTTGCCATTTGCAGTAAAACCACATTGTAAAAACTGTGCAAGACTACCCTAGTGTGCACCAGACAGAGACGGCACACCAGAGCTCTTGCCACGGCGCCATCTTTACGGCGCCATGCGATGATCAGTGAGCTGATTGGTCAGAACGCTTACTTCTATTTCTGTGCACTTCTGTCACTTCTGTTAATGTTTGGGGCGTCCACAGTCCAAGCAGATTATTGACTCAAGTTGTATCATTTATAATTTCAATAATGTATTAGAAAATTACCAAATTATTTATGTCTTTGTAGTAAGTAACATTTCCAATTATAAATAACATAGTCTAGTCTGGTCTCTGATCTTGGATATTTATACATAGTAGTTCTATGGATTTTATACCCACTATTTCTTCAGCTACTCCAGCTGTGGGTAGCGAGCTGAAGACGAAGATGATGCTGTGGTTTTGTTTGTGTAAAGTTAATGCCAAAGAATGGGGAAAAACATTTGTGGTTCTCTTAGTAGCTACAACAATTGAAAACTCCACCCAGAACACAGAGTTGCAAATCCACAGAATACTGCCAGATCTAAAGCCAATTCTAATGAAGACGACACATGACACACCTTTATGCTGCGAGCATTTTGCTGTCAGTCTCAAGTCTGATGATCCACACCAGGGTTGAACCTCTATCACATGCAGGCACACACACGGCTCAAAGCATTATGGGTAGGGATGCACCGATACCACTTCAAAATCTATAAGAGTACCTTCATTTTAATACTTTCAGATACCGAATACCGATTCTAGTACTGCATTTTGTTTTCCCTGGGAATTCATAAAACTAATGCATATGAAATATAAATGTTTATTTCTCTTTTGAACAATTAATGAGGTTTCTACCAACTGAGCCACTGTCGGGGTGACAATGGCTCAGTTGGTAGAGCATGGGACTTTGAGCCTGAAGGTTCGAGCCCACTACAAGACTTTCTCCACCGACCCCACTGATGTCTGCTGTCGTTGTGTCCTTGGGCAAGACACTTAACCTCTGGGAACACCAGGTGCCACAGTGGGGCGGCTGCGGCTATAAAGTGCCAAACTGCCGTTGTGTCCTTAGGCAAGACACTTCACCCCTATTGACTAGAATGTCTCTTGAGTGTTTGAATGGCTGGTGGTGGTCGGAGGGGCCGATGGCTCATACTGGTTGCCTCGCTTCTGTCGGTGTGCCCCAGGGCAGCTGTGGCTACAGTAGTAGTTTATCACCACCGTCTATGGAGTGAAAGAATCATGACATGTGAAGCATCTTTGAATGTCCAAAAATACGCTATATAAAACTGATTTATTATAATTTTGATTATTATCATTAAGAGAATGCGGCAGCTCAGGAAAGCCAAGCTGCCTGCACAGATGTTGGTGCAGTTCTACACGGCCATCATCGAGTCCATCCTCACCTCCTCCGTCACCGTGTGGTTCGCTGGAGCCACAGTCAGGGACAAACAGAGACTACAGCGCATTAAGCGCTCTGCAGAGGAAGTGATCGGCCGCAGCCTTCCATCGCTGCAGGACCTGTACGTCGCCCGAGCTCGAGGCCGGGCTGGTCGTATCACAGCCGACCCCTCTCACCTTGCACATGGACTATTCCAACCACTCCCCTCAGGCAGGAGGCTGCGGTCCATCAGGACTAGAACCTCCCGCCACAAGAACAGTTTCTTCCCCTCTGCTGTTGGACTCTTGAACACTTCTTAACCTGTCCCCCCGCCCTTTATAAAGTCACTTTACTGCCCATCATACGTCACTTTACTTCACTGTACTGCTGTCACCTTACATTGTGTGCACCATGTGCACTTGTATATTGTAAATAGTAACTGTAACTCTATTTTAAATTTAAATTTATTCTTTAGAAGTGTTTTTTATTCTTATTTTTATTATCTCTTTTTGACTGTTGCACTGAGCCAAAGCAATTTCCTAGTCTGTGACCTCCTGTTACTTACGTGGCAATAAAAATGATTCTGATTCTGATTCTGATTCTGAAGAGAATGCTTAAACTTTTTAGCAATTGTTTTAACAGCCAACCATATTAATAATATAATACCACCAACGTTATAACAAATGGTATAAAGAAATGGCTCCGTTACTAGCAAAGGTGTTATACTCTGTGTGGTGGTTGTGGTGGTGAGTTTTCAGATGTTTGATTAAGTTGTTGGTGTTATACGTGTTTGCTTTGGACTAACCTCGTGACAGTCGTGCCTGACACAACGTACAGTCCGCTTTACTTATCACTCTCGTTTACTTAAAATAAAAAACTGCCATTCAAGCCGCTAGCTTGTGTGCCGGTAGCTTGCTTTAACACATGCCACACAGCTGTCTGCCGTCGTGACGCTAATGTAAATAAAAAATGTGGGTACAAGCCCTATGGTATCAACCGGATACCACTATCGGTATTGGTGCCGATCCCTAATTATGGGTATTGTAGTTAAATACCTGGTTTCTCTCCCAGTTCAATACGGTTATTTGGCTTGTATAGCCTCAATTCCCAAAAGTTGTCTCGGAGTGCTTTACAAAGTTTTATTTTTGAACATTGTGAGAGAAGAAGCCTGTCTCACATTTTCAGAAAGACTTTTCCAGATGTATGCTGCATAAATCTAAAATGATACTTTCCCATGTTTAGTCTTGACTCTGGGCACCAACAGGAGGCCCCTGTGCTCTTCAGTTTCCGAGTTTGTTCATATGCCATGTGACTGATGTGACTTCCAGAACGCCGGCGCCGGCTGTGGGCTCAGAGTAAGGACTCCACGTGGCATTCCAACTCCACAGCAGAGCCAGACCAGGACCTCCACAAAGACCACCACAAGGACCACCACCGGGGTCCAGGGCCAGGGCCAGGAGGTGGCCAGCAAAACGGTCAGTTCAAATTAATTTCAAATCAATTAGATTTATTTTTTTGTAGCCCCAAATCACAACGGTTGATGAACTCAACAAAACTATTGATTGGCTAACACAGATCAGAGAATCACACCCGAGAAACACAATGATACAAAAAACACAGAGCCTTTGGTCTATAAGGGGCAGAGGACCAATGTCCATTAATGTTGATATAGTCCAATGAAATGGGGGCAACAGGGGCTCAGTTGGTAGAGCATTGGCCTTTGAGCATGGAGATCTTGGGTCCGATCCCACCACGAGACCTTCTCCATCAACTCCCAATGATGTCTTATCCCTACTTAGCCTGAAGCCCCCGCTCAAGTCTGTGTACTCACGACAGAGCAGCCATCCTCCAGCCCCTCACCTGCAGGAGTATCAGTGAGGGGACCCTAGACCCAGAAATGGATTAAGGGGAAGAAAATGGATGGATGGATAGTCCTTAAATGCGGTTGAATGTTGTACGTCCTGGATCATCACCACTGTCCTTGGATCCTCTTGTTCATTTGCTTTAAAGTGATAGTCTGGAGTTTGTCAGAAAAAAGAGAGAGAGGGACATGATTTGAAAAAAAACGACCCAAGCTCCCTCCCCCTTCCTTTCTGAATGGTGTTGAAGCTGCGCCTACTTTTCCGTGCACGCGCCAGAGGAGAGATTATTAATGTAAATATTCAAATATTTAAGATTTGCTCCTCACAGCAGCAGTAGAACGCTCCATTGATTTGAATGTAATTACAAAACTTTCAACCAATCATTATTTCTTGATAACAGACTCTCAAACCAATAACGACCGCTGCCCTTTGGCAACACACTCTGTGCTTGTACTTCAGGTGTGTAAAATTGATCTGGACAATAGTTCGGACACGTCGTCACAACGGGTTTTCAGCGCCTGTCACTTATTACTTCTGTCTGTGTGAGAAGCTAACAAAGCTAGCCATGGTCAATAACACATATCAATCAATCAACACATTTCAATGTTAATCAGAATAAATTATACATATACATTCTTCACACGCGTGCACAGAGATTTTCCGATTTTTTTGGTAATGTTTTCATGACAAAAATACTGTTTTACTGACGCAGTAAAACCGGAAGTGACTATTGACATTAGTAGAACATTTTAGGACACATTTGCAGAGGATCTGATTATGGATTCAGGTTAAGTCTATATACTTGGGTCACTGTCATGTAGTTCCAGTGAGTTCTAGTTAGTAAGCTAGCCTAGCTGTTACCCGTCCAGCCATGTCAGGCGAAACCTTTGGGAACTAACTATTTTATATATATCATTTAGAAAAGATAATGCCCTTTACAGCTTCGCTGTTTAAAATGTGTTCGAATATGATTGACAGCCCTTGGCATCACTTGATTGGTTAACGTGGACGGCATTGTGGATTTCTAGCTATAGCTAAGAGAAGGGAAGGCTCTAACTTTACCCGTAATATTAAAATTCATAAAATGACATATTTTATATCAACATTTAAGGCCAGGAGGTCAGTTTGATACAATTCTTAAAATGTGTTATTCATTTTGAGTTCCAGACTATCACTTTAACACCACTTCTGTGACAATTTGTTGTTCTTTCCTTTTAAGAATCTTTACTTAAATCAGACAAGGTCACACAAAGCGCTTTACAATGTTTTAGAGTAACCAATATTTTTCTATTCCCTCACTGTGCTCACCCAAGTTCGTTTGTTACAATTCACCTGTTTCTATCTTGGTGTCAATGCTCCATTACAATAAGGGGAATGGACTCAGTCAAATAAGAGAAGTGATAAAAGAGAAACGATATCTACTGGAGACCTATTGTTATCACAAGTTTCTACTTGTGACTTAATAGATTATTTGTATACCGTAAATAAGAGACTTTTAAAGATACTGAACATGGTTACATGAGACCCAGGTCCACACACTGTAGACGTAGGAACGGTTATGTCACAAACAAGTGCAAGTCTATTATTTTTGTGTGTATTTATTTTAACAGTATTATTTCTGCTCCCAAAGGAGTGGGTTGAAGAAAGCACCCCAAAACTCGATACCAACAGACTTTTTCTTTTTCTATAAAATAGAACAGAATATTACAAAAGCAAACAAACTACAAATGCACATCCTGGTTTATGGAATAATCAACAGTCAACAATTTGTCAACAAATAATGTCTTGTTGAGATTAGCCTCACTGACGAGAGAGTGAGATGAGCGCGAGAGAGACGAGAGCGAGCAAAACAGTGGTCTGCGCTTCACAGTAGGAAGGTCCTGGGTTAGATGCCACCTGTCCTTTTTGTGTGGAGTTTGCATGTTCTCCCTGTGTCTGCATGGGTTTCCTCTGGGTTCCCCGGTTCCTCTATCTATAAAAACATTCAATTGTGTGGATTAGGACAAATGCCCACAAAAATATTGTAAAGCATACTTTCTCCCACTGGGTTTTAGAGTTTTTTTCTTGTTGCGATGCAGAAGGGTGCGTCAGACTGTTAGTGGTTTAACGTAATGTGGTGATGATCCAGGACACTCTACATTCTACAACATCTATGGACATTCATCAACATTTATGGGCATTGGTCAACTCCCCCATGGACCAATACCTACTGTATGTGCTCTATATTTTTCGTGTTTGATTCTCTGATCTGTGTTGATGATTTCAAAGCTTTTGTTAAGTTATCCGAGATAACTTCTGTTGCGTTTTAGGGCTATACAAGAATACAATGAATCGATACTTGCATGATAAAACAGCAACATAAACTCTAGCTGTACCTGCATGGTGAAAAGCTCCGGGTCTCTTTGATAAACTGCTGGATCAAATCAATCATAAAAACCTGGTCCTTGTCCTTGGTCTTTCAGGGCGCGTCAACAAGATAAGCAGCTGGCTGTCTGAATGCAGGTAGATCCTCTGCACACACTCCCACATTGACTCAAATTGTGTATCTGTCACACATTCACGAAAGGAAAAGCAACAAACAAATTTGAGTGTCTACATGAGTGCGTTAACAAAGCACTACTTAAAACAGAATCCTACTCCAGTTGAATCTGATTGATGAACGCGCATGTAAACTTAGGAGCGCCGATTGAGGAGTGAAAAACCAGTCCGTTTAGAGGAGCTGATGCCGAGGTTCTGTCGAGTTGCTCCGCTTGTTGAGTTGAGCTGCCTCAGCTGTTTATAATGTAATGCAACCCTGCGCATGTGTGTTTCACGGCAGCCGAAGCAATCCAAGATGGCGGACATACGCCAAAGTTTAAATAGAACAAATCAAGACACAATGATCACTTTTAATGCCATTTGAGGCGAGATGTTGATTGATTCATGGTGTGATTTGTGGGTTTTAAGAGTAAAAGTTTTGTGTAAAGCTTGATTTAAATAGTCAACTACTCCTGTGAAACCACATTGCTGCTGTGTGATGGCAACACCTTTTATTGTCGAGTTGAGCTGCGGCATATGTTATTTTACTGACCTAGGCTGATGACGCATCCTGTGGCTAACTTGACAGCTAATAGCTTCCACCTTAGTTTGGTTATTTCCATTATCAACCCGACAGACCTGTCGACTGGTCTGTTAGCTGTTAGCTGTTAGCTGTCGAGTTAGCCACAGGACACGCATCTCAATTTTACAAGAAAGGTACTGCCATCCCACAGCAGCAGTGTGGTTTCACAGGAGCAGTTGACTACTTAAACCAAACTTTAGACAAAAATTTTACTCTTAAAACCCACATATAACAACATGGAACCATCAACATCTCGCCTCAAATTGCATTGTATTTAAACTTTTTACACAATTCACGGACTTTGTGTCCGCCATCTTGGATTGCTTCGGCTGCCGTGAAAAGCACATGAGCACGTTTGCATTACATCATAAACAGCTGAGGCAGCTCATCTCGACAAGCGGCGCAACTTGACAGAACACCGGTTCTACTGTGGTTAAGCTCCTTGTGAATCGGATCCTTATGAGACAACAGCGATGATGTATTTAAGAGCAAAGGAAAAAGCCAAACTTGTATTTAATGCTTTTGTATGTGGAGGGGCACAGACGACTCACTCATGATGTTCTGGGTCAGGACACAGTTCCGCGCGGCACATGTTTTATTTTGTTATGTGAAGTAAAAGCGAAACTCGACAGAATCATGGTGCTTTAAAGAGCGCCGTTGAAACTCGATGATCTTGCTGCCGCAGCTGAGCGTGTGTGAAAATCAACACCTAAAGTAAATATCATGCCGTGTGTGTCACATTTGCGGTGCGTGTGTTTATAATGTATGTATGAAACATTGAGGAAAGATCTGTGTCAGTCATGTGTACATTGTCGGTACAGTACATACAGTGCAACAGAAACATGTTAATAGACCAGAGAAAACACGTGCAACGGGTCCTACAAGGTGTGTGTGTTCGTGTGTGAGTGTGTGTCATCCATGTGTTCACTATTGATGGCGAATTCATCTGCATTCACAAAGCTGCTGCTGAATGTGTTTAAGTTCAGGCCACCAGCTGCACACTCTTTGGGGTAAACACTTTCTTTTACAAACTGAATGGATTCCCAGTTTGTTTTTTGCTAACAAACAAATGGATTCTTGATTGGAGCTTGATTTGAGAATAAATCTTACTGCTGGGATAATGCCAAGAAGAGGGTCAATGACATACTGTTTATTATTCAAAATCAAATTGTGCCTTTTACTAAATGCATTTAAGTTACTACTCATTCACCTGCAGTGTTCAGTAACTTTTTCTGTCCAGGCCACATGAGCTGTCGTTCCTTGTCTGTAGAATGAAGAACAGCATTTTGTAAATTTATATAGAACGATTTATTCAGTTTATTTTCATTAGATGCATAGTTTACATTCTCTCTAGACATTTTTATAAATCACAGGGCGACCTTTAGATTGTGCTCAATGCACAATTAATTGCATTTCAAAAATGGGGAATTCTCTTGTCTTTTGTTTCTTGTTTCTTTAATAATGGCTTAGGACTTTCAACTTTTCTAACTTCTTATGCATTAAGTTTAAGGGCAGTCTAAATACACTACCGTTCAAAAGTTTGGGGTCACCCAAGTGTTTTCCATGAAAAGTCACACTTATTCACCACCATACGTTGTGAAATGAATAGAAAATAGAGTCAAGACATTGACAAGGTTAGAAATAATGATTTGTATTTGAAAAAAGATTTGTTTTACATCCAACTTTGCTTTTGTCAAAGAATCCTCCATTTGCAGCAATTACAACATCGCACCAAAAACCAGACATTTGCAGCTAGAATAGTCATTTACCACATAAGCAATGCATAGAGTGTATTTCTTTACAGTTAAGACTAGTTTTAAGTTATCTACAGTGCTTTTCCTTCAAAATTAAGGACATTTCAATGTGACCCCAAACTTAAAAAAAAAAAACGGTAGTGTATATGAATATTATTTTGTCTTTTGGCTGAGTATATGTTGTGTTTACAAGTGCTGATTCCAACCATGTTACAAGATTAGAACTATCCATGGGACCTGGTTCGGTTTTAAAACCCCACTCTTAGCTGAGGATCACCTCTGTTACAAATGCATCGTATTGATAAGCAGGGAAAACCACTGGGTGTTTTAGACAATAGTATTATAAAGTAAAGGATAAAGCAAGTGACTTGATAAAGTCATTTTGCAGTTAACCTTGACAATATTAAACGCTCATTCATTCATCAAATCTAAATAAAATTTAGATTTGAGTCAATCAAATCTAAATTTTATTTAGATTTGATGAAGCAGCCGTATTAAAAGGTATAATTTATTCATTATATGTTGGATCTTCCCCTTTCTCCGTGGCCTGATGCTGACCATTAGAATAGTGTTCTGCAGTGATTAAAAAACACAACCAAACTCTCTCTCTGTGTCTTTCCCTCCCGTCAGTGCCTCTGTCGCCAGCGGAAGCTTCCAGAGTGGAGCATAGTGTTACCGTAGCGACAGGTGAGGAGCTCAGGATAGAGATGTGATGTTACTAGAGAGAACATGTAACCTGCACACATCCAGCCGCCATGTTGGATGTTTGCATTCTACTGAAGAACTCTTTCCACCTATTACAAACTAGAGGGTTATAACCTTCAAATGAAAACAGATATTAAATAATAATAATAATTCATCGGTTTTATGTAGATCTGTTTTGGACACACAAGTACCACTACAATGCAGTTTTCTGAACACATGAACTGCTGCTGTTACAGATGGATTCATACTGACAGAAAAGTTACCTCTTATGCCATTTAACCTTTGGAGGAAACACAACACATCACAACAACACAACAACGCTAATACAGAGTTCTCACTGGTGCTCCTCAGACTTCAGATGCAAAAGCAATGAGTCCTGTAAAACTGTGCACACCAAATATTTATGTAGGATTTTTAAGTGGGAATAGAGTAGAGACATTGGTCTCTACTCTATTCCCAATGTGGTCAAATTGGGAATAATGGTAAAATTATTGGTCAAAATAAAAGACATGTTTTCCCTGGGGAAGGTTTATACATCTCACACAACAATCAGAGGACTCGCACCAGAACTACTTTAGGCACAGACAAGAGCAAGTATTGTTTTAGATCCAGTGAAATTACCATAAAGCTACACCACAGATCCCACCAACACCATGGATCATCTAGAAATGTTAACGGGGCCATTCTACCATCATATCCCATTTACCAACCAAATTTTAACTCAATCCATCCACTCGTTCTTGCACAAAGCTCACTAGGGAAGTACTCATGGACAATTTTCTCCAACTCACACTTGCTCCTCTTGACTTACATTTTGGGTGTAAAATATCTATGGTCTGGCACTGTATGCCCCTTGCGTTTATATGTAGATATTGTAAAACCAAATATATGATACAGACTGATTGACCTATCAGATGCTGCTAATATTGAAAACGGCTTGAATATTGCTCATAACTTTAGCTGCGTCATTTTAAACCACATTACACCACATAAAAATGTTAAAGTTACTGCAAGTATTTAGATACAAGTAGAGCTGCTATATTGTTGTTTGTGAAATGGTCTTTGCAAATTTGGATGTGGATATATCTTAGCATAAGGAACTCGCAAGATGGCCGCCAACATGGACAGGCCACGTTCTCTCTAGTATCCTGTGTAGATCCACGAGGCCGAGATGGCAGCCACACTCTGTCTGCAGCGTGGAGGGACGTGAGGGCCATGGCAAACAGACGTTACACAACTCTTTGTGTGTTTGTGTGTGTGTGTGTGCGCTGTCCTGAAGTTTGTCCTGCGATAAGAACTGCACTTGTGTAAGCCTGTGAGCTGCACACAGACTCATACGACAGCCACATGTTCAAACTGGAGAATGGAGACGCAGCTTTGGACATTGGGAGTTCGGAAAGTCGCTTGCAAAGTTTGAGAGCATTTTGGGGATTGATTTCCGTCTCATAAGGAGGTGATTTTTCCTGTGTTTCATGATTATTCAGTGCTATATTTAGTTATTCAAAAGACAGTATGTAATTTTTTTTTTTTCATTTTAAATTACATCTACATCTTGTATGAATCTCCAGATAACAGGTCACATGTTCAATCATATTTGAGCTTTTCTGAACAACAGTTTGATTGATTTTGAGTTTATTCATTTGAGCAGAAATGATTCATTCATAAGTATTTACAATACTTCCTTTCCTTAGTTTCTGGCAATACTGTATTTTGCCTTCTGCACTTACATGCATATACAAATATATACATAAATATGCAATCAGGCATCAGTACTATTTATTTACCTCTATTGCACTTTGTCAGCTCAAAATGGAGTGGCAAAGAAGTAAAAACTTAACGTGACATGAACAAAGTTTAAATACAATGAATGGATTTAGTTATTTAGCATTGAATGATGATTAACTTATTATACATCAACTACCTCAACAGTTTACCGACCATGCAAAGGATGCAGTTTGAAGTGGAGTTATTGTTGATACATGGAATACAATGGACATGATGATCATAATATTCATGTTCACAGTTCATCAGTGAGCACAATGAGGCTTTTAAATTAGGAAATGTAGCTGTTTTTGACTCTTAACCCTCAGTTGTATTAATAGATATTCAAAGAAAAAATAGCACAACACACATTTAAATGAAAGGAAAAAAAGTCAAAGTGCGGCCAGGGGGCCATATCCGGCCATATCCACATTTCTATGCGGCTCCCGGACGCTTCCCAGTTGTTAACCTCATTCCAGTCTGTTGCTTTTTTTTTTATTAATCTGGAGTCTTAATGAAGGCTTGTATGAATATGTGCTACCATGGCATGTCATACATTTATTCTGTTCTTATCCAAAATGTTGTTAAATTAAAAAAAAACATGTGAAATTTACTCCGGCCCTCCACAATAGGGCGATATCCCAATGTGAAATGTCCTTGAAGAAAAAAATTGCCCACCCCTGGTCTATGATCTCACCCCAGCGGTGTGTCTGTGTGTGCAGGACGCCCATAGGAGCCTCTCTGGACGACCACACTGGTTCCCCCATCAGAGGTAAGGAAAATATATATCCTCATGTTTGATTGCACTCAAGTAACTATTGGCAAAGCAAGGCAAGTGTATAGCACTGTCCATAAACAAGGCAAGTGCTTTACAAAAAAAGATTGTACAAAAATTGTACAAGGTATTCAAATCACAGTCTCACTTTACACTTTACAGCTACATTAGCTTCATATACAGAGTGCTGCAGTCCATCTTTAATGTTTTTTTTCTTTTAATTTGTCCATCATTTAGGGGCAGGAATTTGATTTTTTTCTGCTCCTTTTCATATGTGTAAAAGGACTAAAATTATTTGTCCTGTCACATACATGATCAAAAGCTCCTGTCTCAGTCCTGTAATATCCATCCATCCATCCTCAGGGGGGGGGCGTCAGAGCTGCACCCAATTCACTGAGCACCAGCCCCTCCTGCACGTGGTGAGTCCACAGGAGGATGGCTGCTCTGTCAGTGACGATACAGCCTTGATTTTTCAGCTGGAGCTTCAGGCTATGTCGGGTTAACTGTCTTGCTCAAGGACACAACGACAGCGGACATCAGTGAGAGTCGGTGGAGAAGGTTCCGTGGTGGGTTCGAACCCACAACCTTCTGGCCCAAAGGCCAATGCTCTACTAACTGAGCCACTGTCGTCCTGTAATAGTATGATGTAATATTATGATGACACACTCAGAGCAGTTTTCTGCCCTTTAAGATTAATTCAGATTAATTTATTTGCCATTTGCAGTAAAACCACACTGGAATACATCCGCAAAAGTCCCCAGTGTGCACGAGACAAGTACATAAATAATTAAAACAACAAAGCCAAAAAAATAATAAAGTATTGCCCATTAATTAGTTTTGGCAGTATAATTTTGTTTTACTTTTACAATCACTGTCTGTGTTTGTAGCTGGTGATTTTAAAATGTGGACTCCTCCTTCTGGTTGTAGCTTAGGGAGTTACAGCAACACGCACATTTTACCCTTCATACAAAAAATGACAAAAAAATAGTGCATTATAATACATTAAAAGGGATGAACATTTTTATTGGGGTCAGAAGAAGAGTTACTGGTGATCTTTTAGAAAATAGAAAATAATTAATTTGACGATAAATGGCTTCACGCAACCACAAACACTGAATGTAAATCAGTCAATTCTCATTCATAATCTCTGAAACATGGCCAAATATTCAACATTTTGTCTGGATTTGTGAACTTTGAAGCAGTTTATTTCTTCAGAGTTCTCATGAGCTTAAGAATAATATTGATACTTCATTATGTCACAAAGACAATTACACACGTCTGAGAATCACATGCTCAAAGTAAACAACGTGGTGCTTGTTTCTGTTGGACACAATTGGCAAGAGTTTATTTGTATAGCACAGTTATACACTTGGCAATTCAAAGTGCTTAACAGAACAAGTTAGAAACAATCAAAAAAGGCTTTAAAATCAATGAAAGAGTGAAAGATCAAATCCTTAAGTTGTCTGCAAAGCCAAACCTGAATTTGAACAATTTTAGAGAAGAAGCCTGTCTCACATTTTCAGGGAGATTGTTTCAGATTTTAGCCTCATAAATCAGAAACATTGCCTCCCAATGCTTTCTCCTGACTCTGGGTACAAGCAGGAGTCCAGTCCCTGTGCTCCTCAGAGTCCGAGTTCATATGGCACTAACACGTCACTTATGTACTTTGGTGCAAGGCCATGAAGAGACTTGTAACAAGCGGAGCTGATTTAAAGTCAGACTGCATTTGTCTCCAGTAGGTTAGACTACTGCAATGGCCTGCTCACAGGTCTCTCCAAACAGGCTGTCCTGACTAGAACCAGGAAGTACGATCACATTAAAAGTCTCTCCATGGCCTTGCGCCAAAATATATTAGTGACATGTTAGTTCCTTATGAACCAGCCCGGACTCTGAGGAGCACAGGGACTGGACTCCTGTTAGTGCCCAGAGTCAGGACTAAACATGGGGTGGCTTCTTTTCAGATTCATGCTGCTAAAATCTGGAACAATCTTCCTGAAGATGTGAGACAGGCCTCCTCTCTGACAATGTTTAAAACCAGGTTAAAAACAGGTCTGTTTAGCTGTGCATACAACTGAGGGATTTTATATTTTTATATTTTTGGTTTATTGCGATTATTTATGATTTAAATGCTATCTTGATTTGTTCAGCACTTTTCTTGCCTAAAGTCTATTATCTGAGCCACAGGAAGCCTGTGCAGAGACCTGAGGACTGGACTGATGTGGTGGTACTTCCTGGTTCTAGTCAGGACTTGAGCTGCAACTGTTTGAATATACTTCAGCTATTTCACATTTGGAGGGACCAGTGAGTAGGCTATTACAATAGTCTAACCTACTCTAGACAAATACAGGACAACGATCTCCAAGTCTGCTTTCGACTCACTATTTGTTATTGTTTCTGAACATCTCAAAGCACACTGCTGTAAGGCAAGGCAAGGCAAGTTTATTTGTATAGCACAATTCATATATCAGGCAACTCAAAGTGCTGAACAAAATAAGAAAGCATTAAAATCATAGATAATCACAGTACAAAAAGATAAATATAAAAATCCCTCAGTTGTATGCACCCAGCCTCCCCATGTTTAGTCCTTACTCTGGACTAAACATGCAGGAGCCCCGTCTCTGTACTCTTCAGAGTCCGGGCTGGTTCATATGCGACTAACATGTCACTCATGTACTTTGGTGTGAGACCATGGAGAGACTTGTAACAAGCAGAGCTGCTTTAAAGTCTATTCTCTGAACCAGAGGAAGCCAGTGCAGAAACCTTAGGACTGGAATAATGTGGTCGTACTTCCTGGTTCTAGTCAGGACTCGAGCTTTTTGACAGCCTGTTTGGAGAGACCAGGGAGCAGGCCGTTACAGTAGTCTACTGTAGACTTGTAGACTGGTATAAGCCTGTTTGTTCAGCACGACTATGTTCTCTGCCCGTGTAAACATGTGTCTGTTTTAACGACATAACCGCAGTGTGTTCTCTCCCGCAGGTCTGAGAAACGGCTGCAGTTTTGAGGATGACCTTTCTTTGGGAGCCGAAGGTCAGTACACGCCTTTGTGTTAAAGTGTGGGGGACAGTGTGACATAGTCTTTTCACTAATGATTGACCAACAACAGTAGCTCAGTTGGTAGAGCATTGGCCTTAAGGCCAGAAGGTCGTGGGTTCAATTCCCACCTCTGCACCTTCTCCATCGACTCCCACTGATGACTGCTGTCGTTGTGTCCTTGGGCAAGACACTTAACCCCACTTTGCCCAAAAGCCCCCGCTGAAAGATCAAGGCTATGCTCACACTCAGAGAGCAGCCGTCCTCCTGTGGACTCACCACCTGCAGAGGGTCAGTAAGGGGCTGGTGCTATGAGACTTGGGTGGCATCTCTGATTGCCACCCCCCTGACCCAGAAATGGATTAAAGGGTAGAAAATGGATGGATGGATGGATTGACCAACATTATTGCTCATGTTGGATGGCTAATATTGACAGTGTTTTATTACTTATATTGGGTTTGTGCATTGTCTCGATAATCTTTAAAATCTATTGAACCCTACTTGTGTGCCACAAGTAGCAATGAGCTCCTGAATCCTTTCAATATAGTGACCTGGCTTCCCCCAAATTTGCTACATTTTTTATCTTACATATTCAAACCATATCATTTTATTAATTCTGAAATTTAAACCTTTGAATTTAAAACACAAATTTTCCAATTATAATTGACCTGCAAGAGTTTTTCTTTACCTTTGCATATCAGAAAATATTCTGATATGCAAACCTTTAGATATCCAAACTCATATTAAAGATGATATATTTGTTTATTCTTAAACATGGAATGTATATTGTTGGACAATGCTCCTATTGACTTACATTGAAAAGTAAAGTAAATGGTTTAGCGTTCTCTGTGATCCTTGTGTGTGATCCTTGTGTTTATATTGTGATAGTTCCTTTGTAAACACAGATATGAGCCATATAAGCCAATTAGATGCCTTCACTCACGGGGGAATCTCCAGCTTGCCTTAGAAATCGTCTCAGCAACCCGTCTGCCTCTGTTACTGTGTGAAGCTAGCACTGCAGAAGCAATGCATGTATAAGAAATTGGCTCCAGCTACCTTTTGTTCAAATGGGCCTCATCTGCATAAAGGCAAACACTACGGTGATGTCAGCACTCTGTCAGTTCACGCCTAATATACAGACTATGGTTTTTAAGGTTACAACATTCCTCAGCAGTCACAGACCTTTCAGACTTTCTGCCCCTGACAAGCTCATACTTTTAAAATTCAGCACCCCTGTCCTAAATGCCTTTGCCTACATGTCTCTGTCATAAACACAACCTCACCTTAGCCTGCTTGAGGGAAATCGACCCCTGCTTCCATCTGTTCTTTAATAAAGTCCATATTACCAACAAGCTACAGATAGTTCTAGTAGCAGTTGATTTTATCTAATGGTGAAAACATGGCGTCTTCTTGATGAATGATGCGAGCCGTAAAATGACAAAATGCTTTCAATGAAAACAACTGTTGATATTTTTTCATCCATCATAAATCTACAATCCCTACAATTCAAAGTCTGCTGAGCTAGTTTAAGCAAGTATAAACAATGTCCGTTCATACTTCTCTGTATGCATAGAGATCCATCCCTCATAGGACAGTTTTGCTTGTGTATTGGCACAAAAAATACATGTATTTAACTGGCCTTCAGAATAAGTTCATCATGTTGAAGTACATATCAGTCACACCTGTCTTTGTAGTATGCATGGTGTCTGTGTTTGTGTGCGTGTGTGAGCCTCAGAGCCCACAGAGAAATGCATGAGGCCCTTAGTACAATGGGCCCTGATGAGGAGCCCACACCGACTGCAGAGGAATTACTCTATGGAGAGGGGGGAGTTAGAACACCTGCAGACATGAGTTTATTTAAACAAATTGAAAAATTGGGTACCAAGTCCTTCAGAAGTGGACATCTAGGCAAGCATGGACACAATTTAACACAATCCAGAAGTCATTTTCAAATCTGATTGGACAGGGTTTAAGAAGATAGCATTATTCTATATTGGAAGAAATCCAAACTCAACAGTTGCTTTATACAGTAAGTCATTCCATCTGACCAATGTTTAGCACTGTTTCCACCTGCCCTACTCGACCCTACTCTACTCGGCTCTGCTTTACTCGGCCCTACTTTACCCTCTCCCCAGGTCCTGGTTAACCGGTACCAGGTACTTTTTCAGTACCTGCTTGGCCCTGGTTCTGATCAAGTCAAGTTGGTCTACAGTTCTCCACTGCACAATAAGACGCTTAAAGGCACACAAAAAAGCTGTGGGGCTAAAACACATCCCTGAGGAGATCCATGTAAGCTTTAATTAAATTTGTGCAACAGACAGAAGACCGCATTAAATAATGAGATTGGTCTCTTCTCCGAGCAGCGCTTAAGTCTGTCTAAAGCCCCTCTTACAAAAGGTAAAAGCTGAGCCGCGGGTAACTCTTCCTCTGGTGCGCATTTGGGGGGAGTTGTCGGAAAGAGGGCCAAACAAAAGGGGTAATCAGGTGTTTTGTGTATGTGTCACAGTGGCTCCGTGCAAACAGAGACCAGAGTAACTGTAATACCAGGATAAAATAAGGCTATGCTTACAAAAGATAATATGGATCACTGACTGCAGCTTTTAACAATATTACAACTGGGGCTGGGTGATTTGGGCGACAAAATATTTTCCTCTCGCCCTTTATAGTTTGTGTTCATGTTTGAGAATAGTATTTAACTTGGACTGCAGGTGCCACTACAGCTCTATAGGAAAGAAATGTTCCAAATATTTTCCAAGATCATTTTTTGATAGTGATTCTTTTCACTATTATTCTCATGTCTTTAAAATTCCTACAAGCTCAGAAAGATGTATGCACCAGCGAACACGTGTTAGCAAATGCAACTGATTATTTCATCTGTTCAGCTTTCTGTTCTCTTAATACCACCTTACACTGGAAATACCTCCACATTATAACACACAAAGGCACATGTCTCTTTGCAGGTAATAAGTCTTATCTCAGGGGTGTCCATAGTATCTGCGATGTCAATGTGAACATATTGTACCCCATTTAAAGCCCAGAACAGCCTGAATTTAAGTAAACAGTTGTCAGCCCCAGGACAATTCTGAAGAACTAAAGTAGCCCTCTTCATAAAAATGTTTTGACACCCCAGCGATCTCATATATTAGTTCAAATCCTTATACTTAATTATGTTGAAATACAGAAATAAATGAACTTTTGAGCAAAATACAAATTTTGGGAATTTCCCCTGTCAAATGCTTAGCCTCCTTAGCTGCACTGCATTTTGTCTGCGCTTGCATTGCTGCTTACATAAACTCTTATAGCCATGTGAGATGTGACTGTTTGACTCATCTCATCTGAAAGGGAACTTTCAGATGAAGAAAGTGTTCAACCAAAATAACCTTCAGCCTTTTTTTTTTCCTGTTTGCATTTTCCTCAACACAGTCTAAACACCTGACATATTTGCATATAGTAACGCCTAAGTGCAGTTCAAGGGAGTTTGCATGTTCTCCCTGTGTCTGTGGGTTTCTTCCGGGTGCTCTGGTTTTCCCTACCACTAAATCATCTATAATGGTTTTAAGAGCATAGTGAGGGATTGGATGGAGATTGGATGTTTGAAGCTATGTGTGTATGTGATATGTGTGTTTATATTGTGTATGGTTGTACTGTCCTGTCTAAATACTGAAGGTTTAAGTTCAGAGCATTGATATTTATTTGAAATAGAATGTCTTTCAGATATCTCGTGTGACATGATCTTTATTTTGGTAAAAGGCTTTGGAAAATTTCAGCCTCACCATTTTTCCATACGAAATTGTCTACTTGACTAATGACTGGGGAAAAAATAAATACATTGTTTGAAAGTCATGATAGCTACAGAATACTTTCTAAACTCTTCAGAGCAGTACTTTTTAAACTTTTTGACAAAACAATAATGTCCTGTAACTGGACGAATAACAGGGAAAGTACAGTTCATTCAAAACTAACCTGACCAGTGCATAGTGCGCCCTCTGCCTGATAAGTGATGTCACTACACACACACAGGCAGGTAAGCCACCCACCACCAGATGTTATTTCTAACCACATGACAGAAACGGGGATTAAACATTGACATTTCGGATGCCAGTTGAATATCCTTTTTTTAGATGGATGCTAACAGGTGTAAAACATGAACATATATTTTGGGTACAATGATCTGTAATGCTCTAGATTCTAGATGAATGTTCCCCTTTGTGTTTTGGACTCACATTTGACCTTTTGTTTGTGTCTTCAGCCAACCACCTGTTGTCCAGCCCCAGCCGGAGCGAGCCAGGGTGAGCACTTCCTTTTCATGACTATAAAAAGTGACAATAGTTTTTAAACAAAAACTAATAATAAAATAATTATTTTTGTTTTGTGAAATCAGAATTGACATATAACAATGGTAAATGTTTATCCTGTAATGTACAACTACCAGGGTTACATTGTATTTGTCTCATAGCCTGTATACGGATGGACAATACTTACCTGCTAGCTCAATGAAGCCCAATAGAGAAGTGCTCATTGACAGTTTGCTCCAACCCGCTCTGGCTCCTTTCAGACCGTTTTGCGCTGTAAAGTTCTGTGGTGTAACCCTCTCTGATTCCGGCGTATATATTATGATATTGTCAAATCTGGATTTCCAAACAACTGACCCATTAGGAGCCTTCTGTCATCGAATTTGGCTTTTAGATAGCGAGTAGCGCGAGCAGGCACAGACCAGCGCCTCTTGGTAACTCGACTGTTGCTATCAAGTAAATCTGGCGCCGCATTACCGCTGACATTGCCTGTTTGAGCTTGCTCTAATCCGCTTCTAATGTACAGTCTATGATCGATACACCCAGAGAGAAATGTTGATTACCGTATTATCTGGACTATAGGCCGCATCACCTACATTTTACAAGAAAGTCATTGGTGTCCACTTATAGGCTTTATTTGAATATAATCCACACGTTTTCATGTTGGAGTGAAGCAGATAGACGACTGTTTGAACTGGTCACAACATGATTTAATGACGAGATGTCAGCTTAACCTAGGGCTGGGCGATAAAACGATAACGATATATATCGCGATAGACACGTGTTCAATATCAATAGAAAATAGGGTCGATAGAATGTTCGATAGTTTAACTTCACACCGTAAGAAAAAACAGGAAGAAAACACAGGAAGTAAAGCCGAGTCAGAAGCGCACGGCATTCTGTGGGATGTAGGCAGAGACTTCTCAACCTATCACAGCCAAGCATGGACTGCAAAACATTCTGGTAAATGCAAAAACAACTGCACCATGCATAGCGTCCATGGATCTAAGATTGTTTTTCAATGCTGTGTCAATGGTTATGCACGTCCGTGCGAGGCATAGCATGTGCGGCGCGGGAGAGCCTGTGGACATGGAGACCCGATGCATGTGGCGAAACCAAGAGATTAACTTTTTCCTCCGTGCGGCTATCGGAGAGCGGCCCTACTGAGCCGTCATGGGGACACAAAACAGGAGATAAACCAGGACTAAACCAGGATTACACCAGGACTAACTATGGGGGAGGCCGCTTGTGAACATATTCCTCGAGCCTCATTCCCCGTGACTGTAAACAAGGCTGCTAACGTGTGTTAGCAGACACGACAAATGTATTTATTCAGGTAAAAAATAAATAATAATAATAATCAATATATATCGTTATCAACCGATATGAATTACTTGTATTGTGATATAGTTTTCAGCCATATCGCCCAACCCTAGCTTAACCTAACATTTAAGCTGTTAAACTAGAAAAAAATAGCAGCTTATAGTCCTGAAACCACCGCATTACAAAGACAATGAATGATAGACACTTTTTCAGTCATTGAAAGCGACAAAAATGTTTCCAATTTTCATATTATAATAACAGAAACTCTCTTCTGATCCTGATCAGAAGTCTCCATCCCAATAGTTCCTCTCCATCCCCCAGTTCTCAATAGTGCGTGTTTAATCCTTTAACTTCTATGGCAGCTGTGAGTCTTCCGTGGTAGTTGGAGATGAGGTTATTTCTCCTCTCTGGTGGTAAAGCTGAACATTCTTGGAAAAAAGCCTCCAGTTCCTGTAAATTCTTTGGCCGCCATTTCAGATCTCTGCAGAGTGGCTCAATGATGTTATGAATATAAAATGTTTATGTCATTATTTTTTTTATTTTTTTTTAAATGGCCAAAACGATTACGTTTTTGCCTGGACCACTCTCAAACACATCAGTATGTAGACTTAGACCACATCTTTGCAATCATGATGACTGTCACCTTTTTCACTGTGCTCGAGTTTGTGGATCTGGACCCGGATGGTTCAGTAGTCCTCAAAAACAAAACCTGAAACTCATAAGATTGTCTTGTGTGTTAGCTTCGGTCTCGTGGCGGACAAGAAGAGGACGCAGTTTAAGGAGAGGGCACACAGCATGAACTCCACCGGCTCCGGCAAGAGCAGCACTGTGTCCAGGTCAGCCCCTTTCTCTGTATAAAACGCTGTTAGATAATTTAATGAGTAATGTCTGTTTGGAAGGCTAGGTGCTTACAACTCCCAGCCTTTGGTCTGAACTGCCATCAATATTCTATTTTTAGATGATGGCAATAAAGTAGAAAGAGCGAGATTCAGTCGAGGATTAGTATGTCTGAGAGGGCTGCGTCATTAATTAACAAATCAAAATTGCAATTTGAATGGTAAAAATTATAGATGGTTTAGAGGTGGACCATGCTACATTTCATACCTCAATGAAGTCCAGTGTGGAAGTGCTCATGGACAAAGTTATTCTCTCTTTGGCTTCTATTGATTCACATTGAAAAGTGAACTTCTCCAGCTCTGTTAGTGTGTCACACTCACCATGCTAGCACTGTTCTTTCAAAATTGGTGGATGAGGGTTCTCTTCAGACCTGATCTTTATATTCTGATATTGTCTTTATATATACAGATTTGAGCCTTAAAGGTACATCTAGCGTTGAGATGATATATTGCAGTCTTTTGGTACTACGGTAGCTTGGAAATATAATATGTCGTCTTTGACAGTGGTCTCCAACTCCCAGTGTTTTGGGGGATTCTGTGTGTTTTGCATATTTGAGGCTTGTCCCCTAATGCTCGGAGCGGATCAGAAGATACTGAGGCCCGTGTTTCAGACTCTGCCTCAGTCTCATTACTGTCGGTGTGAAGAAAGTTACATATTGTTCACGTGTGCACATGCTATGTACAAACTACAACAATGTGCCTCCTGTTGTTTTAACTCTGCCAGTGCGTGTGGTTTGCAATCTTGACATGTTTGCTGTCATGATGCGAGTTTCTAGATATTTGCTACTTTTTCTAAAAGATTTTTGTTCTGGGTGATCTTTTATATAACTGGTCCTCCTTGGTTCTTTTACATAACTGTGGTCCTTCATGGTTCCTACTTCAAACTTGTGAGGGCACAAAGGACGCAACGTTATTAGTTGCACCTGCGAAACGAAAACCCGATTCTCGCATCCTTTTTGTCCCTTATCAACCAATGTATTTCAAGATGGCGCATTGACATGAATAACACTCCAGCCTCATGGACATTTATAAAGTCTATGGCAACATTTATAAAGTCTATGGCAACATTTATAAAGTCTATGGCAACAATTAAAAAACATGGTGGGGGTGAATATTCTTAGAAAGGTCCCATTTGTTATTGGTTAACATGTTTTTTCATTTGGAGTACCTTATAACCCAGGGATTAAAGAGTTCCGTCTAGGTGACGGATTTCCGTCAAATGAAATTGGTCTGGAAAAAAAATATATATATATATAATGATAATAATACACACAATGAAATGATTGATTATAAAAATAATATATAGTAATACATATATGTGTGAATCTGTTTTTTTATATATATATATATATATATATCTCGATGTATAATAATAATTTGAATATAATTGTATTTATATGTATATAGAAATAATAAGTAATATAATCACGAGTGGGCCTTGAACGTGCCGTGGCCACATGAGCGCTCCGCAAATGAATCAAGGCAATGGGACGTAGCTGAGCTCACGCGCAAATGAAGACGCAATGAAGTTAGCATTGGTAACACGGAGGTGAAAGTTTCTGGAAACTGCACGGAGCTTTTGAAAAGGAGAAGAGGAGGAAAATTGAATCTCGAACGGAGCAATAACAGCAGCAGATCCGCGGACTGGTAAGCTGGGCGCGTAATAGACTAAAGGTAATTAACGTTTACCAAACGCAATGCTATTTACTTAACGGAATGTACAAAACAGACTTTGCTGCGACTGGGAATGGGGACAAACATGTCTTGGTGAGCTTTTGATATTGTCTTGTTTGCGATCTTCTTGCAAAACTCAGCGTGATGTAAAAGAGCCAATCAACGAGTCATGGTGCGAAAAGATGAAAGTGGCCGGTGCTTGTGCGTACTTTGCCATAAAAAATTGCATATATGGGAGTAATGAGAAAAAAAGTTTTGATTCGCCACCAGCTCAAAACTGCGCACAAGGCAGCTGTTTGTGCACTTTCCCACACTTCATCTTTACCTGGTGCATCAGCAACAACTGACACTAGGCTTGCTCTGGCAGACCGTGTCTGTGGCTTTATCGCAGAAAATAACGTTCAGAATATCACTACCGCTGGTAGATTTATTTAAATCATTTGCAGTTGATCGAAGTGCACTGTGCACTCAAACTTGATAGGGAAACCTTTTTCTTAAATATTGACGTGTCCACAAACAAATGTGGACAGAATTGTATCGTCCTTTTGCGATATTTTGACGAGGACAGAGCCAAAGTGTTGACGCTCCATATCGCCTCAAGTAAAGCTACTCTCACTAATATTCTGTCAAAAAGTTGACTCGTTGCTTGATCCACTTATATTTCATATCAAAATACACTGTATATCTTTGAAGAATTCATTTGAGCTGTATTCAATATACCAGTGTCTCCCAAAGTGGTTACTGCAGGGGGGCCGCGGGAGGTCATAAAAATAATAAAAAAATAATATAATTATTTAATGTTAAATTTATAATGTTTTGTTTGTAATATTAAAATATTTGTGTTCATTATTTGACTTGAATAATCCACTGTAATCATTTTTGTATTACAATGTTTGTAGCAGAGGCTATTTCCCCAAAATAAAATAACCAGAAGAGCCTATTCTTAATGTTGTCTTCTTGGTTATTATTTTGGGGGGCCACACAGACCCGTCAGATTTTTAAGGGGGCCTCGGTGTTACTGAGTTTGGGAATGGCTGCAATATACAATCTATTATACAATAATATATTGTAATTAAAAATATAACTTGGTCTTGCATATTACTGTGATTTACATGTGATAAATTTCCATGCAAAAATTTTCAGTCAAATCTTTTTTTTTTGCTTTAACCCCTGTTATAACCACTGACCAATCATGAGTCTTCCTAACGTGTTGCCAGAGTGGGGACAGACCCGCTGCTGAGTAGCTCTTAGTAACTTGGCTGTTACTACCAACAATATTTGAATACATTTGACTCCTCATTCCTGCTCAAACAGTGGGTTCGAGTTAGCTTTAATCGGCATCTTCTGCATTAAGGCTAACACTATACTATAATATACAGTCTATGTTTGAAACAAGCAAATTGCGAATTACTTCAATGATTTCTGTTGTTGTCTACTTAAAAATCTGTAAACTATTGCAAAATCAATACAAATTATCTTGATTTGATAATATTTGAAGGATTCACCGATTTACCAGTATAGCCACTTGTTGGTGCAGTAGTGGCAAATAAAACAAGACTTTTGTGTCCAACAAGGTTCATTTGGTCGTCTGATAGATACTCTAAGCCCAATATTTTTTGTACCAGATAGTTTCAATACACAAAAAAAGGAACTCAAAACGGAATGTGTACGGTAAAGCCCTGCACACAACGCAGAGCAAGAGCAACACAAATCAGCCATATACAAACACTGTAAAAGAGTCAACATTATGGTTCTGATGCTGGATCATAGAGGCCACAGAAACACAGAAACGTGCTCCTAGGACGGAAATTGGCAACCCGCGGTTCTGGAGCTGCTTCAAAAATGTCTGAAAATTGAGTGGGAGAGGTATATTATTATTATTAGTTTGAATGTGGTTTCTGTAAGTGGAAAAACATTCTTAACGTTTTTCACATGCGTTTGCAAATCCCAAAGGTAAAAAGATAGTCGACAATAAACGCAAATTCAATGAAGAATGGACTGAAACATTTGCTTTCATTGCCAACGAGGAAGGACTACTTCATGTTTGCTTTGTAATGAGAAGTTGTCTAAATACAAAAAGAGTCATGTGGATATTTCCATGGAAGGAATGTTAAAATTTGCTGCCGACTCCAGTTGGGAGTGAGCGAAAGTGCGAGCAGTTCTTCTGGAGTGGATTCATCTCCAAACTTCTTGCAAGTTTTGTTGCAACATGAGGAACAATGAAGGGCAAAACACCGTTCATGGATGGTGATTACGTGAAGGATTAATTCATCAAAATATTGGAGCACCTATTTTCAGACTTCCAAAACTAAGATAATCCAGAAAATTAAAGACTTACTGTACCTCTTTCCATTAAGCTCAAACGACAGCTTCAGATTCAGATTCAGTTTATTTGCCATTTGCAGTAAAAAAAAAACACATTGGAATACATTAGCAAAAGTCTCCAGTGTGCACAGACAAATACAGACATAAAACAACATTAAAAGACAAAAATAAAACAAATAAAACAGTAAACAAATGTCACTGTGAAATCGATCGACTAAAACAGTTTCAAAACCAGTGCAAATCATTAAAGTGCTCTGTTCACACTGATAACAGCTTGTGGATAAAAACTGTTAGCGTAACGAGATGTCCTGCATCTCAGAGAGCGATATCTTCTGCCAGAGGGAAGAAGCTGGAACATGGCTTTCCCAGGGTGGCCAGAAGAGTCATTGACAATCCTAAGAGCTTTGTTTAAAAGTCTGGATTGTGACGTGATCGATATCAAACACAGTGCTGTAACGCAGGTATGTGAACTCGGAGCCAAAAATCATATTTATTTACTGTATTTCTACAATTGCATGAACGCAACAAAATGGAAGCAAATATTGTATAGCAGAGTGTTCATGTGGTGCGTCACTCTCTCCATATACTACAGTGAAAATAAACATTTAATGATGATAATGAATGCATATTATGTATTAGCAGCCTAAACTTAGTCATTTTGATAGTAGCTATTATAGCTATAGCAGATTTCAGCCTGTGTTGCCTTCAAATAAGCCTTATACAAGGCTGTTCATTTTCTTGCGGCTCCAGACAAAGTTGTTTTTAGTTTTTTGTTGTAAAATATGGCTCTTTGAAACTTTTGATTTGCCGACCCCTGCCCTAGGACTATAAGCGGACCTCAGCCCTGCAGCCAAAACTGTCGGATATTAAAAAAACACTCTAGTGTTAAAAAATAAATCAACTTGTAAGTCTTTCAGAGGACTTAACAAAACCATTAAAAATCACCAACACAGAATCAACAGTTAAGACACAAAAAATTTCATAGTTTCAAGTTCATAAACCCCATAAAACAGATTAAGAGTAATTTATACATTTATTTCAAGTTAATGTTTGAAAACTGAACTACAAACGCTTTTGCCTGATGTGGCTTTCAACACGCCAGATTAGGTGATAAAGTTGTTGGCGATTTAGGAGTGTTAAGATCCATTTCCAATGGCTCTACTCGACTGTTCCACGTAATTATTCAAAAAGGTTCATTTTGTCTGAAGATGGCTCGCAGCTCTGCAGCCCAAACATGTTAACAAGGTAATACATCTAAACTAGTCTTTCAAAAGAACCGAAAAATAATAATCTACTGTACTCTGGAGTATTGGGGGAGTGGAGTAGGGGAGGGTAGGGTATAAATCAGAATAGGGTAGATTAGAGCTGGTGGAAACAGTGCTATAGAAACATGTGGCTGGCTAATATTTGTGAACCTGCACGGCATATTTGCATCAACATGACAAATAACCAGCGCATGGTTCAAACGGGGTTGGTCGTGTTTACGGCTACACTGGCGTCACTACTTCAGGATGTGGTGGATGTATAATCTGTGTAACTGTGATATTAGAGTAATTGCAAATCAAATGTTTAGGTTTGAACTCTTCAGTCGTAGTTAAACATCCGCTTCCGCAGAAGTCTTTGTGTGCCAATAGTAAACAAGGACAAATTGTTTTCAGCACAATAACAGACTTAAAGCTGGGTTATGTAACTTTTCTGTTTCATGAATGGCACGTGTCTTGTAAAACCTTCATCTTGCTTAATTTTTTTATACTTGTAAGAGCCTTGTGACTCACTATTTGACGCTTTGGGCTAAGAGCTGATTGGGTGGGAGAGGGTGGTCCTCTTTGTCCCTCTTCTGTCTTAAAATTGTTGAATCAGCTTTTTCTGAGTTTAGTTTAGTTTAGTTTATTAATTTATTTCAACAGGGACAATGTGCAAATACATTAATTAAAGATGCTTTGCACCAGATTTAGCTTGAGCTAGTTTCCATCTGTAGTCCCTGAGCAGGTGAGTCACAACATGTACAATATAAAATATATTTAACCACTCAAATACAAATATTCATTCATACATTCAGAATGAATGTATGAAAAAGGTATTTTATTTGTATTCTTTTTCAATAAAGAAGATAGAAGGATTTTAGGATGGGTATTGTTGAATGTTGACTGCTTTACATAATTATTGATCATTGAATAATAAATGATGTGGTTGTTTCCTGAGAGAATAATCTTATAAATTCGATATAACATGCCATGGTAGCTCATAGAGGTTCACTCAGCTGAGCGAGGGCTTTCTGATGTGATGAAGATGTAATTGAATAAATGAAAAAAATCTGGGAGACCAAAAAAAGGTATTCCAACTTTAATGTATCTGGCGACAGTGGATCCAGATCACAGATGCCAAAGCCTGGTCTGGTGACTTGCATCTTTGAGTATATAGTGTGTGGTGAGGGGTTTTACCTTATAATAACTTAGTGGTATCGTATCATGAGGGACCCAGAGATTCCCAGCCCTTGTCCTGACACCAAACCAATGAAACAGACTCTGCCATCGTGGATTAAATGTAAATATAGCAGAATGTATTTTTCGACATGATGGCTGTGATAGCTCACTTTCATCATCAACATACAAGATAGTATACTATAGTGTATGCTTATGTGGATAATCTGAGACTATATGTGTGCGCAGTGTGTCAGAACTGCTTGACCTGTACGAGGAGGACCCAGAGGAGATCCTGTTGAACCTGGGCTTTGGGCGAGAGGAACCGGACCTGGCCTCCAAAGTGCCAACCCGCTTCTTTGACAGCTCGTCCTGCGCCCGCGGCATCGACGTTAAGGTATTGTCCTGTCCCCATGTCTGCTTATGTTCTTTTATCTCCAGCTTATACACTACAACTGTATTCTTAAGCTTTCCAAATCCACTCGCTCTTTGGTGGATTCTCAAACAGGTCTTAGTTCTGGTTTCGTCTCTGTGCGCCCCGTAGAGAAGCCTCAATGTTCCAGACTTGAGGACGCTTTCAAATGCGTTTCGTAACTTTCCCTTATTCCTCAAACTATAACTGTGATTGTAAATATAACTGCTCTCATACAGACATTTAAACACACGCTGTGCACAGGTAACCACTCGACATGTTTCCTTTGTGTGTTTAATTTTCACACACACTCAGCTGCTGCAGCAGAAATCACTGAGTTGATCTCAGTTGCTGTTGTCTCATAAGGATCCTTTAACCTCGGGTTTGACTGCTCAACCGCAGTCGAACCCGCCTGCAGCAGCTTCTCCAAACAGACTGGTTTTTCAGTCCTTTATCGACGCACATGTTTACATGAGTCTTTATCAATCTGATGAAACTGAAGTAGAAGTAAAATTTTCTTTTCACTCCATTCATTTTCTACCCCTTAATCCATTTCTGGGTCAGGGGGGTGGCCAGAGGTTCCACCCAGTACACATAGCACCAGCCCCTCACTGACCCCCCTGCAGGTGGTAGGTCTACAGGAGAATGGCTGCTCTGTGGCATAGCCTTGATCTTTCGGTTTTTACTCGAGCTTTGAAAATTAAATCAATGTCTTCATCTATTTTTCCATCTACAGTATTTCTCTGGCTAAGAAACATAGCAGCTTCTTATACTATATTTTGTGGGCTCCTTGTGTGCTCTTACTACAGTCCTGTATGTGCGTTGCAACATTGAATTTTCCCCCACTGGGGGAAATGACAAATAAAGGATCTAAATGCTAAATGCATATTGCATATCTGGGCGGCTGAGTGGATAGCACTCTTGCCTCCCAGCAAGAAGGTCCTGGGTTCGAATCTCTGTCAGTCCAGGGCCTTTCTGAGTGGAGTTTGCATAGGTTTCCTCCGGCTACTCCTGTTTCCCTTACCACCAAAAAAAACATGTACAATAGCTCTGACATGCGCCTCCTGTACTGGCGACCCCGCCCCCATCTCTGTGGACAAATTCCCACAAAATAACAATTGTAAACCGCTTTGTGACTCTGGTCTGTGAAAGGCGGTATATAAATAAAGATTGCTTACTTACTTATGTTATATCTTGTATGTCACAGGTGTTTTTGGGAGCTCAGCTACAACGCCGGGAGCTGGAGAATCCCAACTACGCCCTGACCAGTGAGTGTCTCCCCCTGTCTGTGGGCAGCCTTTATTACACGTGTGCTGTGGGGATTAGGCCATAGGGTTGTGTGCTGCATACATTTAGCAAGAATTCCGAGGAGTGTGAAGGAGTTTAGGCTGTTTTTATGAACCATCTGTGTTCCAGAAGCCACAAAAGCCACGCTCTCGTAAATTTGACTCTTGTTTCGATACCAAATCCAAAATACTCATAAGTGGTTTGCCTGTTAGATTATTTTTCCTATGCTCCTTTGCACATCTTAGGAAAAATGATCAATTTTGCAAGGATCACAAGACTGGGTACTTTTTTGAAGTTCTTTAAAGCGTGGGCCGGGAAAGTTTGGACAGCATCTGCGCCAAATTTTCCCCAGCATCATCATTGTACAGAGTTTATATAGCGTCTGTTTGCATCTCCCCGAATAGAGCTGTCTACTCTTCCAATAGGAACCACCGTTTTACTGATTAACTAATAGAAACCGTAAGTAGAATTCTGTAGTTGGTGTCTCCAGTGGTCAGAAGGTCCAGCTCTTCTTGCATTCTTGTCCTAAGTTTGAACAAATGTTGACATCTTATCGTCTGACACTCATGATGCTGTGCAGTTGGGGTAGACCTCACAAATTCATGCTTTTGATACCTGAAACATCTTCTAAAATCTGAGCTCTGACAAAGTTGCTTCAGGCATCAAAATGTGTCGGTAATTAATGTTAGAATAAAGGATTTTGCCTCTGCAGATTCTCTCACTTTAAATAGTTGAATTGCCAGTTTATTTATTACCCACTACAATATAGTTGTTCTCACCACATCTCTGGGATAATTTTGACCCTCTCTGTGAGCCACAGGAAGAGGAAAATGGCTCTCAAAGCCCGGCTCTTAAAGTGTAGTGTGTAATAAATGTAGCGGTTGATGTTTGGGTCAGAAGGACATAAAGGACAGGATATGAGCGATTGCGACGGAGCAGGTCGAGCTGTGGAACACGTCAGACTGACAGCTGTTTGGACTCTTCTCTTCATCCTGTGTCTGCGAGTCCTCACAGCTGTCACACAGGGCACATGAGAGCAGGTGAACCGTAATGAGCACCAACAAGTTTGAGATGTTCCAGTACCAAAACCTCTCATTTTGATCCAAAACTCAATGTACACTGTGCAAACTGATACTGCTCCTGACAGAGGCTCTAGTGCAGGGGTGTCAAACTCATTTTGGTCAGGGACCGATTAAAAAAAAATAGGGACTGGTCAGGGGCCAAAACAATAGAAGAGATTTCCTTTTCTTATAATAGTTATTTACATTATGAAGGTATTTTGACATGACTTTAATGTGACATTTAACTCATTGGATTAAAATATTAGAATACATTAAATTTGGTTGTTTTCCTGAGAAAATAGATTATTGAACCTGCCTTGGTCACCCATTAACGTCAATGCTGCTAGTTAATAATAATGAAAAATAATTTCAGGGACCACTAAAAAATGTCTTGCGGGCTGGATCTGGCCCCCGGGCCTTGACTGTGACACCCATGCTCTAGTGGTAGTGGGTCAAAGGAAGAGGAGAGGGAAGACTTTCCCTTAAAGGTTCTAAAAATATATACAAGTCACATGAAGCACAGTACTTTGCATAACGACAGCATCACACACGATTGAACCTCTTACTGTCGGAGTTTGTGCCGTTTCACACGCTGCTCATTCCTTTATAAAATTGTCTTGTGAAAATAGGTTTCAATTTGTATATTTTAATTGTATACTCGCCGTAGTCCCTCTGGTCCTCTGTGCTGTGACTTGTATTACAGACAAAGCTTGGGACCCTTTTGTTTTGACATGTTCTTGATCAGAAAGGGACCCAGAGCTGGGTAAACACTGTCTCTAAAGAGAGGAGACAAAAAGGATTTTTCTTTCTTGCAGGTCGTTTCCGTCAGATCGAAGTCCTGACATCCGTTGCAAATGAGTTCTTCCAGCTGTACAGCCAGGTGTCTGGTCAGCCCCTGCACCGCATCAGTACCCCCTCCAAACAGACCGGTCAGTCCTTCACACGTGAAGACACCTGACCTGTTCAATTCAATGTATTTGTGCATAGCCCTAAATCACAAATATAGTTGTCTCTGAGGACTTTTTAAAGTTGTCAAACAGATCGAAGAATCAAACAGTTCCAACACAGGAAATGCCATTGGAGCCATTGTGAGTGGGATGACTAATGTCCATAAATCTTCTTATATGTCCTGGCTCATCCCCATCCTTAAACCCTCCTACGTCAGTGAGTGAGGACAAAAGAAATCCCAGTGGAAAAAAGTGAGAAACCTTGGGGTGGCCCAGAAAGGGATCTTCTCCCACCGATGGATACTCTATAGATCCAGGACTGAGCGCGGACTGAGGCTGACTAGTCACTTAGTATTGTCAATATATTAATTTATCAAGTACATTTTTAAACACTCAGAAGCCCAGCATGGTGAGTGACACTAATGCTTACAGGGTGAGAGGCCATTACTTTTCAGTGAAAGTAAATGGGAGCAAAATGATAGACTTCCCTATGAGACTTCATCAAGCTCGCAGATCAGCCTTGTCCATTCTTAATCTATGGTCTTTAATATTCTCCATGTACAGAGACAGAGGATGAGCCAAAAGACGCTCCCACTGCAAAGAAGACCTCACCCCTTAAACTGCCCAAACTCCTGAAGAAAACCATCAGCAAACACAACCTGCTGGCACTGGCCAACAAGAACTCCGATGCACAAGCTAACACCGACACCAATGCACACGCTAATGTGGAGGACGGCACACGTGGGAATACGGGGGCGGACTCTGATGCTGGCACGCCTGCTGACTCCCAGCTCAGCCATCCCAGCCCCCAGGCCAGGACGCAGCCCAGACCAGGGGGAGAGGCCAGAGTGAAGGTGGATGCCTCGGTACTGTCTTCCGTGTCCGAGGAGAGCACCAGTGAAGGAGACAAGGAGAGCACGCACAGGTGACACCCACACTTACATTTTTGGGTCACTTTGGGGAGATGGGAGTAGAAAGTTAAAAGCAAAATTTGATTTCAGAGTCTGATTATATAGCCGATCAGCAGGTAATGCTGGTTCTTAGCTATTTAGCCAAAAATGAAAACACTGCAAACGTGGAAAAAGTCATCTGGGGCGCTTAGAACGACCCTGGTCACCGTTGAGTGACACCGTGGCTGAGTGGATAGCGCACCCGCTTCTCAGCAAGAAGGTCCTGGGTTTGAATCCCAGCCGGAACAGGGCCTTTCTGAGTCGAGTTTGCATGCTCTCCTCGTGTATGCGTAGGTTTCCTCTGGGTGCTCCGGAATATGTACAATAGTTTCTGGGTGATTGAGTGTGTGGTTCTGAGTGCAACTGTGGGATAACGGATGGAAAATTCCAGAAGGATGTGTTCTTTAACATGTACGTCCCAACCAAATAAACAATTAAGCTATATTATAAGATGTGAAAGCCATTAGAACAGAGAAATACAGGAGAGGACTGTCATAACAGTAGGGGAATTTGGCAGAATGTAATTTCCTACTTTTATAACTTGTATTTTTATGTTCTTTAAAAAATGTTTTTTTATTTCTACATTCATGTTTTTAGCACTGAACAGATCTCAGAACCCACGTCCAATCAGAGTGCAAAGGTGGATCAGCAGGCCAATCGCACACTTGAAGACGCAGAGCTAGCAGACAATAGCGGGACAGGACCCTCGGAACACTCAGCCAATCAGAGCGATGGCCCCAAGGAGCGCACAGACGATCTCGGCGCGGGAGACGCTCCGGTGAAGACCAATTGCAAGCCAGAGGAAGAGCAGGTGGCCAATGGGAGCGCAGGAGACAAGGAGACAGCAGGAAGTGAGTCGTGGGCTGTGAACCCTCAGCTGGCTCTGCTGCGCACAGAGAACGCAGACTCCTTTGACATCGAGGAGGTACGCTTTGGATTTTACTGTGACAGTTATAAAAGTGCACTGTGGGAGTATTACAGCTTTAAAATATACTTTTGCTTTGAGGTTGACACACACAGAAATGATTCTATTTGTGGTTGAATGATATTGAATGATGCACCTTTTCTCACTCATATGAAACCACATATTAAACTTTACTTAGTCACTTTGTCCCAGACCCTCATGCTGCTAACATCTACAGATGTAAACATACAGCTATATATTTCTTGTACTAGAATATTCTGTATTTTTTGCTTTCTCTCTTAATCTTAGTTAATTGTAGTTGTATGAAGCCATTTATTGTCAAAAGTAAGTGTTCTATTATCAACAGATAATGACAGATAACCATTGACCCTGATCAGAAGTCTCCATCCCCCGGTTCTCACTAGTGCGTTACATGACAGCTTTGAGTCAATTTTGGTATCTGTGGATCATCGAATCACATGTTATTCTTAAAGTGCTTGTCAAATAAATGCAACACATTTGCAGTGTTTTACAGTAGATTCCAAACAATGCAACAATCGGTTTTTTGTCTTAATTAATTCAAGCCTTTTGTTCAAACAGATCGGGGACGATGTGCTTCCACAGCGCAGCTCGAGGATCGCAGGTGAGCTCCTCTGCCTCACCTCCGCTCTCCTGTGTCCTGCTCTACTCTACTCTACTCTACTCTACTCTACTCTACTCTACTCTACTCTACTCATAAATCTCATTACATTAAAAATATACAATCCTTCATTTGTATGCACAGCCAAACTAAACTGATTTTGACCTGGATTTGATCATTGTCAGTGTAGAAGCCTGTCTCACATTTTCAGAAAGACATGTTCCATATTTCACCTGCATAAATCTGAAATTCTGCCTAACTCAAAGTACGAAGCGGCTTACAAGCTGCTGGTGCGATTACATTTGCTACATTTATGCAATATAGTACAGCCGCCTCTCTTCTTCCTGAAAGGCGGCACCCTCTCTTCTCAGCAAGAAGGTCATGGGTTCAAATCCTGCAACAAGGCCTTTCTGAGTGGAGTTTGCATGTACTAACCTACCACTAAAAACATGTACAATAGTTCCTCCCACATTTACGGCCATAACTCTCCAAAAAATAAATTCTGAAGACTCAGCTGGACTTTCCTGGTTAACTAAGGGAATAAAATAAATACATCATTATGAAAATAAATATATTATAGACCATTCTATTTAGAATTACTGCTCCATGGTTTGAGTGCAAAGGCAAAGTTATGAAACGTCTTTGAAAGAGACATTTAGATTTAGAAATTACGGCAAATAGTTTTTAAATAAAGAATTCAGCTCTGCGAATGTTCTCAATGTCTCCATAAATGTGTGCTCCTATTCTAATAATGTATTTATTCAAACAAATGCATTAAACCTGAATCTCAAATAATTTAGGAGAGGAAAAGCCACACTTGTAAATTGTGATGTAATTGTGAAGCCATGTGTCCTCAGACCTGTCCCGCACCGTGAGCCAGCAGTCCGACAGCAGTGGCTTTGCGGAAGAGCCCTCCTCAGACTCCTGCAGCTTCTTAAAGGTCTGTACCCCTGATCCCTACCCATAAGACCACTCCTCATTCAAAACAAACTCCCACACTATACATGGGACTATTTAGAGCAGGGGTGATTTTAAACATCAAATCATTATTATGACAAAATGTGAACTCGTTCAAGTTACATTAGCACTTAAGCAAGAATGGTCTGAGCCTGCATGTATACTGAAGTTATACTGTAAGCATGATTGTATTATTGTACTCAGATCCAGGAAAGTAGCGACTCATGCGACAGCGAGACCACCGTGACCTCCCATCCATCCCAGGACCTGGCCACGCCCGTCCCAGTCGACCATCCGGCCTTTGATCTGTTCACCGGGGGCGCCGTAGAGCATGACCAGCCTGACGGAGAACCGGAGCTCATCCCGCAGTACACGGCTCACCATCTGCCCAAGAGCTGGCGCAGACACAGCCCCCAGTCCCCGCGGAGCCCCTCACCCACCGGAGACGAGGAGCCCCCGGGCAGCGCCGACGCACAGTCGCAGGTATGAGATGCAGCAAAAGTTACCTATTTTTTTGTGGGTGAGAAGAAATATTTTTAGGGTCATACACGGCCCCCTGCAGGCGTTCTATGCTCTTACTGTTCACTGTGTGTGTTTGTTTGTGTGTGTGTGTGTGTGTGTGTCTCTGTCTCTGTCTTTGTCTCTGTGTCTGACTGTCTCTCTGCCTGTGTCTGTCTGTGTGTGTCTGTCTTGTTTACGCTCCATAAATATATGTAAGTAAGTAATTTTTATTTATATACCGTCTTTCACAGACCAGAGTCAAAAAGCAGTTTACATATGTGAATAGCTGCAGCCAAACAAGTCTATTCTATTTTGAATTATTCACATAATCTAAAAGTGTAGATTCTAAGCTTTTCAAAAATGTAAAACATTTGGAAATTATAGTGAAAGTGAGGTCACTTGAAATCAAAGTTGCCGCAAACATAGGCAGGTGTACAAAGGCATATATCAGCAAACATCACTCCAGTTTTCTAGCTATTCAAAAAGCTAACTGATGATTAGAAAACCATTGTTCAATAACTACTGAGAACTGTCGTGTGGACGAGTGTCATTTGTGAGGTAACCGCACGCCGCTTATTACATGTGGACTGACTGAGGCCACATAGTGTTGGCTGAATGTGGAAAAAGCTAATTAGAACTTTAGCCATTTTCCTCATACGGACATTTCTTTCGACAGTGTTTGCTTCGGCCCATAGCCGACGTGTTACTAAGATTGCTTTTAAGGCATCTGATTAATCAATTCTTGTATTGCTCATATCTGGATTGACAAAGACAATATCAAAATGTAAAGACCAGGATTGTAGATGGCACTAAACAGATTTATTTAAGCCCAAAATGGTGGTGTGTAACACAAACTGTTGTGTGAGCTCGAGAAGTTTACTTTTCAATGTAAGTCAAAAGGAGCCAGAGCGAGTCCATGTGCACTTCCCTATTGGACTGGACAAACTATTTCTGTTCATCCTTACTCATTTCAACATTGTTTTTTACAGTCCACAATGGAGCAGGAACCTGAAATCCAACTCGATGTAGAGCTCTCTGACGATCCTCTGGGAGAGTCTTGGGACGAGGACCCGCCCCGTCCGCGACAGGCCGAGTCTCCAGATTTTGTGTCTGACAGGTCCGAGTGCAGCCTCCCTCCTGCAACCCCATCCCCTGCCCCCCCCTCTCCCGTCCTGGGCGCTCTCCACCGCGCCACGCTGCACAAGCGGCTCCCGGGCAGCTCCCGGGCGCGCTGCGTGCCCCTCCAGCGCTCATCCTCCCTGCCTTCCACCGTAGTGTCTTCCGTGCGCATACAGCTGGGCCGCGGCAGAAGACCCCCTCCTCCCCCTGACCATGCCTCCCCCACCGCCCTCCCGCTCAAAGCCATCCCACCGCACCTCACGCACCAGTCGCGCTCGCTCTCCTCTAGCCCTGCGCCCGACTGGCACCACAACCACTCCTGGAGCACGCAGAGCATCCCAGAGATTTACACCAACCCCCAACATGTGCCGTACGGCCCTCCCCAGTATGGGAACCCTCATGGCAGCATGCCCAACCTGCATGCCCACCACAGCCCATTTCTGCCTCACGGCTTCTCCCCCAGGCCAGAACAGCACCCTGCGTTCGGCTTCCCACACAGCGCTCCACACAGCGCTCCACACAGCGCTCCACACAGCGCTCCACAAAGCGTTCCTTACGCGGCCTCCAGCTGGTTGGGAGGATCCTACTCCAGCCTGCACTCCTCGCCCCACACTTACTTCTCCCCTCCGACTCCCACCGCGTCCCAGTACAGCAGCCACTCCCATTACCCTCACATGCCACCGCCCTCTCCCTACCCTCCTGCGCCAGGGTTCCACCCGTCTCTCTTTGGGGGTCCCCAATTTTCCCACGAGGCGGCTCCAGGACCTCAGCACATGACCAGCTCAGAGATGCAGCTCCGGCGGGTGCTCCAGGAAATCAGAGGGACACTGTTTAGTCTGGGACAGGTGAGGATGAGGCCAGTGCACCAGGATACTGTTCGCACTTTCAATTTGTTTCTGTATAATCTTGTTTTCTTTGTCAGGGCTCGTTGGGGACAGCGGACCTCCTGAGTGAGCGCCGAGCACCGCTGGCCTCTCCACAGGTGCAGTTTGTCTGACTGTAACCATTATTGATATAGAGACATTGTAATCTAATATTAATCATCTATAACGAGGCTCCCCTTTCGCGGCCTCTTGTTTCGCAACAAAATCATATAACCGCTAGTGTAGCATGACAGTTACCTTCATTTAAAGTCAGTAGAAAACTTCCCATTTGTTTTGTTGTCAGGCAGCGCAGTGAGGCCTGAGGCTGAAGTGAATTGGATTTGTTTTCAGCTTTGTGTTGACAGATACATTTACTGAGCCAGTCTTAATGCAATACGGTTTCAACGTCAATTGCAAAAAGTGATGAAAATCAAGTCAAAAGTTTCTCAAATTTGGCAAAATGTATTTGAGCCCGTTTTGACTGCCTTAAAACAAGATTTGCCAATGGGAAAAGTAAAATTATCTTGTTTTAAAGAGCTACAAAAAATGTCTCTTGGAATGAGAACTTAGAAATAAGACTAAGTGGCTTTGTCCCATTGGCAAATCTTGTTTTACGACAGTCAGAATGTAATCAAGATAAAAACCTCTCGATTCAAGCAATTATTACCTCGCAATTTATCATTTTGGCAGTGTATATGCCGACAAGGCCTTAGACATGCTGAGAAGAGGATTTATTATGACTTGGATAATCCTAAAAGTTTTGGTCAAATATATTTAGTATATTTGTCTATTTATATAGTTTTTGGGGAATTAAACAACTAATCGACGCTAGTGATAGTCTCTTATCAAGCGTTTCTCATGAGGTATGGCAGGCGTGAATTCCAAAGGTAGTTTTATGCTGAACGAGAATCTAGTTACTTTTATATGGTTTGAAATCTACCCCCCCAGACAGTGGGTCGTGCTGAGTGGTTCCGTGCAGGGTCTGTAGTTGTGGCCTGCTGCTCACTTTCTGCTCTCTCTGTATAGACTCTGTCAGAGCTGCTGTTGAAGAGGCGCAGTCTCAACGCCTTCCGCAGTCAGATGATGGAGCTGGAGCTGTCCATCCTGAGGGAGCAGGCCCCGGTCTACAGGCACCTGAGCCCCAGTGACAGGTACCACTGGCCGAGTGCTGACGTCACCATAGTGGTTACAGAATGCAGAAGAAGCCGATTTGAACATGAGCTAGCTGGAGCCAATGTCCTTCTATGGGCATTTGTGTCAATGGGTATAGCTTCAAGGCATAACAGGGGCACACATGATTCTAAGGGTTATGGTCAAACTATATGTTTCATGTCTGGATTTACAATATCAACAAAAAAACACCAGGATCTTGGAGCCCAAAATGGTGAGAAACTTTTCAATGTAAGTCAATAGGCCAGAGCGAGTTGGAGCAAAACTTCATCCAAGAACACTTCCCTAGTGGGCTTTGGTCAGCATGGAGATTAGCCTTGTCCAGGGTTGCTGAATTTCTGTATATGCATTGTCTAGACTTCATCTCTGATTGAGTTTACGGCTTGTTCAACTATTTGTGAGATTTCTGCGATCTGTTATTGGTCGTCATATTTTTAACTTGAGGAACTGGGACAAATGCAGCTGGTCTCGGACAGTTCTGCTTTCACATGTGTCAGAAAGTTTAGGGTCTGGCAACTCAGGCTAAGTACATATTATATTGGCAATCTCTAAAGAGACCCAGCCCTAGTTGTACTTATCAAACAGTAAAAAATAATCAAACTCTGTTTTTATTGTGACAGGCCTTGGTCTGAGTTTGGTTGTGTAGCGTACTCCACTTTCTGATCGTGTGTGTGTGTGCTCGCTCAGGCTTGAGGTGGAACAGCTGCAGCGTCTGCGCTCAGCCGTCAGGGAGGAGCTGCAGGAGCTGGAGACGCAGCTGGAGGAGCGGCTGCTGGACCACAGCCCTCGTACTCACACGGTCAGAGGCTTCTGTCGTCTTCACCACTACAGCTACACACACGCTTTATGAGGGTTCACAAATGGCATTCACTGTTTTACTTGAAAATAAGGTTGTAATATTTTGGAAATTTTCAAAGATGGAAACTTTCCATGGCAATAAACAAGAATTAACTTGGAATTTTCTATTAACTGGGAAAATGTAAGTTTGGCTCTTCATATGGAACTTGAATATGTTGATGAAAGTATATTTTATGACTAAAACAAACGGACGCCATTCAAATACACTTACATCCATGTCATTCCTCAATCACGGTACACTGCTATTGAGACCGCGCCCCTACTGGTCCTGTGCATCCATCACATGTACAGATGATATTATGAAATCTGTTGAAAACATTTTGCTTGGATTTTTTCATATGGCTTCTGTTTATATTTATGCTTGGATATGATACAATTTAATTACTTTACAATACATAGTTTTCCACTGAAGTCACGCACTACCCACAATTCCACAGTTTGCCATTTTACAAGTCTAGCCGCCGCTAGTTGTAGGTAAACAAAGCGCGGCATATCACTTTTTGCGCTAAAACATGCCGACTGCCTGTATCGTTTGGGGGTGCAGTAACCGCGCAGATTGTGGGGACATTCCGAAGGCTATTACGAGACAGGGGAGTGACTCTGGACAGAGAAAAGACCCTTTAGTTGGCGAGGATCAACCGAGAGGGATTCAACCCTAGCCCCCTGAAAAACGGCACTATGAGGTCTGTTCTGACCATTTTATAACAGGTAAGAGCTAGCTAAATCTGCATGTGTGGTTTATATTCAGAGCTGCGATTTGACTGTGATACTAAGTCTATATAGGCGCCCATCAAAATGAATGAAAGGGGGGGGGGGGTGGTAGACAGAAGTGATTTAAGGCCTGTGATATCAACTGCTTTGTTCAAAATGCAATATTTTTTTCAATTAATAATTTATCATATACATGATGACCTTTTTTTATTGTAAAACTGTCAGCCAGAAATGGCTTAATTTCACTTAAGTCCACTGGTCTCGCCCAGTCTATGGTCTCGCCGCGTTTCATATGGATCCAAATCTCCGATCATTATCAATTTCTCCAAGGATCTTGCCACACAGATTACTCCAGTGTGTCAATATACTTAACGCGGTCAGTGTCGGCCGAATTTTTTTCTTTAGATGACATGGGGACAAATGATCCGTGACAAATGATACGTGCAATAGACACCAGACTGACAACATGGCGTTCGCGCAAAGTATCATGGGTAATAAGCACGTGATGGAGAACTATGTATTAATTCCCTATGCAACCCTCCTCCTCCTTCTTTTGGGTTTTACAGCGGTTGGCGGCTAACTAGTGGAGCATTACCGCCACCTTCTGTTGCGGAGTGGGTCAGACAATAGGCTCATAACCTTGACATGAGACAAGCAGGTTGTGGGTCTGAAACTCCCAGAGTCTGGGATGTTATCCAATTTGTCATTGTCCAAAGCTCTTGACTGTAGATGAGGGTGAAGTGTAGACATTTCAACTCTGCTCCCCCTTCACCATCACAGATACAGCGACTATGTCATTATGCAAGGCAAGTTTATTGATTATAGTGGGTAAAACTGAAACACTTCGTCCCCATGTTTAGTCCTGACTCTGGCAACCAGCAGGAGGCCAGTCCCTGTGCACCTCAGTTTCCCAGCATGTCACTGATGAATGTGAACACACTGCCCTGCTCAGTCTGAGAACTTCCCTCTCTGTTGAGCTGAGAGACTGAAATGAAAGACCTTTTTGATTTGTGATTAAATGACTTTTCGAGGGAAACTTGGTCTTGACCCGAATCACAATACGTTCATGCTTAAAGTTGCCGTTATTTTGTTTGCAGTTGTTCTGTTAGTTGTTGTATTTATTTCACACTCAATATAATATATGTGATTTGTATTTTGTTTCACGTATAATACAAATACTTAGTTTGTTCATGATGTGCTCTGCAGGGCATGCAGCAGGCCTCCAGTGAAGACAACCTGTCCTCCGCGTCTGCCCTGAGAGCCATGGCACCGGTCAGTGTGCGCTACTGGAGAACCCAGTATGATTCACATTTAGACAATGGACAATGACGTTTATTTTTTTATTTGTTTGTGTACGCCGTTTTTTTACTCAAAAAATAAATAAATTAGTTTTTAAATAACCTTTTTATTTTTGCACCACACAACTTTGCTGATTACCATTTATTAGCCAAAGTGTTCACCTCAATAATGATTATGATTTGCCTTTTAAACCTTTTGGTTGGAACGAGGCCTTTCTAAGTGGAGTTTGCTCCAGGTGCTCCGGTTCCTCTACCAAATGCACAGCCTAAAACCCGGTTAAAGTTCTTCACAATTAGATCCGGGCTTTCTATGTGATCGCGGCAACTGGGCTTGGGCACGGTTGCTGCAAGTGGGCCTGAGCACGGTTGAGAGAGGTGGTCCAGGACGCGCTTCTAAATCCCAGACGAGGGGGGTCAATGAGGCGGGTGGTGGGGAGAGGGGGAAGAGGTGTGATATTGTGCGTTGCATTACGTCTTCCTGATGTGCCCGTTGTGACGCGCAATTTTCACACACGTCTTTCCCTGCACTTTTGTATTCTCCTTGCTTATTTTAAACCTTTCATGTGAGCCCCCGGACCGTGGTTGAGGGGCGCAGGGAAGATTTGTCGTTCCAGGGCCAAAGAGAAGCGTTTCCTACGGGCATAACTCTCTTCTCTCCTGACCCTCGCTGTCACAGTGTGGTGCTATTGCACTAACACTTCAGACGTTCAAGACTTAATTTAATTGCCAGAACACACACACACACACACTTTTGTATCCTGCCTGGCTCTGGTGGCTCTGATCTGACGTCACACTTTTATTCTTTAATTCGCATTCATTCATTTCTCAGCGCTAACGCTTGTTGCTAAAAAGGCGCACTCCCAGGTCCGCAGTGCGCACTCGCACACATACACACTTTGCATCAGAGCAATGTGAGCAAGTGTGAGATGTGTCTTTCCCCAAACAACGCGATCAAGGCTCAAGCAGATAACTCACAGTAGCAGAATGTAAACAGGAAGAGGAACGGAAACTTAACTCTTGACATTGAGGTATTTGCTGAAGTTAGTATTAGCACCACCAGCTGGACTGAGCGTTGTACTGCTGCGCATTTGGTCTGGCACGGTTGAGAAAATAAACCCATGTGACCGCGGGCCGTCTTCGCACCCCTGTGGCGACGATCTGGGCCACTTGGCCTAGTTCGTTTGTAAAAACCTAAGTGACCGTGCCCTTAATCTGAGCGATGGTGGCTCTCTAATGCCAAGTATGTTTGAACCCTGTGGTATTAATGTCTGGCAGACTAGTGTTGTTGTTTATTCTTTGACAGTGTCGTGGGTCAAAGAGATAAACATGTGACTTGTATTGAATCGCATAAATACAATAAATTTGATAAAGCACTGTAAGAAACATGTAATATTATTCTCATTGTGTAGTTTACATGTGTGCAGGTGTCGGACCTCCTGAGAGAGCAGCGCTTCCTCCAATCGGAGCTCAGTTACCATAGCAACGGCGGCTCCTCCGCATCCTCCCGCTCCCCTAGTCCAGTCAGGACGGCGGGGAGTCAGGGGGCGGGACATTACAGCACGTCCATCAGCATCACGCCGGTCCCACCTACTCGTTCGCAGCCCCACCCCTCTGAGGAGCAGAGGGAGGAGTCACTTTGCACAGAGGACACGCCCCCAGCAGCTCACGTGTCACGAAGCCCACCCCCAGTGAACGACCTGCAGCACCTCATCAGAGAGGTACCGTCCAAACTCCTCTACGACTTTATCAAAACAGGTTCAAAACTCATCTCGGTATCGTCACTGTCCGTTAGAACAGAGTAACATTGCATTACATTTATTTATAAAGATCTCATTGGAAAAGGATCTGACATGTTTATTCAACTGAAACTCTGGCTCTGAACACAAGAACGCAGAAACTTTTGCTTTAAAAACTGTTAAAACAAGAACTGAACTCTGAAAGACGACTTTAAACCTTTTTACATCTCAAAAATGCAAAAATTCTGTGAAAAAATAACTTTCACACACATACACACACACACATATAATACACACACACTCACGGTACGATCGACTAAAATTGAATTTGTGCCAAAGTAATTCATCTCAAGATCATGTTTAAGGGACAAAATGAAAAGTACATAGTTTGACACTTATCTAACACACTTTTGACTTTTACTTTTGCAGATCCGTGAGAGTGTGGCCCAGGAAGTCCGGCGGGAAATCTACAGCGAGCTGCTGGCCTCCATCACTACCCCCAAACTGTAACCATGGCAACCCCTGTCCTGTCTGTAACACTGTCCTTTGTACAAACACTGTAGTGTCTGGAAGCACTCCCCCTATAGGCCAGACCTCTGAATGTGAGCACACCTCTACATGTATGCCCATATTTCTCTTGTCTGAGTAGTTTGGACTCCTTTGGTTTACATTTGACACTTTTTATAGGGTGGCCTACTTTCAGCTGACCAATGAGAAGTCAGACTTATGGCATAGTTTTAAAGTCTTCATTCTTGGATCTCAGAATATGCATCTTATTTCCGTCTAATATGTCCTCATTAGATTTATGTTGTATAAATGTGGGTCTTATTTTTGTGGGCGTAAAATAAACCTTGCAGGTACCCTGGGCCTTTTTCATAGACTATTTAGATGGACCAAGCTAACCCAATGAAGTTCATTGGGGAAGTGCTCACTCTGGCTCCTATTGACTTCCACCTCTACCTCAGTAACCGTTTGTGTCACACTCGCCTTTTTGGTCTTAAATATTCTGGGGTTTAGCACTCTCTCTGCTCCTGGTGTCTTTATTTTGATATTGCCTTTGACCAAACAGGTTCCCGCCCCAAATGCCCATATAAGGAAATTGGCTCCAGCTATCAGCATATGTCGCCGTCAGCACTTGGTCAGTCCACTCCTAACAAATGGTCTGTGGCTTTTTCACACACAGAAATAACTCAATTTTACGTTATATTTTTTCTGTGTTTTTTTCATCTCCAAACTTTATCCCAACACTGAAGTGCAAAAGTCAAAAACAATTGTCCAAACTACTCAATCAAGGGTCATATTTAGCATCTTTAGACTTCTGTACATTTCTTGTTGTAGTTTCGAGGATACGAGTCTGGGTAAATCATATAGGATCAGCCGGCAGGAGTAGAAATGAATGAAATGACATATGTAATTGTAATGATTTATACTGTACATACCATTTTTAATAATGCAAACGTTGAGAGCCCCACCTTATGTGTTCTAGAGTCTTAAAAGATAATAATTTTAACAATAATATATATGTGTAATTGCAATGTCAGTGTTGAGAGATTGATCGTGTTTGATAATATGCAGAAAGCAGCCGTGTTTCATGAAGCGGCCCGAACTGGGGTCCCCTCTCTGGAGCTGGCACGCCTCATCATTTGCACATGGAATGGTCGAAATTGGTGATAATCATGTTTTTTTTTCCTATGGGCCGTTTACTTAAAGCTGGGTTACGTAACTTTATAACCACAAAAAATGGAAACACACTGGTCTCTCTCCATATTTTTTACTTATTTGCGTGTGCTTTTTTTACTCCAACACCATCACACACAACGTCATGTAAGCGCTAGCATAACAGCTACTTTTATTTAAAGCCAGTAGACGTATGTGTCTTGTGTGCGGTGGTTAGAAAGGTAGATAGACACTTAACTGATCTTCGTAGGAGAAATTCAGGTGTCCAGCTGCAGCAGAAACACAACCATCCAAACATACAAAATAAAAAATACAGATCATTCTAAAAACAGCTAACAATAGTGATAAAAATGCATCAGCACTTTAGGTCACAGCAGCAGAGGTGGTGTGGCTTAGATCAGAGGACTCGTATTTAGCAGTTATATTTTACAGTGTATGCACAGCTTTTTACAGCTGCAGCAGCACTCACACCTACAACCAATAGGTTTGATATCTCTGCGATCGCTCTTCAGTATAGTCATGAGTTTAGGTGGTTAGAGTGTGAGAGGGTTTTACAGCCTTAAAACATACAGCTGCTACTTTACGGAGTTTCACTTATTGTGGGTTGTTTTTAGATCGTAACCCAGCGATAAACCAGGAACTGTTGGATGGTATTTTAAATCCATGTTCCTCTGTTTGCTTCTATTACTAGTTTTCACTTACAAGTATCTGTGGCTTCATGTTGAAATCTTTCTCACACAAAAGATGACATGTTTTCTGGAAAGGTGGAAACAGCCAGTTGTGTTCTGATTTTTCTTACTTTACTTTTGCAAGACTTTCTATTGGGACAAACGACCGGTGTTATTTATGAAACAAAAAGTTAAGTACCCCAGCTTTAAATGGCCTGAAACGTGCCAATTGAGTCTTTGCTGTTCATACATACCATTATGTTTTTGGGAGTGCCTTATGCAAGTTTTTACCTTTTTATGTTGATCTTTTTTGGTGAGATAATCCCTGTTGTAAAGTTTGCACCAATCAAACAAAACACAGGAAGTCGTTTGATGAAGTCACACTACGGTAGTTTGGATTCTTTTTTTTCTTTTTTTTAACACATACAATACTAATTCAATAAAAAACTTGCATGTATTCTCATTTTACAAATGATGTAATGGGATTTTTTGTCCAGTGTAATTACATCAGAAAGTACTATTTCTCTTAAAGGGCATTATGCAACTTTGTATGTGGCAGAAACATTTTTTCATATATTTTGTAGAATTTACCTTGTGGTGGCCAGTGGTACAATTTGGCAGCATGGTGCCTTTACCTTCCATCCGTGATCTCTAGGATTGGATGGACCTGTTGAATGTTTACCCTGCGGCGATTTGTTCTTGTAGCGGACGAGACACCAACATCTGTGAGGAGAGGACCCTGTGCAGCTTTAGATTTTGACATTTAATTTTGGAGCGCTGTCACGACCTTAGACCTTTGAGCAGAGGATCAGAGTATGAGGCTAATGATATGTGTCCCTGTGATCAAGAAGGAATGAAGAGCAACTACAGTTTGAAAGTTTGAATTCTTGTTTCTGTAAATACCATAGATTTCAGACAAACGGCACGCGTTGTATCCTCTCAAGTGCCATTGACTGTGACATGTCCTTATATCGGCTATTTGTGCAGCCATTGAACTACACCTACGAACCATAGTGATTTTTCAGATACCTGTATCAAAATTCTCCAAAAACCACTATGTCAAGAGCTGGAAGGACACAGTGTTTATGTCCTCTAGGTATCCAGCGAGTTCATGATCACGTCAGTTGGAAAAGGGAAGGTTTTTTCAGCTGAGGGACTCGGTACAGGCACCATGCTGATCACTCTTACAGCCACAAGATCCACTACAATAATATAAGAAATACATCACTTAAAAAGTTGCGTCGTGTCCGTTTTAAATGGCTAGTTCTTTTGAAAGGGCGTTAGAAGGGTGTGAAAGAACTCTGGGCTGCTGCAGAATGTTGGACATGTTTTCAAATAGATTTTTTAAAGGTTTTTTAAAGCACAAAATCATTCCCTTTGTGCCTTTTCTAATAATGTGTCAAATGTGAATGTTCCTAATGTAACCTAACGCCACTGTGGTATCACTAGTTACCTGTGAATGTTGGCCTCTGTACTGCTCCAGTCCACTTTATACGGATAACAAAGTATTCCAATCACTAAGTGTCTTACATAGAGGTATCTTTGAAATAAAGGTGTAGATTTTTAGGTGAATGAATGTTGTTTGAATCGCTTTGAGCGGTGTCTGGGACCACTAGAATAAAGAGATCTATTTTCACACAAACTCTGCTTTGGTCGTCCTTTATTTGCTGTATTTAGAACACAAGAAACTGAAATAGTGGCCAAAGCCACAGCAGGAGGCCAGTCCCTGTGATCCTCTACATAACTAATAAAACATTTAAGTACATTTGTGATTCATTTTTTCATACTTATTTGATGCCGCATTTTGTAACGTCTTCATACAATCTAAATGGAACCTAAACAATGTGTAATGAATGAATTTGTCTATGTATGTATGTAATGTAATTACCCCAATGTCAAGACTTCTGGTCTCTGATCAATGACTGGAAAATATCGTTGATAGTTTCACAGCTGTGCAGCACATATTTATTGACGGAGTGATGTTTGAAAGTGCCTGTCTTATTCAAGAGACATACTCTCAGATTGTTACATTCCATTTTCTTATGCTGTATCCGTTGCTGGATCGCGATGGCAGCAGTCTGAGCAGAGATGGCCAGACTTCCCTCTCCACACACCTCCTCCAGCTCATCTGGGGGAATCTAGAGTCATTACCACCAGTGGTCTCTCCTGCATGTGGAAGCCAGATCCTGACGGACTTCTGACGATACCCCAGGACAGGGCGTGATAATACTTTGAAGGGACACCTTTGGAAATACCACAGTGGGGCGGCTGTAAAGTGCCGAACTGTTACGTATTTTGGCAAGACACTTTGCCAAAAGTGCCGCATTGCCTAGAATAATGGTCTGGTGTGTGCGTCGTAGTTTATCACCACTGTAATTGAAGAAGTAATGAAATGTGAAGTGTGCTTGAGTGTTTTAAACTAATTCATTATTTTCTTTGCCTCCTTTGGGGCAGCAGAGTCTGAGGCTTTGATGGATTCTCATAAGTAGAGTAAACTTTCCTAAAACAGACCAATGACGTGTGTTGTGTTTGGTCCAGTGCTGCGCCTCCCGGCCTCCAGGAGCAGTATTGAGCTCTGCGCGTTTACAGAGCGCAGAGAGAGCGCCGCGTCCTGTGTTTGAAACGCGCGGACATGGAGCTAGCAGGTTAGTGCCAAAGCTGTTTAATGTCATCTCTGTCTCCTCTGTGTCCTCTGTGTCCTCTGTCTAACGTGTCCGAGTCTTTACAGACGTTTTGAGGAGGCGGCTGTGAAAGACGAGGCTCTGGTCCTGGTCCTGGTCCTGGGGCGGACTGGGTCTGACTCATGCTGAGACTATCATAACAAGTTTAGCTCTGTTAGAATGCTGCTGTTTGAGACCAGCTCAGTCCAGTCCCTCATAGACCAGCTCAGTCCAGTCCCTCATAGACCAGCTCAGTCCAGTCCCTCATAGACCAGCTCAGTCCAGTCCCCCATAGACCAGCTCAGTCCAGTCCCTCATAGACCAGCTCAGTCCAGTCCCTCATAGACCAGCTCAGTCCAGTCCCTCCAGTCCAGTCCCTCATAGACCAGGTTTAGTGTTTCTGTAATTGCTTTCCTGAGAGTACAGTATTGTAGTTGAAATCAGCTTGTTGTGCCTTAGTAATAAGTTTGCTTTCAGCTTCCTATATACCATTAAGTGACGAGCAACTGTATTTGAAATGTTTTGTTTGTCCCATTGGAAATTCTTGCCTTTTCAGAATGTACTTAAATCAAGTTGTTTTTTTGTCTTGGTTCAAGAAAGTATTGCCTTGTATTTTAGTGAGATAATATTTTCATATATATATATATATAATCTATTTCACGTCACTTTCTGCAGTGAAGGTAGGAAAGATGAATAGGCCTGACATACTGACATAAAGAATGGTTTTCAGAAACCCTCATGTCCAAAAAAGCATTTTATAATCATCACTGTTGTCAAAATTGGCATGGAGTCATAAATGCATTATTATTTATATGGAGTGTGGTGGTGGGCATTTGGTGTATATTGTGTGTGCTCTTGGTACGTACATATCTTTATTACAAGGACTAGCCTCTTGAGATGAATCATCTCGTTTTCAAGAGGGTCCTCAAAAATAGAAACACAAGTAGAAGCAGCGGTTGTCAAATAAATGCAGTTACAAAAAAGTGTAACAAATAAAAAACAAAACAAGTCACAGTAAATAAATTCAATAAAGTAACAGACAAAGCAAATACAAGGACAGAAACATTCACTCACGCACACAGAGCTCTCAGAATGCAGAGGTCACCCTACTCCTCAAACTAGGACAGTGAAAACCAAAGGATATAGTGTTTAAAAGAAAGTTCAGAAGCAGTTACAGACATTACACAGATGCCTGAATACAGCAACTTTAAAAAGAGGAAAAGAGGTTAAGGAGCGAATAGATGCTGGAAGGAGATTCCAGTCGTATGGAGCTTTATTTGCCAAGTTAGTGCAGTGTGTCCCTACTGGCACAAGTAAAGGTATTTATGTTGTGCTGTTGCAGTTGGCAGTGAGCCCATGACGCTGGGCTCCCCCACCTCTCCGAAGCCCTCCCTGGGAGCACAGTTCCTCCCCGGGTTCCTCATGGGTGACCTCCCTGCGCCCTCCAGCCCACAGTCCCGCCCCTTCAGCCTGGGCACGCCCCTCCACGACTCCTCACAAGGTATGCTCTCAAAAATGCATCTCACGAAGGAGGGATGTAGGTAAAAAATGTTAAAAGTTCATTATGTCTTCATGTTTAAGGTTTACAGAGTTCTTAATAACCTGACATGAGAAGACTTGATGGTGTGACGTGTCTCTTATAAGCTGTTGTCTGGCAGATTGGGCAGATCCCTCAGGCTGACCACGCCCCCTTCAAATCAACATCTGACCACAGCACAAGGAAAATTATAAAATTGACAATAGCTACTAGAGGCGAGTGAGATCAGGAAGAGGGGCGCACAGAGCATCAACAGAGACGAGGGAGCTTTCACCTTGGCTCACACTTACTGCTCACTTCTTCAGAGACCACATCACGGCGGGGGGCCTGGCTAGGCTGGATCAGATTGATCTATCAGACTGGCCGCATCTGGGAAGAGGTGATCCGAGTAGGGCTGGACGATAAAACGATAACGATTTATATCGCGATAGACACGTGTTCGATATCAATAGAAAACGAGGTCAATAGAATGATTGATTGTTTAACTTCACTCCGTTAGAAAACACAGGAAGTAAAGCTGGGTTAGAAGCGTGCGGCATTCTGGGAAATGCAAAAAACAACCACACCATGCGTAGCGTCCATGGATCTATAGATTGTTTTTCAATGCCGTGTCAATGGTTTTGCACGTCCGTGTGAAGAATAGCGGCGCGGGAGACGCTGTGGGCAAAGAAACCTGATGCATGCGGCAAAAACAAGAGATGAACTCTTTCCTCTGGAGGCATGTGCGGCTCTCTGATAGTCGCATGTGCGGCTCTCTGATAGTCGCATGTGCGGCTCTCTGATAGTCGCACGGAGCCGTCACAGGGACACTAGACACTTGAGGACAGCCAAAACCGGAGCTAAACCAGGACTAAACCGGGATTAAACAAGGACTGACACTTTGCTTGTGACCATATGCCTCTAGCCTGAGTTCTCATTCCCCCGTGACTATAAACAAGGGCTGCTAACGTGTTAGCCGACACAACAAATGTAATTATTTAGGCGGAAAAGAAAACAATAATTATCAATATTTACCAATATGAATCACTTATATTGTGATATAGTTTTCATCCTTTTCGCCCAGCCCTGGAGCAGAGACACGTCACAACATCAAGTGTTTCCTCTTAAGACGCCGTACGTCTACAGCCCAATCACGTGGTAATAGGACTGGGCAATAAATCGAATTTAGGCAATTAATCAGCTTTTGAAAAAATCAAATTTGTGAGAATTGTGAAATTGAATGAAGGATATCGTGATAGTTTGAGCTGCACATGAATTATACTTGCAATATCAGCCACAGTCTGTACAAGACTTTTATAATACGTATTGGGGGAAACAAATTAAAAATAGTATTGAGACTTGAATATTAAGCGGGAAGATTTAAAAAAAAATTAAAGGGCAAAGTCTGTCTTTGACTTTCATGAAAATCGATTTAAAATCAAAATCGTCCAAAGCAGGAAATAAAATTGAGACTTTTCTTTTTTCCATATAGCCCAGCCCTACGTGGTAATTAAGCTGAACTAGCTTCTTTACACTTTTGTCTTAGGAAACCTTTTAAGCCTTCGAGTGATGTGCAGTTGTGAACGTTCACACCTGGTCATTCTTTTGGTCGTATTTTGGAGATTATGATTGTGTGACGCCATTTATTGTCAATAGAGGTGCAACGGTTCATCACTGATGCGTGATCCGTTTGGATCAACGTCTTCGGTTCGGTACAGACGTGATCCGCAGTTTGATTTATGAAAAAAAAGTTGTGCGCATGTTGTTCAGTCCACACACAGCGAGCCATGAACGGAGAAACCCCACGTCATTTAAATCCCCTGTATGGGAGCATTTTGGTTTCACTGTCAACTACACTGATGATTAAATAGTCGACAAAACTGTCTCGATGTGTAAACACTGTGGCACAAGAAAGACATGAGTGAAAAAAAAGCGTCTCAACGACTGCTTATTGCCGCGGCGTTTAAGCCTCCCCTTCATGCACAGTCAGACCAGGCTAAAGTAAACTCTCCCGCGCATCCACAGTTGCGCTCACGACTGACACTTGGACGTCCCGCAGAACCGATAATAGATCCATGAGCGGAACAGAGAGCTATGTTACGATAGCCGCTCACTTCATCACAGCAGACTGGGAGATGAGAAGTCTGGTGCTGCAGACACGCCCCCTCTACGACAGTCACACAGCGCAGGTACTGACACAAGCAGCGGAGGAATGGAAGACAAAGGCCCAGTACTAATATCCCAGTCACAACTGATGATGCCAAAATTAAATAAATGCAGTGAATGAGGCTGGGCCCAGAATGGACCGCCTCCTTGGGAGAATCAGGAAGGTGGTTTAATATATGAGGGTAAATACCCTCATAAAGTGCCTTCTTATGTTGCCCTTTGTGTTGTTTTTCATTAATTATATTAAAAAGACATAAATGGATGGATGGAATATGCCATCCATCCATCCATTTCCTTCCCCTTAATCAATTTTTAGGTCGGGGGGGGGCAGTCAGAGCAGGTGCCGACTCCACATGAGCCGTGTTTATTAAAAAGACAAAACTTTTTTTTTTGGAAAAATGAACCGAACCGTGGCCTCTGAACCGAGGTACAAACCGAACCGTGATTTTTTTTCAAACCGTTGCACCCCTGGATTACCCAGGTAAACCAGGCGGCTGTGCTGCAGAGGGGTTTAGAAGTGTGGATGAATGAATGTGTGATTGGAACTCTGTAGATTGATGATAGTGACAAGTGTATTCAAGGTAATCTAACTTCTTTGTTATTCAAAGTTATTGTTTGTAATTACACCCAGCACTTGCAAGTCTTATACTTGTTTCTGATATGAAGGAAAAGTTTAGTGACAAACTGTAAATAAGCTCATTTACCCCCAAGAGAACAGAGGAATGCACTCACCGTCTGCCATTGACTGATAAATCTGTCATTTTGGTATAGTTGTCTGCCTCTTTATGTGGTGGTTTTGATTTTCACCAATTTCATGTCCCAGGGATTCAATTCTATGTATGGGGTTTGTCTGTAGATAATATTTTATTTAGCGAGCAGGTGGCAACAGCTCTTTTTGGGTGTTTGATCACAGCATACACCACCTTTTTTGTATTGTTGGCCTGAGGACGTTGTGTAGGGCAGAAGGAGGCACGGCAAGGTGAAGTACTGATGAATACTGGCTTGCTCCAGACGGCGACGCTGGAACAAGCTTTAGTTGGTGGTGCTCAAGCAGTAAATGTGTTACTAGGCTGACAGCCATCGTGGTGGAGTATCAAGGCAGCAAAAAAAGGAGAGGCGTGCGTCTCTCCTCAGAAGAGGAGGCTCGCGTCACGCGGCATGCAGAGTGTGCTGAGGCACGGCGACTGCTGTCCCTGTGTTGTTTATGAAGAAGTGTAGAAGACAGTAAAGGCCAGAGGACTGAAGTACAGCAGCAAACGTCAGATGTATGTGTTCGTCCTCAGGGTCTCTGGGGCTGGCGTGGGCAGACATTAGACTTTTTTAAAGAAAAAAGAAACGTCCAGAATCACTGTCAAACCTGTGCCTCCGAATGTTTAGATACAAGTGCTGTGGGGGCTTTGAGCGGCTTTTGTGCCAAAGACCGTTAGCACGCTGTTAACACGCTGTTAGCACGCTGTTAGCACGCTGTTAGCACGCTGTTAGCACGCTGTTAGCACACTGTTAGCACGCTGTTAACACGCTGTTAGCTCGCTGTTAACACTTGTTAGCACACTGTTAGCTCGCTGTTAACACGTTGTTTGCACACTGTTAGCACACTGTTAGCACACTGTTAGAACACTGTTAGCACGCTGTTAACACGCTGTTAGCTCGCTGTTAGCTCGCTGTTAACACTTGTTAGCACACTGTTAGCACACTGTTATGCTGTTTGAACCACAGTTGAACCTGACAAAATCTCACACAACAAACATACATAGTTAATCTTTTACTTGTTACCAGGTACAAGGAGAAAAAGTCTGACTGAGACGGGGCACAGCCCGGTCTCTCCCAGACCAGATCTGAAAATTCAGTCAGATAATATCTTGCTGCGCGCCTCTGCGCGAGTCTTTCCCTTTCCTCTCCAAATGACGTGTGCGGTGTGTAGGGGCCGTTATGCTGCCCCCAGCTAAGCAGAGAAGGAGTATGTTAGGTCATTGTTGCACTAAACAAAATGACGCTGTAGATGTAACCACACAAACACCCACAACAGTGTTCTATTGCACTTACTCTGTATGTAGTTTGTTCACTTTGGTTTATTGTCTACGTTCAAATGGGGATGTTTGGAGGTTTTCCTCATTCTTACTGTTCTTTAACTTGTGATGCAACACTGACATTTCCCTGCTGTGGGAGGAATCAAGATCTCTTCATCTTAATGTGTAGATTCAGATCGTCCTGAGGGGAGAAGCGGCCCCCTCCTCTGTGGGAGAAGCAGGTGGTTTGAGAATCCTGCTGACCTCTCTCCTCTCCCCCCTCAGTGCTGCTGCCCTCCGCTGCATCGGGCCCCGGCAGCGCGGCCCCTGCACCAGTCGTCCCCACACCGAAGGACAAGAGCGGGGCCCCTCCTGTCCGCAGCATCCACGCAGAGCTGCTCAGCGGCGGGACCCCGGTGGCCCCCCACAGACAGGTACTTGATCAGGGTCTGCATGCGAACGTTCCAACAAAAAGGGTCAAGACACACGTCTCTGAAGGGACGTAAACAAAAGGTTTAAAAGACAAACTCGTGTTTTTGCAAACTCAGGCTCCGAAGGGAGCTATTGTTTCAGCTCTCAGCATAAACCTCACCTTATCAACTTACTTTGCTCTACTTTTCAAACTTTGGCCAATCTGCAATCGCAGTGTACTAGGTGAGCTACAGACCCAAGGCAAGTTTATTTGTATAGCACAATTCATACACAAGGCAACTCGAAGTGCTGAACAGAATAAGATAAGATAAAACCCTTCAGTGGTATGCACAGATAAACGGAACAGTTTTTAACCTGGATTTGAACACTGTCGTAGAAGAGGCCTGTCTCACATCTTCAGGAAGACCGTTCAAGATTGTAGTTGCATGAATCTTGACTCTGGGCACCAGCAGGAGTCCAGTCCCTGTGCTCCTCAGAGTCTGAGCCGGTTCATAGGGGACTAACATGTCACTAATATATTTTGGTGCGAGGCCATGGAGAGATTTGTACACAAGCAGAGCTTTTTTAAAGTCTATTCTCTGAGCCACAGGAAGCCAGTGCAGGGACCTGAGGACTGGACTAATGTGATCGTACTTCCTGGTTCTAGTCAGGACTCGAGCTGCTGCATTTTGAATGTACTGCAGCTGTTTTACAGCCTGTTTGGACAGACCTGTGAGCAGGCCATTGCAGTAGTCTAACCTACTGGAGATAAACGCATGGATACTGATCTCCAAGGCAATGATCCTGGCAATGTTTTTTAGGTGGTAAAAAGCAGCTAATGGGACTGATTTGAGGCTGTTTAAATTTAAGTATGAGTCCACAATGAATACTGTTGTTTCAGGGATGTACCATTTAACTCTAGGCTTCAATATATTAAGAGGAAAGAAATTCTCTCATCACAGCTCACTAAAGCCCTGTTTCCACAAGCCCCACTTTAGGGACTTGTAACCTAGCAACCTACCAAACACAAACCAGGGGAAAGTCCTTCTAAACACAGCTTTCAGCTACACTCTGACCAATCACTGTCAGTTAGAACACTTAGAGGAGAGAGCAGTAAATTGTAAGTGTGCTGCCAGCTGTCTCAAGGTGCAGCACAGCCGTCTGGTGGAGGCGGGTGAGGCTCCAGTCATTACTACAGATAAATGTACTGAAATTATTGATGACTTTATAGACCAGGGCTGCCCAAACCTTTTAGTAACAGGGCCACTTTAGTTTACCAGACTTGTCAATTAAATTAAATGTAATCTTGTATAGCCCTAAACCACAACAGATCTCAGAGGGCTTTAGAAAACCATTGAATTCGCCAGCACAGATCAGAGAATCAAACAGTTCAACACAAGAAATGCAGCAATAAAAACACATAGAGGTCCGTAAGGGGCAGATGACCAATGTCCATAAATTATGGTAAATGTCCATAAATGTTGTTGCGTGTTGGGTGTCCTAGATCATCACCACAGACCTTTTAGTTAGATCCTCTAACAATCTTAACAGACCCTCCTGTATTGGCAAGGAAAATCTCTTAAAACCCAGTGGGAAAAGGTGAGAAACCTCAAGAAGGTCCACATTGAGAGAGGGATCCGCTCCCATGGACGGACGAGATGTAGATCCAGGACTCAAGCTACAGAACGAGGACCAAGGCCACGTGGCGCAGGACTCAGGTTATAGAACAAGGACTGGTGAAGAACTGAAGCAGCTCCTAGACTGGGACTGGTGCAGCCCAAGAGCTGGGGCGGGCAGGACAGATTGATTAGCAATGTACATGCTACAGCTGAAATCATAATCATCATAATGATGACAGATAAAGTAGGAATGTAGTTGTCCATGGGTCAGCAACATAGATGTTGACTGGATTTGGGCTATTCTCAGTTTTCAAATGGTATGTTATGTGCATATAGGTTTACATTTAACTGAAAATAAGTTTAATAGGGCCACATTAGTGCTGCATATGGAAATGTGTGACACTATCAAAAACAAAGTGTCTGTACTAATAAAGTAAACTGGATTCAAGAGGTTCTGATCTTTAACGAAGTAAAGCGTTCCTAAAGTGGTGACGCTGGATGACACTAAACTTGTTTATGATCTACATTGTGTTAACTACATTTACTGCATTTGCATCTTGTCTTCTCATGTATACTTACTCATATGGGGTTAGCATACTTTTTCATGGTATTTTGATGCAATGAAGAGACAGAAGTGATGATGATTAGAGTGTGTTGTTTTGCAGTCGTTCCCGATGATGCAGTCTCCTCTGTCGGCGCGGCAGTCCTCCACACCGGGAGCAGGTGCCACAAACACTCACACATGAACCGCTTCTGTACAGTGGTTCCTGGTTTAGCGCAATGGTTACGGTCTAAAAATAACCCACCACAAGTGCGATCCACTGAAATAGCAGCTCTGTGTTTTAAAGCTGTAAAACCCCTCAGACTCTTTTATACACTTTTATAACCATCTGAACTCACGACTGCTGAAGTGCGGTCGCAGATATCAAACCTGTTGGTTGTAGGTCTGAGCGCTGCTGCAGCTGTAAAAAGCCGCGGTAGTCCTCTGAACTAATCGCCACGGTGCACACAAGCCACAAATTTTTCTTCTGACAATAATTAAAGGTAACTGCCATGTGATACAAGCTTGTATATGATGTTGGAGAAGCACGCTGTTAAAAAAACCACATTAAAGCGAGGACTACCACAGAATTAGCCACAGGTTCTGAATGAATGAAGGAATGAAACCTTTTTTTGCCCAAAACGCCATTTGTCTTGCACGTGAGATCACATAAAACATATACACAAATGCATGACAAGGTCCAAGACTTGCTGTGCAGTGCTGGACTAATTCCTCATATTAGCCCGGGCGGGGAAGGGGAGTGCAGCCCTTAACTCTATCTTCACTCTAAGTTTGATCCTGATGTGTGTCGTGTTGCAGGGATCTCGCAGCTGTGCATGTCGCCCGCCCAGGCGGACCCCTTCTACAGCCAGGGTGAGGCCCTCAGCTCTCAGGACCAGCTGGACCAGACCTGGGTCACCATCTTTGGGTCAGTGCTCAAATATCACCCACACACGAAAGCATTCTGACCGCAGACAATCACACAAACGGGACAAGACTGCACCTGCAACGCATATGACCCTTCTGTATGGTTTTCTAATCTGGGCTGTATTTGGTCTGATGTAAATATAAATCCCAAGGAAAGGATTTATAAATGAGAGTAGAAAATATGTAGAATATTACAGGAAGTGAAACCAGGAAGTTCTCTGAAATGACACAAGGAGAGGTCGTTCTGTGGACTATGACACAGCCATAAGGATATGTATTTAGTTTGTTTGTGTCCAGGTTCCCTCCGGCGTCGGCCTCCTACATCCTGCTGCAGTTTGCTCAGTACGGGAACATCCTCCGCCACTCGGTGAGTCCACAGCTCGGTCCTGCTTCACCTCCTGTGACATCTTGAGTATCGGCAGAGAAGAGAAAAACTGCCCTATTCCTAACTCGTCTGTGTGTGTGCGCGTGTCTGTGTGTGTGCGCGTGTCTGTGTGTGTGCGTGTGTCTGTGTGTGTGTCTGTGTGTGTGCGTGTGTGTGTGTGTGTGTGTGTGCGTGTGTGCAGATGGCAACGCCTGGGAACTGGATGCACCTGCAGTACCAGTCCCGGCTTCAGGCGCGGAAGGCTCTGTCCAAAGATGGAAAGGTGTTTGGAGACTGCATCATGGTGGGAGTGAAGCCCTGCATCGACAAGGTCTGCTCTGCTCTTATTCTGGCATTTTTCTCATGTTAGAAGTTCATTTGAAAGAAAGCTTCAGGAATCCTGTTTATTTTAATTCTTGTATTCTGGTTGCTGTCTTTATGATTAATGAGAGGTGACTAATGAGGCTTATATTTGAAAGTACAGATAGAGCCTAAATGGTATTGGTATTTGATTAATTTATTACTGGGATGATTACGGAATTTAAGCACCTGTTTATAAACCGCTCCAGCTTTTGAAGAAAATGTCAATTTTGAGGGTGTCTGTGTCTCAGTGCTCTCTTGTGGTGTGTGCAGAGTGTGATGGAGAGCCCAGACGTGTCCAGCCCCCTCCCCTCTTCCACCTCCTTCTGTGCAGCACTGCCTTCCACGCCACGCTCCGCCATCAGGCCCCTCAGTGCCACTCAGCGCGCCTCCGCCAGCGACTACCAGGTAGACGCCCATCCGCTTACGGAGTCCAGATCTAATAATATAATATATACATCCTATCTGATGTCTGAAGAATATATCTGAATATGTAGACGTGGAGAGGATCTGTGTTACCCGGGGGGGGGGGGTTCTTCGGGAGGACAGGAGTTAGAGCTATGGCTGAGTGTATAGCACTCTCGCTTCTCAGCAACAACGTCCTGGGTTCAAATCCCGGTCGGAATAGGGCTTTTGTGAGTGGAGGTTGTATGTTCTCCCAGTGCCTGCTCCGGATTTCTAAACACATGTACAATAGGTAAAATCCTCCACCTCCTGTAGTCCTGACCAAGCCAAGCATCATCATCTGGAGATGGGTTCCCGGGCGCTGCTCCTGATGTAAGCCTTGGCAGCATCAGGATGGGTCAAATGCAGAGGATGTGTGTTCTTATCCAGTGTGCTGAGGCTAAGTTTAGAATTGTCCTTCTTGCAAACAATACTAGATGTGTCAGTGTTATGAATGAATGTCATTATCCGAGGAGCCCGGATAACAGCACACTTAATATCTCATTAATCCTGGGAACCATCTGTTTATTTTCTTGTAGGAGAGGTGTGGATTACAAATGTCTGCATGAACCCATAGCCAACTGATATGAATTGCACTCAAATGAAATTGATGAGCTCAGCTAACGTTTATCCTTTTTGATCAGTTTGAAACTGGACCTGATGCTCTGTTCCTGTGATCAAACTGTGGATTGGCAGAGTGGACCCTTCAGTAGAGCAAGGACATCGTTATTATATTATTACTAGGGTTGTCAAAATTATCGCATACATTTTTTTCATTAAGCGCGTTTAAAAATATTAACACTAATGACGCATGTACCGAGTGAACAGCCCATACATCTCATAATAACACTCAGAAGTGCCGCAGACACATGCTGTTGTTTCCTGACTGAGCTGAGGGCGCTCTGGGCAGCGGTTCCCACCTTCAGCGGCTGTGATCACGGCGAAAAGCGCCGCTGTAACGTCATATCCAAGACCATACACGCACAGAACTATTCTCTGCTTGTTTTGTGCGTGTCTTTGACCTGTGCACACAATATATGCACCCCTGAAGCTGGACTACGGAGCCTCAGTTCATGTTGGTTGTGCCCAAAAGTAAAATGTTGTGAGTAAATCAAACAGATTTAACGACATTCTGCATTTCAGACTGTTTTGAAATGCCCCTCATCCCTGAAACAAACAATAGTTGTGCTCTGAGTCTAAACAGAAAGACAGAATGTTAATAATGTTAATGCCATTTTATGTGGATTTATTGTTGTTATAATAAACATATACAGTATGTACACTATGTTGTCATTTATCTTTCCATTCAAACCAATTACAGAAAAATATGGCATCATTCTGCCGATAGTTTGAAATGCGATTAATTACGATTAATTCATTTTTAAGCTGTAATTAACTATTAAAAATTGTAATCAATTGACAGCCCTAATTATTATATAATTAGAGTAGCTCAGTTGGTAGAGCACCTTTAGGCCTGAAGGTCGTGGGTTCGAGCCCACCATAAGACCTACTTCACGACTCCCACTGATGACTGCTGTCGTTGTGTCCTTGGGCAAGACACTTAACCCCACTTTTCCTGAAGCCTCCACTGAAAGATCTCAGCTCCTGTGGACTCACCACCTGCAGGAGGATCAGTGAGGGGCTGGTGCTCTGTGTACTGGGTGCAGCTCTGACTGCCACCCCCCCTGACCCAGAAATGGATTAAGGGGAAGAAAATGGATGGATGGATGGAATTATTATACAATATAAACTTTGCCCTCAGGGGTCTGAAAATGAGCCTGATGTGTGCCATTCTGAGGGCGGACGTTAAGTGTTGCTTGGTTGTGAGAATTGAGAACATGTGGGGCGTGCTGCAGTGTCTTTAGACCATGAGGCTGTGAGGGACTTGTGGATAAGAGGTGGGAGCAGTGAGCAGAGTGACCAGAGGAACATTCTGATTGTGTGCAGGTGGTGACTGACAGACTGACCCCCAGGAAAGATGACAGCTTCGTGACCAAGGCCCTGGAGTACATGCTGGGCTGGTGACAGGGCTCCAGTGTGTATGGATGGGTGTGTCTGTCTGTATGTGTGGGTACATGTGAGAGAAAGAGAGATTGTGTGTGTGTCTTTTTTAGGCCTTTGTAACATTTGTTTCAATAAAAGTCTTTAATCATTGTCCTAAATAAACATTTTTACATGTATCAAATTTCCTTTTTGTGTAATCCATGAGAGAAAAAATCCATATCTTTTCTTCTGAAAATGGTCACAATTTGTCTAAGAAGGGATATTATTTATGGATGGGGACGAGTAGCATTTTTGATACATTGTGCTCCATGCACAGACGCACATATTGTTCACACTATTCCTCATGGAATAAAGATCTGTTGCAAAAACAAATGTTGATGCTTATTTTTTTATCTGCCCGTGTAAAGAACAAAATTATGCCTTGTACAAACTGTCCTATTCAAATACTATTTGTATTTGGTTAGTTCATTGAATACTTGTGGTTGCTAGTGTTCCTGGGGTCTGCAAAGGATCAATTCACATTAAAACATTATAAAAAGCATTTACAAAATAACAAGACTGAATACACAAAATGATCCTTGATAAGTATATCGTAGGTAGCTATGGTGTGTGGAGATACATGCATGATCAGAACTCATGAGCACACTTTCAAATGTGTCCCTTCACAATAATACACCTGTGAAGAGTTTACCACTAGAGGCCGCTAGCTGTTGGTTGGTTGTGTTTATGTCTGGGCTTCCTCATCTTTGTCGTTAAAAATACAATTTGACACAGGAGTTTAGTTTTTCAACCTGCAGCTGTCAAAGTTCTTTAAAACAAATGGCAATAATGAACAACGAGCTGATGAATCAGTGATTAAAAAAACATTTTCTTTTAGCCTGCCCCCCCCCCCCCCTAAATTGCGACCCACTTTGAATCAATGGGCTAAAATTAAAATATACTTAAGGCAGCCAAAAGGGTTTGGTAAAGTTAGAATGGGTGTGGTCACCAAAATCTCAGCTATGATTCATAACTAACATATCTAACTACTACAACCTTTTGTTTTCACCAATTGTCCCTTTTTCATATTATTTATGATTAATATGAATATGAATTTTCAGTAACGTCTTTCTAAAAGGGGCGTGGTCACCAAAATCTCAGATATGATCAATGGGTCGCATGATAACTGGATAGGGTATTACCAGTGGGGGAGGGTCCCGGCTCAAAAGTGGCCAAAATGACGTGCGCTGACATGCTTGCAATACCACCCCGGGCCGATGGGGGTGGACCCAGAAGTAGAATTAGCCAATGCTAACATATAGCGTTGGCAGACCTCTCAAAAACATCTTTACAAGATGGACCAAAAGTTGGCTCTTGGCCCAAAGCTCCGTTCCACATGTGTGTCAATGCTGAGGGGGGTGAATTTTTTGGACCACTCTAGTTTACTTGCTGTGAATTTTTGAAGTCTCTCGTTCAAATGAATGGAGCTGCACCGGCTGACGCATGCACAGATGCGTTTTTTTCACAATTTTCTTGTGGGCGGGACCACTCGCGGCCATTTTGGATTTCTCCGTGAAAGCACTTTTCATGGCCAACTCCTATGAACGGCGGAGATAGGCGTGACTCTGTCCGTTATTATATACAGTCTATGGGTATTACAAGCTTATAGCTGTCCCACCAACGGGCACAGGGGACGTCCGTGGTACTGCAGACTAAATTCACGGGGGCTACACAGAACTCAATGTAAATGAAAACGGCTCGACATCAGCTGAAAGAACCTACAGCTTTCATAAAGATTGACATTTGTGGGGATTTTAGTGTCCCTTGTCATCCTGAACTTTTTTTCTTCTTAAATCCTTCGGTTTTCTTTAAATCCACATTTTACTGCCACAAAATCTGCTCCTTTTCTTTCCACTCTGGCTCCGCTCTCGCCTCGCTCTCGCCTCGCTCTCGCCTCGCTCTGATCAGCAGTGCTGATTGGTCAAAGCGCGGCCGAGCCCCATTGTGCATGTGCATGAAGGCCACACATTTGGCGCAACGCACCATGGGAGCTCGTACACTGCGCAGAACCGGGAGGACCAGACGATGCCCATATAAGCGAGTTCCGCTGATCTTTCGGTCCCCGTGAAGTCCCGTGCGCTACTGAACACAAGCCATTCATTTGAATCCAGCGCCATCTTGGATCACCGGGGCTTGATGAGATCAAGATCACTAGATCAGTGGTTCTCAAACTTTTTACACCAAGTACCACCTTAGAAAATACTTGCCTCTCCAAGTACCACCACAAATGACCAACACCACACAGTAGCGTAGTAAGTCTAAGTATTCATCAAAAACAAGGCAGGAGTTTCATTCCTAAAGAAGCTTTTGTACATGCTGCTACTTCTACATGGAGCGTGTTGCAAAAAGACTGGAAATGATCTATTTCATTCAATGCTTTCATATCCAGATTGAGAGCACTTGAGACATCTTCAGTGAAATGTAACTGTTTTTATAATCCGTAATTTTATGAAATTGTATGTGACTGTTATATAATCTGTATGTAGCTATTTTATAATCTGTAATTGTATGTAATTTTTGTACAGGACTCCCTTGAAAAAGAGGTTCTCATTGACTGCCAGCTATTTTTGATGACTTCACTGATTTTTAAGACTCTCAGAATATTGTGTTTCTTTTTAGCTTGTTTTGTTCTCTTGTGATCTCCAGTCGAGAAGAGGGGAGTGTGACAAAAAGCTGAGAAAATGAGGTGTTTGTGAAAACAGACGAACCTGCAGAAAAGGGGCTGTAATACTGTTAAGTTTAACTTTAGCATCTCCTCAAACATGTCCGGGATCTTACATGTTAGAAAACAGCAACAAGTTATCAGAAAGTGTTTTTGATGCAAAATATGTTTTATGACACACACACCCACAAAGTGTTGTTGAAATATTTAAAAATGTGCTCATCCAATGTACATATTGAAAGTAGAGCCCATGACAAACTATGCCAGATAGAAGTCATCCAGTATTCATTCATTAGGTGGTGCTATATTTATGTCAGTAAGAGTAAATCAGAGACAAGCAAAAATACAATGATAAACACTATAAATGACAATAAATCAAAGTGAACAGACAATATACTTCTGTAGCATCGAGGGTCCGGTGCGGGCGTCTTACTACCACTAGACACACTTATTCACACCAATTTCAAAGCCACCCTATTGTTTATGTAAGGTATAGAGAAAACCAATTTCTCCTGCAATTTGCTAAGTCTAATTTAAAAGTTTCTACATCAGACATGGCGTTATGCCAGGCACATTCTTGATCCGTACACATCGTTGGTCCACACAAACTTCACTCAGGCATGGAACATGAAGGGAAGAAGAGGTTACTCTCAGCACAGCGCGCTCCCATGCTTGCTGACGTCAGAGGTGAGCGAGGTATTCAACAAATGTCTCTATCCTTGTTCATAAATTTACCACGGTTATACGGATTTACTGACAAATATAATGTATGTAATGTAAATAGAAGTAAAAGTATGTGGTAGGAAATCGTAATTTTTGCTTTTGAACCCCTTTTCTGCACGTGTGCAGACAAATGAATGAAACAAAGTCCTGTTACAATCACAGATTTATTAAAAACAAAAGTAAAGTGCAAAATCAACAGTTTACAAAGTCCAAAGTACGTATGTGAGACCAGGTCCAGATGACGAGAAAGTGAAGTACTCCGGTCACTCATTGCTCGTTGGTAATCTCCGCACTTGTGGGAAGGGATTCTACAGAATACAGCACAGTAGAACAGGAAGGACGTTTTAGCTTATTAGCTTGCTAACGATAGCTAAATGTAGCTAGCTCACTGTGTACAACAATCAAACTTTGACACAGTAAATACATTCTAGTGAGAGCTTTGGGCCAGCGGGATACGTAGCTAACCAGTTATTTCCAGGATAACCACAGACTAGTCACAAATCAAGAGCTGGAGAATCTCCCTGAAAAGCTCGTTCTGTGTGCCGTGTTCCGTCGAGCTGCCTTTGAATTCTTTCTTTGGTAACGTGTGGATCTCGTCGACCGACCAGGGCCTTTTGGGGCTTTCTGTGCGATTCCATTTCTCTGGAGTGAGGAGGACGTTATTAAAATAGATCCATGTGTGACCGCAGGGCCCTGGAATAAGGGCGTATTGAGGCAGAGCAGCCGGTTTTAAAGATGACGGGGTTGAGTTGCTTTTACCAATAAGTCGGACGTTGCTTCCAGTGACGAGACTCGTTGACCAATCAGTGTTAGGCAGTCGGCTGACGTCACATCAAAGTATTGCTTCGGCACAGTTGGAACCACGGTCGAGGTGGTACAAAAAAAGTACCCACGATCCCAATCCTGACCCTAGTGGAAATCCAAAATAACCGCGCTGTACCGTACCGTTCCTGTGGAAAAGCGGCATAATAAGTCCTTAAGTAGTGACTGGTTAAGTTTTAGGTGTCTGTCTCGTTAGTCTTGTATTTAGCCCTGTGTGTTCCTTCACTCCCTGTTCCGTCATTCTCATTCTTCGTCCTTTTTAGTTCTGTCCTTGTTCCCTGTGTTTTTGGTAGGTCTTGATTTGTATATCTTTTTATTAAATCCATTATTTTTTGCAGTTTTGGGTCTCATTTAATTTTACCCACATGACACCTGAAGGACTCTCAGACCATGAGTAAAAAAATTCTCTGGTCTGATGACACAAAGATTGAACTCTTACAGGCGTCATGTTTGAAGGAAAATCCCCACAAAATCCGATTTTTATGAAATGTCAGCTGAGGTCGCGCTGTTTAAGTTTACATTGAGTTCTATGGGGAACATTTCTGGGTAACCCACGTGAATTTAGTCTGGTTTAGTCTGGAGTACTGCGAAAATCCCCCGACCACATGGGTTCTTCAGCTCCAAGCTAGTAATACCCTATTACTGGTGTAATTACTGTGGAAAAGCGGCATATTAAGTCCTTAAGTAGTGACTGGTTAAGTTTTAGGTGTCTGAGTAAGATGGTTAAGGTTAGGGTTAAGGGTGGGTTGGGGTTATTCTATGGGAATGGCTGGTTAAGTTTCGGCCATCTAAACTGAGCGATCGGGGGAGAAGGGCCTTAGTCAGGGAGGTGACTAAGAACCCAATGGTCACTTTGTCAGAGCTCCAGCGTTCCTCTGTGGAGAGAGGAGAACCTTCCAGAAGGACAACCATCTCTGCAGCAATCCACAAATCAGGCCTGTTTGGTAGAGTGGCCAGACAGAAGCCGCTCCTTGGTAAAAGGCACATGGCAGCCCGCCTGGAGTTTGCCAGAAGGCACCTGATGTCATGGTTTAGATTTATTTCCTGTTTTTTTTTGTAATTTGTTAAATCCCTGTGTCTTCTTTGGTTGCTCTTCCTATTTGATTACCTGCCTGCCCTCATGTGTCTCACCTGTGTCTCGTTAGTCTTGTATTTAGCCCTGTGTGTTCCTTCACTCCCTGTTCCGTCATTCTCATTCCTCGTTCTTTTTAGTTCTGTCCTTGTTCCCTGTGTTTTTGGTAGGTCTTGTTTTGTATATCTTTTTATTAAATCCATTATTTTTTCATTTAATTTTACCCACATGACACCTGACTCTCAGACCATGAGTAACAAAATTCTCTGGTCTGATGAGACAAAGATTGAACTCTTACAGGCGTCATGTTTGAAGGAAAATCCCCACAAAATCCGATCTTTATGAAAGCTGTAGGTTCTGTCAGCTGAGGTCGCGCTGTTTAAGTTTACATTGTGTTCTATGGGGAACATTTCTGGGTAACCCACGTGAATTTAGTCTGGTTTAGTCTGGAGTACTGCGAAAATCCCCCGACCACATGGGTTCTTCAGCTCCAAGCTAGTATTACCCTATTACTGGTGTCGAGCGCATACAAAACTCCTTCAGCAGATCAGAAAATAAAAAATAAATCGACCAATCAGGATCGCCGGTGTTACGTCGGGTTTGCATCACCTTCTCAAGCGTGTCTCAGGCAGCAGCGAAAGCAATCCAAGATGGCGGACATGAAGTCTGTGAATTTTTAAAAAGGTTTAAATACGAACAAATTAAGACACAGAGGTCACTTTTAACGCAATATGAGGCGAGATGTTGATGGTTCCATGTTGTGTGTTTTAAGAGTCAAATGTTCGTGTAAAGTTTGGTTTAAGCACTGGTTTAAATGTTCCTGTTTACAAAACTACGCAGCAGGGTTTCCAGGTTGGGTGGTTTCCCACATACTTTTTTCCAAGAGACTTGTAAGTAATAAATAAACAGACAATTAACAGAATTATGATAGGCCAAGGTTATTGCATTACGTTTTTAGCTAAAAAACCATTCTGGGTGGGTTTTTTTTTTTGGGCATTCTTGCGGGTTTTGGGCTGGAAAATCTTGCCGGCATTTGGCAACCCATGGGAGTCGTGTGCTTCGATGTGAGTGGTTGAAGGAACACGTAATTCAAGATAACAGACAAGTGGTTTATCCAATCACATAGAAGGATTTCAGAAGGCCCCACCTTCTGAAATGTATCCGCTATGAAGAGTTGTCACCAGGGGGTGCAATGCCCTAACTAGATCTTTAGAAACCAATGGTCCAAGGGGAGTGACTATTAAAACAATAGATGGTTTTCGATCACGTGTTTATTACCCATGATGCTTTGCGCGGCCGCCATGTTGTGTGTCTAGATTATATAGCACGGATCATTTCTCACAGTTCATTTGCCACGGATCATTCTCACAATGTCTTCTAAAGCCACGAAATCGGCCGACTCTGACCGCGTGAAGTATAGTGATACACTGGACGTAATTTCTAAGGAAAGATATTTGGAGAAATTGAGAGTGATCGGAGATTTGGATCCATACGAAATGCGGCGAGACCAGTGGACTTCACCAGAAATGGACTCCTGGCCTGCGGTAACATACGCAGACATTGTGAATTACTGCCTACACACACGAAGTCCGTACACCCTGAAGGAACTGAAGGCAATGAAGACGATGGAATCGTTCAATTACCTGGTGTGTGGTTGGGTGCAGGAGGTGAGACATGCTATCGTCAACGACAAGAGTGTTTTGATGGCTAGGATAAAACACTCGCAACGGATGAATGACCCTTGCCTCCTACCCTGGGTAATCACCGAGCGAGACGGGGAGGTTCTGTCTGCACATTGTACCTGTATGGCTGGTCTTGGAGAGGTGTGTTCCCACGTCGGTGCCATCCTTTTTGCTCTGGACAGTGCGACAGATATAAGGAAAAGACGAACTGTGACCCAGGAAAAGGCCTACTGGTTGTTACCTGCAGCTCTACAGAAGGTAAATTTAATGTCATGCACTTCAAGTCTTGTATTCATATATGTGTGTGTGTGTGTGTGTGTGTGTGTGTGTATATATACACACATATGTACATACATATGTATGTATGTGATATATATAATAATATTCAAATGTTAGGATTAAAAGAATAATGACTTTGACTATTTGACTATTTTAGGTAACTTTGAATCCTAAATGCATGTAAACTGTCCTAATTTCTGTTTTCTTGTTTGTTATTTTTAGGTCCAGTATAAAACAATTCAGCAGATTAACTTCACTTCTGCAAAAACCATGAAGAAGCAACTGGAGACTATCAACAACACCGGTACCCCCGTTGTCAACAGCCCAAGGAAACTACCGAGTGTTGATGAACCATCCGAATCTGAACTTGCCACTCTATTCAAGGAGCTACACGTCACTGAAAAGAAGCCAGTGCTCCTGGCATTGGTTCCAGGCTATTTGAAATATTTTCGTCCTGAAGCACTAGACAAGAAGTATCCAACTCCTTTGTCCGGGCTTTACGATGAAACTTTTGCCACGACCCCAAGTGAACCACTGCTACGTCATTGTGAGAGCATATTTGAAAATATTACTATGACAGATGATGGAATTTGATCCACAGATTGTGGTATGTTCTAAAGGATTCTGTGAAAAAGACACACCAAAATAAAGCAATTCACAGAAAACTTTTGTTCATGGGGATTTATTTGATATTGGCACTTAACATATTATATTAAACTTAACATATTCATTGACATAACTCTTTTGGTGGAAACATCACAAGTCAACAAAAAAGCACAAGTCGAGCCATGTATAAACTAGATTTTAATCAGAAGATATATCATGTTTTGAATGTGTCCAAATACCTCCTCTGTCCATTAGAGGTTGCTAGAACATAATTGTTTTATCCATTAGTCAAGTTTCCTATATGTAACAGACCTGATCCTTTCTAAAGAGTAGAAACAAAGTGACACTTTCATATAGTACATTTATTAAATGTTACTCATGTTAACTTATTTTATCCACACTAGACTTTACTGTGCATGGGCTCATGTGTAAGTAACCTGCAAATGTGAGGGTGTAAGATAAATGAAAAACAAAATATAACAGAATAAATGTGTTTTATTGATGGGGTCTCATCACGGTTTTTTTTCTTTTATTCCTCTAACAACTTTCAGTCAAATGGCACAACCGAGCCACACAAATTGGACAGTGCACAACACACTGTGACAATTTTGTCCAACGTTGGTACACAACCTGCAGGGCAGTGTAAGTAGTCAATAGGAATGGTGTGTTGCAAAATTGTGTACTTGTTCCGCACCAGACCGATGACGCGTTCCACATGGATTCTGCTGTGGGCTATGTTTCTTGTTGCTTCAATCTCAAGGGGGGATAACTGTTGCTTTCCTCTTGTGAAAGATGGTATCTTCACTTCTGCGCAGTGCAGTCCCACACTCTTTTATGTCGAAGCCTCGGTCTGCGAGAACGATGTCTCCAGGCAGCAGTTTGGACAGCAGGCCACAGTTTTCAGTCACATGCTTGTCACTGGCTCGGCCACCCCATCCTTTTGACAAAAAAGAGACGGCTCCCTGAGGTGTGATGCCCATGAGATACTTCACAGTATTGTGGTGCTTGTAATTCGACCACGTCTCTGCTCGAGCCAAGTAGTTGGAGGGCCTCTCTATGAAGATTTCAAAGCAGTCAATAATTATTGACACCTTCACACCGAAGTTCTTCCTAAACTCCATCGGCATGGACATCTGGAGGTCCTCTCGGTCTGGCCAGAGAATGAAGCCCCTCATTCTGATGAACAGGACATGCACCACACCCAGGAACACATTCGAGACACAACTCGTGGAAACCTTGAACCTGTAGCCCAAGTCCTACTGGCTGAGGTTTAGTCGCAACTTCATCAATACCATCATCAGCTTTTCAAATTTTGTCAGTCTACTTGATGCTGAATGAGGTATACTCGCCTCAACAAATCTATACAGGGTCATGAGAATGTCGTAGGTAACACCCGTGTAATGCTTTACTTTAGCGTCATTACCCCTCAGCGTGTCCGGAGTCAAAACCATTCCTTTCAGTTTCTCCTTCAGTAACATGGTTTCCGTTGTCAGCCGCTGAAGCTCCTCCCTCATTTGCTTCATGAGTAACGTGTCGTCTGGTTGAGGATCTGTTGACTGTTCCGATGATGCAGTAGCGACATCCGTCTCACTCTCATTTGCCTCACCAGTGTCTGAAGTAGTCACCTCATCAGTCACCGGCGTATCCTGCTTCTGCAGACTGAGTAGTGCAGCCGCCGCTTCACTACGCTTCCTCTTTTCCGTTCTTCCTTTTTCCCTCTCAAACCGCTTTTGACTGGGCCGTGTCTTTGTGGGAGACGTTGAAACTGGTCCCATTTTCAATGAAGGTGCCCAATCTGGATTTGACGAGTGGTACAACTCAGCTCTCTTCCCTGCAAATAAAAATAAATAATTATCTTAAATAAGTTCATATATTTCATTCATATATTTGGTATATGACTCAGACAGCATTACATTTTGAAAGTCATGTATATAATATTTACATTTGTAGGATTGTAACAGAATTATATAGACAATATTTTGTCATAAGTATGTATGTGCTGTGTTTGTTTACATTTTACCACAGATATCAGATGACTGAACCTTGATCAAGTTGTTGATGTTATTTTGTAATCCAAACATGGCACACACCAGACTTACTTTTACCCAACAGTTTCACAATTACAAAAGGTCATGATGTATATAATGCAATATTTCTTTCAATCATTAATTTATTTTGAACGAAGCAGTCATGTCACAGTCCGTAAATCACTGACCCAAGGCCATACAAGCTTCTGTCAACCCTTTCCTCCTCCTCCTCCTCTCATTCATTTAGAGGGGATTCCTTGAGGCGCACATGGTATCAGTCAAATCGCAGCTCTGAATATAAACCACACATGCACAGGTTTAGCTAGCTTACCTGTTATGAAATGGTCAGAACAGACCTTGTAGTGCCGTTTTTTTAGGGTCAGGGTTGAATCCCTCTCAGTTTATCCTAGCCAGCCAAAGGGTTCTTCTCTCCCTCGAGAGTCGCTCTGTCTCGCTCCCCTGGCTTGTAATTACCTTCGGAAGGTCGAAAAAACCTCTTTACGTCCCCACAACCTGCACGGTTAGTGCACCCCCAAACGATACAGGTAGTCGGCATGTTATAGCGCAAATAAAAGGGATGTGATATGGTTTGTTTAGCTACAACCATGGACTGTATGCTACAACTAGCAGGGCTTGACTATCAAGATGGCGCAATGCGGAATTGTGGGTAGTACGTGACGTCATCGAAGAACCATCTATACACCAGGGGTGGAAAGTTAACAATTTATTACAATATAGAATGTTTAAAATGCAATTAAAAGGCTACATTAAAAGTCCAGAAATAAATCCCACTAAAAACTGAATGGTCTAATACAGCTCCAAGTTGGCGCTCGGGGTGGTAGTCCGCTCGCGGGGCACGTCCCGGGGGCCTATGGAGGGTCAAACAGGGCAGCAGTCAGTACAGCAGGTTACAGGAGCCACAGCTTTACTTGCTCTCCACAAGAGGTTCTCAGTGTAAAAGAATAAAACTTAGCTGAGAGGAGGGGGATGGCTTCTATGCTGGGCGCAGTATCTGCAGGGCGCGTCCCGGAGGCTGATGGTGCTTTCAGACCGGGACAGTCGTTGCGTCTGCGTTCAATGCAAAGTCAATGGGGAGTCGCGTTTCAGCGCCGCATTGCACGGACATCTCGGCACACACGCACGGACCGCCCAGTAGAAACGCACGGACTTGGCGGGAAAGTCAAAGGGGGGGAGAAGGAGCGGACAATGAACGCCCACAGGAGATGGATTCCGCTCAACTTTTCCTCGAGATGTTCGTGCAGTGACCAATCAGAGAGCACGCACACCACTGACGTAATCACGCCACTACACAGCGTATATTTTCCCCATTGAGAGCCAGGAACCGGTCATTTAAACATGGAGGATCAAGCTGTGGACAGTCTCATTGTCGCTGTTACAAACTTTCCAGAGTTGTGGAAAGTCTGCATTCCGGAATATAGCGACAGAGCTAAGAAAGATTCGGCATGGAAGGCCATTGCGCATGTAGTCAATAATTCCCTTTGACTAACGTGTTCGAAAATGGATGCAGAAGTAAGGCAGAGATCTCCAAGGTTAACATCTGCATTTAATTATCATTACAATCAGATACAGAATGTTCAACAAAAGTGCTCCTATTCTATGCCTGCTCTCTCCCTGTCCGTTGCCCCTGTCCTGTCTGACCTCCAAAAAACCCTTCCGAGCGCACATATACGGGAGACTTCCGATGTCGTCATCCATATGCGTCCAAGGGTGGAGTTTTCCGGGTGTGCTGACGTCCCTTGTCCACTGGGAGGCGTCAGAATGCCGTTGGTGAATCTCCCAGTCTGCCTCAAGATCAGGTTCTGAACTTTTGCCCTCGTCAAAATGTTTATTATTTAAAGTTAATAATTCGCCCTGTTTAAACAGCATTTTATCTTTATGACTCATGTCTGATCATCCTGTGTCCTTGGGGTTTTTCCTGAGTGCACAGAGATCTTTTTGGCTATGATGTTCAAATGGTCAAATATTAAAATATACAACAGTTCCCCTCTGTTGACCTATATTAAACCAATTTAGGTCACAATCTTTCAATATCCCTTCTGGGTGCCGAGACTGGGGAGCTCGTCCATCATCGCCTTGGTTCTTGGTTCTGGCTCGTTATCTGTGAAGAATTAATACAGAAAGACAAACAACACACAACCACATTCGAAACATTCCTTCACTAAACTCTTTGATGACCACTGCTGTCATTCTGATTCTTCTTCAACCTCGTCTGTAATGTATGCACTAAAACTATTCACTATAGTTTAAACTATTCTAATCTATTTACAAATATGTTTGCATATTTTGCTTTTATTGAGCCCTATTCTTAAACATATGTTTTTATCTAATAAATCTATCTATACTGTGGTTTGCTTTCATTATCAGTGGCTTTGGGCCATTTCGTGGGACTTTGCTCATTTTTCCAAATACATTTTGTTGAACCAGGAAGTGCTGTCCCTTCCTCCTCTCAAGACAGTTTGGGATGAATGTACATCGTTAATCAAATTGGTATTATCCTTAGAAGAGCTAATCTATTTTAGCAGGTTTCTCTGGGGTTAGTCCCTATACAACGGTATTTTGATTCTCTAATCTGTTGCTGACAAATCGACAGCTCTTAAAATTCTCAAAAATACCTAAATATCTACTTTTGTGCTATACCCAAATACATTAAAATGCTTTCAAATGTTTTTGAATCTTTGTTGGTTCTAATCGATCTCATTAATCTATCTCATTAGCTTTTTGCATTGTCAACATTCACCTATGTTTGAAACAAGTGAATTTGACAGTATCTAATAAAACTGTGCATAAACTGTACTGAACTTTATCTACCTTTGAAGTAAATACTTTTAGACATAATATGAAGGAAATGGTCCTTTTACCGCTTGATATTAACACTGGCTAAAAATAATCTCCATTTTGAAAGCCTCTATGGTTGATGCATTTATCTATTTCTAGTTTTACGCTATTTTTTCCCAAAGCTCGGCTGTAGCTTGAGCCAAAGCATATTCCCAATTCGTGAGTTCTGTCACTTTCAATGGCTGTAAATAATTCTGATTCTAACTCTATCTAGCTTCTCTATCAGAAGGATCACAATGTATGGTACCATTTTAACTCTTACTCCGAAGTTTGTTTATGACCAATGATCAAATACTATATACTATTTAACATTTACTAAAACGCTGAAATACTCCTACTTTATCATTTTAAACCATTTTAACAGTTGCTCAGTCTCCCCAGACTAAAAGTCAACCTTTCTGTCTGCCAGACTGAACCCTTAACATTTATTGCATTTGGTCATAGTTGTGGTTCTAATTGTAACAATTGCATTGGCAATGGACGATTTTTCATTGGCTGGTTCTTGTTCTGCCAATCACTATTCTATGTATTGTATTTCAGACAATTCCAAAAACAACACAGTAGTTCTCCAATATTAAAAACATAAATCTAAATCAAGTTGCCTGTAAGGGAGCGGGAAGAAGAGAACTATTTTATACACGTTATCTATGATTATATGGCTATGAAATTAATTATTTAATAAACAAAAGCACATTCATGGCTTCTGTCCGCTGCTTATAACTGTTTAAAGAGTTGTCCCAAACTTAATATGTGTGAATACATCAGCTGTTTGTAATAAACAATAACATTTGACCTGTTCTCCAATGGAGCAGCTCAGAGGCTGCGTCAAAAGCAATGTTTTATTTTAGCTATTTTTAGATTTAAAATTTTGTTAAAGCCTGTCGTTCTATGTCTGCATTTTAATACTACTCTCTATAAACACATCTGCACTAGTTCCTACAGATGTGGAAAACAGAAACATCTAAAATCTGACTCCATTTGATTCCTTTTTACTCTAATTATTAGAACAATTTGACCTTATTGATACTTATTTTCACAATAGAACTATTTTGATTATTTACTCCTGTGGACTCACCACCTGCAGGAGGATCAGTGAGGGGCTGGTGCTCTGTGTACTGGGTGCAGCTCTGACTGCCACCCCCCCCCCCCGACCCAGAAATGGATTAAGGGGAAGAAAATGGATGGATGGATGATTATTCACTACTCTAACTATTATTACTATTGTTTATTCTGACACCTCTTCTTAGCGACCTTTCAACCTATAGCTCCTTGAATCCAATGACATTATAGCTCCAGACTATTTCATTCTATTCTATTATTATCTTATTATTATATGATCTATTATCTTAAAGAGTAGATCTGTTTGATGTTATAAGCGCTATTATTTCTCCTTTTGAACTTGCACAACACTAAATTTAGAATGACCCCCTATGGGACAAATATAGAATTTTATTCCATTTTGGCAACTCCGAAAATTACTTAATAATTTTCCCATTTTGCTTTTTTAGGCTGCCCTTTCTATTATTTATTTGTTCTTGTAAATATATGTTTTACACTTCTTTCTAATGATTTAGAAGGTTAAGGACCATGACCACCTATGACAATACAATACTCCCCTCTGTTGGTCGTGGGCCAAAGTATAAAACATGCATCTGTGTGTGTGTGTAGATTACTGTTCCAATCATTCTCCAGTTGTTCCTCCCGGATCGTCCTCAATTCATATTGTGGGCTTTGGTGCCATAGTAGAGGCTCATTTCCTTATGATCCATACTACTGTCATCCCTGAAGCAGGTGCAGTTTATCTCTCATCTGAAAAAGAAACATTAGAACACACGAAATGCCCACTTCCCTGGCATGGTGCAGCCTGTCAATCTTTTTCCAATTGGGTAAAA